CCAAATCCATGGCGTCACATGGAATTTTAAATACATTTTAATTAATTCATAAAATTATATATGATCACATTATACTGTGTGATTTTTAAATACATGTGCATACATTGTATAATGTTTAAATGAGGGCAAATATATCTGTTTCTTCAAAAATTTATCATATTTTTGTAAAAACATTCCAAATTCTTTCTTCTAGGTTCCTTGAAATATAGAGAACATTATCATTACCTGTAGTCACCCTGGAATCAGAAATTGTCTGATTTCTCCTGCAGTTGCAGTTTAACACTGCAACTTAGTAACCACTTGACCAAGTTTTATCCATCTTTCTCCCTTGTATTCTCCCAACCTCTGGTGACCAATATTAACTATTTGAGATTCTACATATGAATGAGATCATACAGGGGTTAATTTTCTATGCCTGGCTTATTTTCAGTTAACACAATGTTTTCCAGTTGCACATTGTTGCACATGGGAGGATGTCACCCGTTAATGGTTAAATAATATTCTGTGGTGCATATGTACAGCACTCTCTTTATCCATTCATCCACTGCTGGCCACCTAGATGGCTGTCGTGTTTTGTGACTAGTACTACAGGTCACATGAGGGTGTAGATGCCTCTTTGACATACTGATTCCATTTCCTTTGGGTTTATACCCAGTAATGGGGTTGCTGGATTATATGGTAGTTCAATTTTTAACTTTTTGATGAACCTCTACACTGTTTTTCATAATGTCTGTACTAATTCACATTCCCATCCACAGAATGTAAGGGATCCATTCTTACCCTACTTTGACAGCATTTATTCTGTTTTCTTGTTTCTTTTGAGAAATATCTATTTAAGTCAAATTTCCCATTTTAAATTGGGTTATTTGTATGCTTTTGACTTGAATTCCTTACATAATTCTGGATAGTAACCCCTTATCAGATACATAGTTTGCACATATTTTCTCTCATTCTGTAGATTATCTCTTTATCCTGATGATTGTTTCCTTTGCTGTGCAAAAGATTTTCAGCCCTCAGGCCATAAGTCTGAGTCCAGCAGACCCATATCTTACTTTTCTGCTGTAAATTTGCACTTTAGTATTTTAGGGATACAAGGAGCAATCTGTATGTTTACCCACCTGGCATGACAAACAGCAAGGAGTGTGCACATGTGCAAAAGTGTCAAGATGGGATTTGGGGACATACCTTTATGTTTTGTCTAATTGGTTTTTTGTATGTTTACCTGAGCATTACAGCGGGTCTAGTAGACCCACACCACTCCAGGATTTGCTTTTGTTTTTGTTTTGTACCAGGAATCAAACTCGGGACCTTGTTCTAATCAGGCAGGCTCTGTGCCACGTAGCTGTATCACCAGCCCCCAGGATTTTTTTTTTAAGTTTTCTTTTGATTTTTCTGGTAGAAATAGCCTAGTTCAGTACAATGAAAAACCAAATTTGCAAGCTTTGGATGAGGTCAAAAGTGAATCATCAGATTACTCAGGCATGGATGATGGAGATGATCCATTATGATAAAACACATGCTTTCATAACAGAAGAGTGTTAATGGATATATGGTGATGATGGTGATGATGACAACTTTGATGCTGGCCACGTGAGCCAAAGTTCCTGTGACAGTGAAATGGAACAAGAATCAACTAATACAGATACAAGAAATGCAGACCTTCTTGATTCAGATAGTGAAGAAAACAGCAACATGAGTACAAATTTGACTAGTCAAATTGTTGCAAAATGGCCATACAACCAAATGAATTGATCCAATGTTAGAACTAGGTTCAAAAATCTCGGCAGAGGTAAAACATACTGGACATAATGCCAGCATTGCCATTCAAGGTTGGAAATTGTAACAGATGAAATGCTGTAAGATGCTATGAAATATACAAAGCCTGAAATGCAAATAAAATGTTCTGTGTATACCTATAGCCATATTCAAAAATGTATTTATTATGAAACCTCACTAGTTGACCTGAGAGCATTCATACTGTACTTAGTAGCATGGGTTTCTCATGGTGATTGCAGGAATGTGAAAGACTTGTGGAAAAGCAATGGATCAAAATATGGCATAAACATTTATGCCCTTGTAGATGCAAAGACTTTCAATATAGGCATTTGTTCTCAAACTCACTCATCAAGTCCTTATTCATATAGTAATAAACCAAATGATATCATGAGCAGACTTGTTGCTCCCATCTCCCAGATTAATCAGAATGTGGCATTCAATCATTGGATTGCTGGTTTCCAACTGATGTTACATTTGCTAACAGAGTGCAAGTTGACCAGCACAGGAACTGTACACAGGAACAAAGCAGAAATTCCAAACAAAATGTTGCAATTTCAAAGCATAGAATTGTAAGAAACAGTCTTTGAATTTTAGAAATATATAACTGGCTTCATATATGGCAAAGAAAAGCAAAGTGGTAATGCTGATGTCAGCATTTCACCATAAAGGAAATATTGATAGGGAAACCTCAACAAAACAGAAGGCTGAGATGGAAACTTACAACAGCAAAACCAAACATGGATAGATGTTGATGAGTTATACAGCAACTATGATGTCACTTAAAACACAGAGCATTAAATCAGACTCACATATATATACATTGTATTATCTCCTTAGTGTAAGAAACTGAAAGAATAAATAACAACCAGTAGGTATAATAGATATTGTGACAGGCAAAGAAACTGCTCAGAAGGAAAGAAGTGGGTCAGGGGAAAGGAAAAAGAAGAAAAGAAATATATATATATATATATATATATATATATATATATATATATGAGGGAGCTAAGATTATTGTACTACTAATTCTATTAGTTCATTGAAAGGATTAGTTAGTGCTTATATTGTTTTATCAATATTGTATGCCTCTATCTGATAATCTGAGCAACTATTTTGAAGATAACAATATGCAATAAAATAGCCATTATTAGTTTTCTACCATATTTCTTTGAAATTCTGTATCTTTTTTATTGTTTTTATCTCTTTAAGATAAAAAATTTTAAAAAGAAAAAAAGCACAAAACATTGACCAATTATTGTGTTTTATTCAATCCTAAACATATGTAGCATAAATAATCTGATAGTTCACCAAAGAAAAGTGCAGAATATCACAGAGAAGTTTTCTTAGAGGATTGGGGCTGGAACTCATAGGAGATCATTTATAGCAGAGGAAAAAAGAAAATGCTTCACCCAGGGAACTATGTAAAAAAACTGTGGAGTACACTGGTGTCACTGCTGGCAACTGAATAGGCAGATGCAGCATCATAAAGACCCACTACAGCAACAGAAAAACAAAAAAAGATGTCAACTGTGCCCTACAAGAAAGTACAGGAAGGTTGGGGATTTAGTTCAGCAGCATAAGCACCTGCCTGGCAAGCATGAGGTTGTGAGTTAGATCCCCAGTACCCCAAAAAAAAAAAAAAAAAGAAAGAAAGAAAGAAAGAAAAGAAAAGAAAAGAAAGTACAGGAAGACAAACATAAGTGGTCTCAGTGTGAGCAGTCTTGTGTATGGAACATGTAGTCATCATATGTGAAGACTGCCTGACAAAACAGGAAGAAAAGAGAGGTGGCATAACCACCACATAGGAAAGGAAAGCTAAGCACACGTGTTGTCAGTGTAAGCAAGATGTGTGCATGGAACACACAGGTGTCCCGTGTGAAGTCTGCTTGGGTGAGGCAGGGAAGCAAAGCTTATTTTTGTGTAAGAGATCTGTTGGTATTTTCATTGTTCATATAGGGGTTTATTTCTGGTGTTTATTTTTTTTAGGTTTTGTAAAAAACTATACAGCTAATATTAAACTGTTGATGTCTATTCTAAATGCATAATAAATATCAAGAATTTAATTTGTTTTATTGATATTTTATTTTTGTGTTAATTACACACTGTATAATGTAATACAATAAGAACCTCCTGACAAAACAGCAAGACCAGGGGCTGGGGATTTAGCTCAGCAGCATAAGCACCTGCCTGGCAAGCATGAGGTCATAAGTTTGACCCCCAGTACCAAAAAACAGCAAGACCACTGAAATGTCAAGTAGGACCTACAAAAAGGCCAGGAAGCCAGGCACGTGGCACACGCCTATAATCCCAGCCCTCGTGAGGTAAGGCAGGAAGATTGCTACTAACTTGGGCCACAAAGTGAGCCTGAGCAGTGTAGTGACACTTTGTCTCTAAAAGACCCTCCCCGCCAAAAAAGGCCAGGAAGGCAAAAGACCTGCTGTCAGTGTAATGTACGTGTGGTATGTGCTATTGGCATGTGTACAGGCTGCTTTAGGTTGACAGTTGAAGTAAAGATTATTTTTTATAGAGTGCTATTGGTATTTTCTTGTCATTCATATGAAAATTTATTTCTGATTATTTTTTAGACTTTGTACACCAAAACCCAGTTGATGTTGAAAATTTTTTATGCTTTTTTATAAACAACGAACATTAAAAAGTCAATACTTTATTTTCGTGTTACTTTTTCCTGTTAAGTACTCATTGTTTAATGTAAAACTCATGAAATTAATAATTTTCAATAGAAAAATTCTAAAGAATAAATGTGAGTCTGACAGACCCACATTTATGCACCTGGATGACAAAATTAGTCTTATGCTCCAAGGACTAGTTTACTCTGTGTGTGTATCTACTAATACAGAATTCTTAGAGTAGCTTGAAAATCACAACATTAGTCTCTTCTAAACCTTACCATCTAAAATTAACTATTCTTAATTGTTTGGTTTTCTCTCTCCCCACTATTTTCTTGTGTGTGCTTGTATCTCTTTTTAAATAAATTTCTCAAACTGTTCTATGTATTGTTCTAACTTTTTTATAGTACTATACATACATTTGTTTATATTAGTAAATATTATAACATAATTTCTCATTGCTGCACAGTATTTTGTCATGTGGAATAAAGTTGGATTTAACCTTTCACTTCGTTTCAATGTTTTAATTATATAAATGGAGGTGTACTAGTATGGATACCCAAGAAAGAGTAGCTCATGTCCTTCTCTTTGTTTTCCCAGGTTTCTGTGCCCTCTCTTGCACCAGACCTCTGTTCTAAGAGTCCTCTGAGTGTCATCTCAGCACCGTGCTCACACTCATGGCACCATGGCCAGCCCTCAGGAGCACCTGAGCTGCTCCTCCCCTCCACACTTACCCTTGAGTGACCACAAAGGCTTCCCCGGACTGCAAGATGAGCTCGCGCTTATGGGGAACCACCCCTCCCTCAGGCTCCCTGAGGACCAGCAGGACAAGGGGGTTGTGCGAACAGAGCTCATCGAGAGTGTCAACAGCCCTGTGACCACCACAGTGCTGACCAGTGTCAGCGAAGACTCCAGGGACCAGTTTGAGAACAGTGTTCTTCAGCTAAGGGAACAAGATGAATCAGAGACAGTGGTATCTCAGGGCAACAGCAGCACTGTGGAGGGAGAGAACACCAGCGGAACCGAAGACATCAAGATCCAGTTCAGCAGGTCAGGCAGTGGCAGTGGTGGGTTTCTAGAGGGACTCTTCGGATGCCTGAGACCCGTGTGGAATATCATTGGGAAGGCCTACTCCACGGACTACAAGCTGCAGCAGCAAGGTAAGCTGATATGTGGACCTGGAAGACGTTTCTTGTATAAGTACAACATCTCGGTCACTACCACGCCCACCACTATTCACTGGGTAATCTTTGACTTGCATGTAAATTTAAAAAGTAGAACACATGATGACCCACCCTTTCAGACCTTTTGACTGGAACAGATTCACATTTGCTGGATCATTTTTGGTTGGAGCCCTTTTTTGTGGTTGTCCAGTCTAATGGGATCCAAAATAGACAATATACAAGACAGTCCAAAAGTTATAAGAAGAAAATATCAGAGCTCCTGTTTATCTCCTCATTTCAAATTTCTGTTTCCATGCATGTCTTCAGACATATTTGGTATCCAAAATAGTGGTGCAGGTATATAACTTATTGATCTAGTGATTGTCATAAGCAGTCTGTATTACTGAGGGCTGAAGGAGGGCTCAGTGGCACATCTGCAGTTCCAGCTACTCACAGGTGGGAGCAGAAGGATCACGTGAGCCAGGAGTTTGAGGCCATCCTATGCAGCACAGTGAGACCTCTTCTTAAAAGAAGTGTGATTGATGGGAGTGGACTGATTCAAACTAGTCAGAAGCCAAACATGCGGTAATACCCCAGAAGTGAGGTATTATAATAGAGAGGAATGATTGTCTCACAGCCAAGATGTAGAGGCTCACATTTCACAAAACAAAATAGCTAACCATGCTTTCTAGACCCCACACCTTTTCAAGTGGTACATTTATTAACTTGCATCATGTGTAACATGTAGCCTCAGATACATGTAGCCTCTAACCAAGTTAGTAGGGTTGTAAATTAGAAGGGACACAGCCTTGCTGTTCTTCGCAGCTTCTAGTCTCTACAAAACCATTTGTGATAGCAAAAATAAGATATGTGTAAAATATTGAAAATACAGGCAAGTTCCCCCATGAAAGTTAAAATAATCTGTGTTGCTCACCTCTTGAGAGTAACCACCATTAAATTTAAGAATATAAGGCTGGGGATTTAGCTCAGTGACTTAAGTGCCTGCAGACCATGCAAGTGCATGGTCGTGAGTTTGATCCCCGGTACCAAAAATAATCATCATCATCATCATCATTATCAAAAGAATGTAGACATAAGTTGCTTCCCAGCGGTGGTGCCCTTTCCTAGCTTGCACACAGCACTTCTTTTGCGCTCCAGCACTGGGAGAACAAAAGAATATATTACATTGTCTATTTGTGTATGTGGACATACTTTTTAAAAACTTGACTCATACTGTTTTGTAACATTATTTTCACTTCATATTGTGAATATTTTTCATTTCTTAGATGTCACAATTCAGCATCATTTCAGGGGCTTACATAATATCAAGTTATGTACATGTGCCAATGTTTATTTAGGCAATCTTCTATTGCTAGACTGCTTGTATTTTTAGTGATCAGAAGTCACGTGGCAATGAATGTTTGTCTAGTTCTTTTTTGCACATATCTTTAATTAGCCCTTAAATTCTTAGATAAGATGGATTGAAAGGGGGTGTTGTGTATGAGGCTTTTGATATGCATCATAGTGGTATTACTTAAATGATTCTGTATTTGTTTTCTTTTGTTTAAAATTCTCTCATCCAGAAATTCTGAGCTAGGCATGGTGGCACACATCTGTAATCCCAACACTTGAGAGGCTGAAGCAGGAGGGAGAATTATTGGCAGTTTGAGACCAGCCTAGGCTACAAAGTGAACTTGAGGCCTGAACTGCATGGCAAGACCCTGTCTCAAAAAGACAAAACAAAAAAATTCTGGAAGGAAAAAAAAATACAAACCAGAAGTGAGATGATTTAATGTATTTTGTAACTAAATTTTGGACTCTGAACCTCCTTTAAAAATACATGCATCTCTTTTGGTCTAGATTATTGACAGCTTTTCCAGAACAGTCTATTGGCACCAGTCACATTAACCCCTCTTCTCATGCATGCTGTTTTTCCTCTTTGTGCAATACATTCTCTTAAGCCAAATACCAGCTTCCTATATTCATTCCCCATAAGGATATTGGGGTTTACTGGTAAATTTAGCAATCTCAGGTGCTTTTCAAATTTGTCTACCACAGCACCTTTTTCTGTTCAATCTAGAAAGTCTGTCTGTTTTGGGTGTCTGTCTTTCCTACATTTTCCAGTACCCTCCAATGTCTCCCCCTCCACAATTTTAAGGATTTATGGAAATTAAAGTTCTTCCTTGTCACACTTATGTTAAAAAGTATTGTTCCTCTAACAAATGGGAAAAAGGGTAAGCACAAACAGGAAAATAAGAAATACTTTTTATCCCCCATCCATTCTTAACAGCCATATTGAACTTAACTGTTTTTTAAAAGTTCCCTGGTCTCTGCTTAGACACACAACTCACTTATATATGCTTATGTAATAAACTGCACTTGGGTTTTAGGGTCTTTACTTGTCAATTCTCATACTTGCTTGGGGGATAATTTGGAGGTCTTAATACCCAAACGCATCATATTTACAAACAGGGACAACAGATATGTCCAATATGTCTGCTAAATGGAGCCTTTTAATTTGTTTATTGTTCTACAAATTTGCGTTTAATTTATTTCCCAATTGATCATGCGTTTTCAGAAAGGTTTCTTTCAGGAATAATTAAGAAACAAATCCAGTCAGTTTAAGCCTTACAAGGGGTCACAGATGCCCAAGTCTTAGCAAACAGCTGGGTGTCCTGCTGAGGGCGGGTGCTGCTCTGGCCTGAAAAGAGATTTGCCAGCCAGAAACTGAATGGGGTGTTTTCCTCTTCAATTTGGGCTCAGGGAGCTAATCCGTAATCCTGCCTTGCGGTCCCCCAAAGGATAACGTAACGTATGTCACAAACAGATGTGTCCCTGCATTTGGTACTTACGAGGAAATTTCACTAGATTTTTAACATTTTAATGATGTCCTCACTTCCCCTTGAGAATGTTAATAGTGAAGCCAAAGGAACGTCATTGAAGGTTATTGAAATCTTGCAGGTTATTGAAATCTTGTATTGCCGAATAGTTTCCAGTCCCAAAGCAAGCGTTTCAGTAGCCATGTGTGAATAAATGTAGGAGAAGTTTCACCTTACAGTGGGTGAGCACGAGGGTTTTTCTCAGCTTGGGGGTCTTTAAATAAAGATAGTACTTATAGAGATGAATAAAAAGATAAAAGCTGAGAACAGTACCATTGAGACAGAGACAAACAGCAAAACATCCGACCCTGGAGAGAGTATTGCCCTGGAGAGGGCAATACTCCCACTGCCCCATCCCTTGGTTCCCCTTACTAAGTGTGGGTGCAGAGCAGGAGGTGAGTCAGAGAGAATTAAATCTCCATCAGTTAATTTTACTTCTGCCAATTAGTCCTACTAGAAAGACTAGTGGAAAACACACTCAAACATCGCTTTCTCTGCTTTAAACTCTATGGTTTTGAATTATCAGTGCCATACCCTTTACTTTCTCCTGGATAATTAAGGCTTAGCTGAATGTAGTTGAATAGCAAACGCAAACACTGTCAATACAGGAGAATTTTATTCTTTACTATAGTATTTTTTTTGTTTTGTTTTTTGTCTTTTTCCTTTTTATCAGTACCAGGGATCGAATTCACGACTGCCTGCTTGCAAGGCAGGCGCTTATGCCGCTGAGCTAAATCCCCTGCCCCTACTATAGTATTTTGAATGGTTGATACCGAAATGCCAAATACATTTGTCATTTGCATTTTAACAATACATTCATTTCTCATTTTATGAAAATACTAAATATTAGGCACTGTTTCTTAAAATACAGTAATTATGATGTAAGATTACAAAGCAGTATGAAAAGAGAAAATTATCTAACATATTACTATGGAATCACTGAATAGCAATATAGTTAAAAATTCATTTACATCTGTCCTCACATCATACATCAGAATAAACTCCAGATGTATATATAGGTTAACTTTTTAAAAATCACCTACAAATAACTTTTTTGTTTTGTTTTTTCCAGTACCGGGGATTGAATTCATGACCTTGTGCTTGCCAGGCAGGCACTGATGCCGCTGAGCTAAATTCCTGGCCATGGCTTTTAAAAAATAGATTAGACAGTAGAGCAAATTACAAAAGAAATGATAAATTACATAAAATAGATTATTCCAAAATAATAAGCCTAGCAGAAAAAGGCTTATAAAAAAATTTTTGTGTGTCAAACAAATAGAGAAAGAGTGTCTTCAAATTTATGAGAACTATGAGACCCTAACAGATAATTGGCCAAGAAGATGATTTCACATTTAATAGAAAGCAGATGTACTAAACAAATGTGAAGAAAATATTCTGTATTTGCAGACCAATGAGTGCAAACTTATAAAACACTTAGTCAAGTCAAAACTAAAAAAACAGTTCATAACACTGCCAGCAGAATTACAGTAAAACCAACATCTTCAACATACACTAGCATTGTCCTTTTGGGTAGCATTTTGGAATAGATGTATTCCAAGAGCCAGGGAACATTTTACTCTTTAATTTAGGAAGTGAATCTGAAGGGATAATGTAAAGGAAAAGATCAAATTTAAATTTTGAAAAATACATAATACATGAATCAAGTAGAAAATTTTAGAAAAAAAACTCCAACATTTGTACTAGCTTTAGTAGTTGTATTAAAAATTAACTAGGGCTTTTATAAAGTTGTTTAAAGATGCAATGTCCCAGAATTTAACAATAGTATTTTATTCAGTCTCCATGCTGGTCAAAATGACACCACTTTTAGTTCTTTATGAAAAATTCCCCAAGAAGGAAAATTCTCTCATAATGTGCCATTGATGCGTGTGTGTTTCAGGAATAAATTTGTGGGAATAAAAGTGAGATTTCATAAGCCATTTGATATTTGTCATAGATGCCCTCGATATATTCAAAATAGTCAAACCCATGACCTTTCCTCCCAAATCTCACTTGTGTTGCTTGTCCCTTTGCTGATTTCATATTTGTGAGCTCTTTGTATCTTAGAGAAAGTTTCTTTGATATAGCATCTACTCATCTTCAATAGAGCAGAAAGTTTAACACTGTTCCCACCCGAACAATAGAATGAACGCCATGCTATAAAACACCTTTGCTGTAATTACTTCTCTGCTCCACGTAGCTGTGTTACGAAGGTCACATTTTAGTCATTGTAAGGCAAAACCACATCTTATTAAGAATCTGACAGGCTGTTTCTGCTCTTGCTTCATCAAAGTAGTAGACAATGAGTTCATTTGCTTTCAAGCCCAGAATGTCTTCAAAGTCAGCTCAACGCCACTTTATTTCCTGTTCTGCACACAGTGACCTTTTCAGTGCTCTGATGAGAATCTCAGGTAACCTTCAGTGTTGTCATCTCTTGCTCCTCACTCCGTGGGGCCTCTGGCTCTTTGATGTTCGGTTCTTCCCTGTACTAATGCTCTGGTAAGAAGGGGGACAAAGAGGAGGATTGATAGATTGTGTTATTACTTTCATGAGTTACAAGTACACAATGAGTGAATGTTTCAAAGTGCCTTATTTTAAAATAAAATTCATTATAGCAGTGGAATAAGCTTATGATTAAAAAAGTACAGAAAAGGAAAAAAAATACAACATGAATCACAAACAGTGTCACTTAGAAATGACCGCTGCTAAATCTTGGTGCACAAAGGGTACTTTTCAGAGAAAGAAAAGCTGGAAAGCTTGCGAGTTGTAAGTAATGAGTTCACTTACAGCTGTATGACCTCGGGGAATTCATTTGACCAACTTAAGCCTAGTTTCCTAACCTTTAATACTAGAGTCAGGCCAGGCTTGCAGGGTTAAACATGCACTGTATGTAAAGCACTATGCTGGTAAATGCTAACAGAAGTATTACACATAGGTTCTTGAAAGAATGTTGTTGTAAGGATTCACTGAGCATCTGCACTGGAAACTCAGAAAGGAATAAAAAGCCTACAAGGGCTATGGGGTGGGAACAGTGCTGTTGAGGCAGCTAGAAAATCTGACTGAACAACAGGGTCGGAGGCGTGATAGGCCGTCTGCCAGGAGGAGAGTGTACTGCAGCTCTCTCCAATCTGTTGACTTCAGTGGTTAAAACGAGGATGCACCTAAGTTAGATCACTATGTGACCTAGAGTCCCAAGGCCCATAGACAGATTTTGTCTGGTGGGGGAAGGCAGAGGGCAGGGGTCACTCCAGGTGATGAAATTGGTACCTTCAGCATGACTTTGTAGAATGCTCCCTGAGCGGATCCCAAGGTCTTGTCACGCTTGTTCTCCCCTTGTGTGCCTAGATACTTGGGAAGTGCCATTTGAGGAGATCTCAGAGCTCCAGTGGCTGGGTAGTGGAGCCCAGGGAGCTGTCTTCTTGGGCAAATTCCGAGCAGAAGAGGTGGCCATCAAGAAAGTGAGAGAACAGAATGAGACGGATATCAAGCATTTGAGGAAGTTGAAGCACCCTAACATCATCGCATTCAAGTAGGTCAAGGCTTTTTTTTTTTTTTTTTTAAGAAACAGATCTATTTTCTTTAACCAAATATATGCACATAAGTTCCTGATTCAAAAGACATTTTAGGAATATTAAGTAGACTTATCACTGCACTAGGTGCTTTGAGACAGTACTAAAGAACTATTAACATTGGGCACCGTGACATATACCTGTAATCCTAGTACTCTAGGAGGCTTAGGCAGCAGCACTGCAAATTCAAGCCCAGGCTGGGCAACTTAATGAGACCACGTCTCAAAACTTTTAAAAAACATTTTTAAAAGGCTGGAAAGGAGGACATTGGTGACACACACCTGTAATCGCAGTACTCAGGAGGCAGAGGCAGGAGGATTACCACGAGTTCGCAGCCAGCCTGGGCTGCACAGTGAGTTCAAGGCCAGCGTGAACTACACAGCAAGACCCTACCTCAAAAAAAATTTAATTAATTAAAAAATAAGTAAATAAAAAGGGCTGAAGATGTAGCTCAGTGCAAAAGCCTTGGGTTCAATCCCTAATAATGCAGAAAACAAACAAATAACCCAGGAAAACCAAAACCACATAGAAACTAGTCCTGACCTTAGGCATCTTTTAAGCCATGTCATTTTGCAAGAACCTATGCTTCATGGGAGAAATGCACACAGAGACGGGAGGTAGATTCTCACCAGGCAGGCAGATCCTCTGCGTCAACCTCTTTCAGCAGTGGGTGGCAGAGATCACTTCCAGGTAACCTGAACATCCCCAAACTCAGTTTAAAAAAACAAAGTTACAGGGCCAGGGATTTAGCTCAGTAGTATAAGCACCACCTGCGTGAGGTCATGAGTTTGATACCCGGTAACTAAAAAAAAAAATGTTATCATCAGAAATGATCAGAAAATAATCATTCCTTGAGTAATTGATGTTCATTAGGTTTCTACTGTCATTAGTTCTTAAATTATTAAGCTGTAATAGTCTCAGGTTTTCCTGGGTCTTTTATCTAGTCGTGGTACACACAACTTTCTAATCCAGCAATAGTAGAATTATTGGTGATATTGTTTCATTGTATTCCTTTCACAAAATACTTATTTTTAGGTGCACAAGTGTATCTTTCTAGTTAGACCATTATATATTTTCTCAGTGTTGATGGGAATCCCTAACAGGAGAAAAGTCAAAGGTAAATTTGTGGAAGTCCCCAGTTCTAGAAATGCTGAACTCCACATAACCTCTTCCTTTTGAGCTCCCTCTCTCCCTTGCCAGCCTTCCAGTGTTGCCATAGACCTGAGCAAATGAATGGCTAGTGGTTTCAGAGGAGAAAAGGTAAAGCACAGGAACTATAGTCCTGAAATGGAGTGAAGGTTTAGAAACTACAGCTTCTGGAATATTTCGTATATATTTTTCATTCCTAGAAAATAGTTTAACTGATTAGGCTGTAGTTAAAAGAAGTGAAATGTGTTACAAATTTCCCTTCCCTAAACTAGGAGCCACTTTTCCTGGTGGCCTCAAGAAGGATGCTTTCTCTTATAACACTGTCGCTACAAAGCTCACAATGTCATGTGGGTGTTAATGGGAATCATATCCCTAAAGTAAGGAAAAGACATCTTGGGTACAGCTTTGTAGAATAGATTTAAATGATTGCTGAGGCTAAGTTTTAATTTCCTGTCAAGACCTCGATGGAAGGGAAAATACAACTAAACAGAGGCATTCGGCTGGGACACCAGAGGATGGAAGGCAGGTTTGGACTCATTTCTGTGTGGAAGGGACACTCATTCAGAAGACGTGGAGAGCTCCAGTTGTGTTGTAATTCTCTCATTGACTGCTCTAGTGGATTTAAATGCTGTAGACAAATTATAAGTGGTCAAAGATGGTAAATGTCAAAAGCAAAAGGGAGGGCTGATTTCAGTGTACACGCCAAGAAGACATCTTCTACTTTCCTTCATTTCACGTCTCTGAAACAACCACACTTTCTGCACACTGTGCCCTTCTAAGTGGAAGAAAAAGCCATGAACTTGTAAACTCAGGTCATTAGGTGGAGACTAAGAACACAGTGTTCTCCGGACAGCATGCAGAGGTAAGGTAGGGACGGAGTATTCCGGGATCATGCCCCGGGGAAGGGAGAACAGGAGCATGTCAAAGAGGATGGACGATGAGAAGCTTTATTTTTCCCTCCTGGCCTTTACTTCGGTTTTCCTCTTAGTCTTTCCCTCCCTAGCTCTTCTAACAATCTTATCTCCACATTTAGTTTTCAGCATTGCTGGACAAGTCGTGCTGTGCTGGCGCCCAACTCTTTAAGCTAAAGATAATTGAATAGTCTTTACCTCTAGGTGGAAGACAATAGTGAGACTGTGTCCCTGGCCCGTGACACCACACTCTTGGGGCATTGTGCAGTGTTATGTTTGCAGCCATCTGTGCCATGTGCTATTGGCCAATGAGTCACATTCAAGACTGTCTGGAAGATAAGGGGGCACGATTAGAGTTTAGTGGCTCTAAATTCCTGTGCTTCCAGTGTCTTTTGAAGTTTGTAGGGACCTTGTACAGAAAAGAAAGTACAAGATAAGAATACTATATTTTTTCCTTTCTTTTTGTAATCTTTTAAGACAGTCCAACCTGACTCTTCCTCATGAAATTCAGTGCAAAGGGAAGAAAAGGTAGCAATTAGAGTTAAGTGATTATTAAGCTGTTATTTATAGGTACTAAGAAGCCTTGTCATAGTATACAGAACTGCTAGAGTGATTGCTTCATTTCATTCGTCAGAGTCGGGAGAGATGAAAAGTTTATAACATTATCACTCTTAGACCCATCATATATTTGTGTGACAAGTTAAAACATAGTTAAATAAGATGCTGGACACCTTTAAACAAATGTTTATCTCGATATTGTTACGCACATTATATTATTCCTTTCCTGTGTATTACTTCCCTGCAGTGTTAATTAAATTATTTAATTAATAATTGTACTTATCTTGTACTCCACTGAGTTTTTATAGAAGTAAAATAGCATATACTTGAAATGTTCCCATTAGAAATTGAGATGAGAGTCCTAGCTACTCTAGAAAATGGTAGAAGGATAATAGAAATAGCTTTATAACTTTTGGCAAGTGCATCAAAGCGGGGAAAATGGAGGCTAATTAAATTCTTCGTTACCTGCTGTTGTTACACGACCTTCGCATGATCAACACTTCAACTTCCGGCCTTGAAATTCTTTCCTCACCCGAGAGACAGGACACGAATCACTAGCTGAATGGAGAATTTCCCAGATGTCTGGTAGACAATACTCTAAACTTTTCTAGAAAGGTTTAAAGAGAAGTGCACATGCCCTTAAGAGGTGGAACACAGAAAATTACATATTACAATTTTTTCTTTCAACTTAAGAACAAAACTGTGACGGGAAAGTTATAGGACTATTTCCACTTTAAAGAGCTAATGGTGTTAATATAGGAATCCTCAATGTGCTCGTCCATATAGAGTTAAAAGGCTGAAAAGGAGCAGGTGTAGTACAGGGAGAGGAAAGGGGCTGCCTTTGAAGTTGGATTGGATTTAAATGTGTAACTTATTACTTTTGTGAACTACTGGTAGTCGTGATTAAGATAAGCCCCTTTCGTTTGTAGACTTACCTGTAAAAAACACTGAGGCAGGAGGATCACAAGCTCAAGCCAAGCATAGACAGTTCGGTAACTCGTCTCAAAGTAAAACATTTAAAAAGAGTTGAAAACGCGCTTCATTGCGAAGTCCCTGAGAATCCGCATTATTGCAAAAGCAAAGCAACAAAAACAAAACAAAACAAGGGCTGCTGTGTCGTGGGAACTTGAAAGAAAGCTCTTCGGGGGCTGGAATAATCAAGAGCCCCTTCATGGGGGGAAAGATGGAAATGCAGGCTGCGTGGAGGTCTGACATATATGCTATTTTTATTCTAAATATGTTCCTCAAAGACAAGAAGTAGGAAGAATTATTTATATGCATTTTTAATCACTTGAATAGAGACTTGGTCTTTATTATTCTTAAAATATAAATATACATGTGCTTGTATGTCTGCATTGATGTCCATTTTTGTGTTCTCTTGGAAGGGGTGTTTGTACTCAGGCGCCGTGCTACTGTATTATCATGGAGTACTGTGCTCATGGACAACTTTACGAAGTCTTGCGAGCAGGCAGGAAGATCACACCCCGATTGCTAGTAGACTGGTCCACAGGAATTGCAAGTGGAATGAATTATTTGCACCTCCATAAAATTATTCATCGTGATCTCAAATCGCCTAAGTGAGTTCATCTATTTTGTTGTTTGAAATAAGAATTTTTGTCAGCCATAGTTGAAGTTTTCAGACATCATGTATATAGCTGAGGTTAAGTTAGCACTGCAGGTAATCTACTTGAGGATTTTGGGGGTTATTGTTGAGCTTATTTGGATTATTGTAGACACTAGTTTCCTGTTTTGTTGCTTTTCATCACACAACTGTGCAGCAAAATTCATGATTATCTGCACTACTCACCTCTTATCCTTACGGATAATTAATGCCACACTGTTCCACCCGAAGTCTTGGTTTGTTTTTCTATTGTGTTCCAAACAAATTTTTTTTAATTGAGTTTCTGAAATGTACATAATAGGGTAAAAATAGGTAAATAAGAAACATACACACAAAAAATAAAAACAGTAGAATCTAGAATTGTTCAGAAAATGTACACCATAAAATTCTACACAGTTGGGGTTGGGAATTTAGCTCAGCAGCATAAGCACCTGCCTTGCAAGCAGGGGGTTGTGAGTTCAATTCCCGGTACTGATAAAAAAAAAAAAAAAGGGCTGGGGATTTAGCTCAGCGCATAAGCACCTGCCTTGCAAGCACGTAGTCATGAGTTCAATCCCCGGTACCGATAAAAAAAAAAAAATTAAAAGGAAAAAAAAATTCTACACAGTCATTCAAGGTGGACTACATACATACTGGGCTTTGAGCTTCTGAGCATCTAAGCAAAAGAAAAAATAAATGGTTATAGTTACTATATCCATAAGAAAAGTAGTTAAAGAGAAGCAGAACTGTTTCTAGAATCTGTGTTTGCAAAATTACTCCTTGGTAATAAGTAACCACTTTAAGAGAAATGTTTATTCAGTTCTCCAAATTACAGGAATGCAAAAAAGAAACTGATAAGATGGTATATTTGTATGTAGCTCCTATTTTTAAACATTATTTTTATTATTTCTCATCATTTTGGTTTTTCTCATCATCTTTCTAGACTGATCACTTTTCAAAAACATTTGCATAATGTTTTCATGATTTATAACATTTTTAATTATCCATTATCACATCTTCTTTAATTCTGGCAAAAACTATATGGGGTAGATTTGACAATGCCATTGTTATTATTTTATATAAGAGAAACCTCAGCCCAAAGTCATGGGACTAGACCTTGAACCAGAACTTTGGAACCAATGATACTGCATCCTCTCTCATCCTGCAAAGATAAAGAGTTCACAATGGATTCCCCCTCTTCTGCTTGGCAGACAAAAATCTGTCCCTGAATATAAACTTAAAGTTGCTCACATTTATCACCATCATTCTCAACAGTATTTATTACAACAGTTCACTGACCCACCTCCTTGCTTTATGTGCAAATAAATGTTGATATATAGGGTCTGTTGCTTCTGTTGAAGTTCTTTACACACTATGCTGCTTTTGCCATTCCCTGCACACACATAAAGCACATGAAATACTTGCCAAAGCCATTTTGAATGATCTCCTTTTTAATCATCATGTTATCCTGGAGAATTAATTTCAGAGAGGAGTTAGGAAATCTTAGACTGTTACAGTCAGGAGTACGTAACAGTGGAGAGTACGACCAGCAGTACTCTCTTCACACCTGTCACTTAAAGGTTAGAGTAGTAAGCTGTTCTCCTGGTGAGTCTTCGCCTATCAGCCATACACCTGCCCAAATAGGTGGTCTGAGCCTCTGGATTTTAGGTGAACTTTAAGAAGACAAATATTAACCTGGCTCACTGTAACAAGCGATTTCATTAGCTATATTAAGTCTAGAATCTGTACAACCCTAACTTTGTTCAGGATTTCAGAAAAAGTCCCAACACTGCATCAATTCTAACCTTCCAAATGCACTCCCTCTGTGCCAACTGAGGCAGACGTAGAAATTCCTAATGGAAATTCTAGGGGCTCATCGCTTTGGTACCTTTCATGGCATATGGTAATAATTTCCCTGGTGTCTCAGATATCCTGTAACATTTTAATCATCATGCATTTTCACCAGTGCTAGTAGTATAAAATCAAAACTCCCAAGTGATGAAATTTCCATATCAGAGATCGGCTGTGGCTGAAGGTATTCTAAGCAGTTGTTAGCACTGAGCTTTTCAGTTAATAACCATTTGGCATTAGGGGTGTGAGTGAGGCAAAAAGAGAAGGGAGATAGGTTAGAAAATGTTCTGTTTTCTAGCCTCATCAAGTTGGATATTGTTTTTTTTTATTTATTTTTTTTTTATATTTTTTTTTCGTTTTTATCGGTACCAGGGATCGAACTCACGACTGCCTGCTTGCAAGGCAGGCGCTTTTGTCGCTGAGCTAAATCCCCAGCCCCTAAGTTGGATATTGTTGAGTATAAAGTCTCTCATTGTTAAAAACAATAGGTTCCTATATCTAAATTAGGGCTCTTACTCCCTAATTCCTGTATATTCTAAAGTTCTGAACATGTTTTTCACGTGAATTCAGTCTACTGTGGGAAGCTGCCAGGGTTTGAATTTATATTCGTCTTCACCGCTCACAAGAGCAGTTTGGTCCAGGACACGTTTCAGATAACTCCCGTGAAACCTAAAACATGGCTCACGTGGAGCTACTTACACTGAGGTTCACTTCTGCTGTCCCTTATCAGCACTAGTGAAATCCCAGCAGCCACATTAGTCTTTCAGCGAGTGAGTCCCCAGTGTCATTGTTCCATTCATTTTAGTTGCCATCATTTAAATAATGTTTAGAAAGAAATGTTCTCGGGGCTGGGGATTTAGCTCAGCAACATAAGCGCCTGCCTTGCAAGCAGGCAGTCGTGAGTTCGATCCCTGGTACTGATAAAAACGAAAAAGACAAAAAAAAGAAAGAAAGAAATGTTCTCTTGGGGCCTGGGATACAGCTCAGAGGCACAGTGTGTGCCTAGCAAGGGTGAGATTATGAGTTCGATTCCCAGCACAAGAAAAAAAGAAGAGGACTTAGAAATGTTTTCTTTAGTGGATTAACTGATACTTGTAAGGATGGAAACCAATATATATGGAATACTGGTGCTTTAGTATCTTAGATCATTTAATTCAAATAAGAATTCAAAGAGGTCATTATAAAATGACCCATATAGGATGATACAGGCCAAGAGACCCTTACCCAAAATTCATAGAGCCAGATGACTTCAGAAAGATGGTTCCCATCACTGTAGATATCCAGCAAAGTTGAGCAGCCCCCTGCACTCAACCACTTTAATGTCTCTGTGCTGAAACCTGTGAAGTTGGTACAGATGGGATAAAGCATGTTGGCCTTATAAACATGAACAAGTATGTGTAAGCTATTTTGAGGACTTCCAGCAGTTCTGAACTGTGACTAAGGTACTGTAACCTGAATTATCTCCATTTTGCAGACAAGAACACTAGCTTAGAAGAATCAAGTAACCTGGTAAAGGTTACACAGTTAGCAAGTACAGAGGCAGGGTAGGGCCAGAGCTGAAAGCATCCTGAGGCCGCCTTACCAGTCTGAATGGGCCTGTTTCTAGTACATAGCTCATGCCTAGCGATGCTGCAAACTGCAAGCCCAGTGCTACAAAGAACAAGGCAGTGAACATTTTCAGTTGCCAGTTAGAGTTGTGGTTTTCATTAGTACTAATGATCTGGGTTTTTTTTTTTAATTTCTTTTTTTTAAAGTGTTTTAGTGACTCACACAGATGCAGTGAAAATTTCAGATTTTGGGACATCTAAGGAACTCAGTGATAAGAGCACCAAGATGTCCTTTGCTGGCACCGTGGCGTGGATGGCTCCAGAGGTGATACGGAATGAGCCCGTGTCAGAGAAGGTCGACATATGGTGAGTGGCAGCTGGGGAACATTCTCCCACTCGTGCTCCACTGGGATTTCTTCCTTCTATACTTAACCAAAATAGCCTCCTTTTTTCCCCCCTGTGCTACTGTGAATTGAAACCAGAGACTTTGCACTAAGATCCATCTCTAGTCCTGTTTATTTTCTTTTTAATTTTGAGACAGAGTCTCTCTAAGTTGCTAAATTGTCCAGGCTGGGCTCGAGCTTGTGATTCTCCTGCCTCATCTTCCCAGGGTGCCGGGCTTATAAGTGTGAGCCACTGTGCCCAGCATCTTTTAAAATATGTGTATTTTTTTATCTGCATTTAATTCTTTGATTAATGTGTAATTTATCTTGATATAGGGTGAGGGATAGATTTAACTTTTCCCTAGTTGCCCCACACTGTTTATTAACTAGTCAGTTTTTCCCATGAGTTTGTGACATCACTTCTACTGTATGTTCAGTTTCTGTTACATTGGATCTATTTTTATGCAGCCCATTGGTCATGCTGTCTACACACACACCAGAATTAATGATTGGGACTTTATGTCATAATATTTGGTGTTGTTGGTTACTTTTCATTGATTTTCTTTTTCAGAGACTTCCCAGGTTTTCTGTTTTTCCTAGAGTAGTAATTTGAATTTTAAAAGTTCAATTTAAAAATAGCCAGGTGTGAAGCCTGGGCTACATCATGAGACCCTGTCTCAAAATTCAAAAAAAAAATAAAGAACTAAAATGCAAATCAGTCACTCTGACATGCTTTTGTACATGTCCCTCATTCTGCCCCAGGTCCTTCGGTGTGGTGCTGTGGGAGCTGCTAACAGGGGAGATCCCCTACAAGGATGTGGATTCTTCAGCCATCATTTGGGGCGTGGGGAGCAACAGCCTGCACCTTCCAGTTCCTTCCACTTGCCCTGATGGATTCAAAATCCTTATGAAACAGACATGGTAAGAGACATGTTTCTTCCAGCATCCTCTCATCCTTTCTTCCTCAAGTGCATGCGTAAAGCTCTCCTACACCAAGAGGTCTCTACTGTGTATTTGGAACACATCTGGTGGTGGAAAGATGAGGAGCTGTGGAGTTTGAGAATCTTGGGTTCAAATACTGGCTTCACCTTTTTTTTTTTATCTATATACCTCGGATCACATCATTCACATAGCAGTTTTCACATCTGTGAAACAGAAATTGCAAAGAAAAAAGACCAAAAAAAAAAAAAAAAAAAACAATTGTTTGGGGCTGGGGATTTAGCTCAGCAGCATAGGCGTCTGCCATGCAAGCAGGCAGTCATGAGTTCGATGCCCGATACCGATAAAAAAGGAAAAAGACCAAAAAAAAAAAAAAAAAAAAACAGAAATCGCACCTGCTCCTGGAGTTACCGTGTTGTGACTGAATAAAATTTATAAATGAAGAAGTTGGTGTTCTATACTGAAATGATGGGCTTTAGTAAATGATACTGCCATTACCTTAGCAGCCCTTTGGGCCCGGGACCCTAGCTAGACTTCCCTCTCACCAGTAGTGGGATCTCCTAATTACATTTCCCTTCCACCCTTCAGAACGTCAAGACTTGTCTACGAGGTGGCCATTTTGGGGGAACCCAAATGTGCTTCATAAAGTAGAATAAAGTCTTCAGCCTCCAGATCATGACTTCCAAGACGCATAAATTGTCTTCTTTATTTTAGGCAGAGTAAACCTCGCAACCGGCCTTCTTTCCGGCAAACTCTCATGCACTTGGACATCGCATCCGCAGATGTCCTGGCCACCCCACAGGAAACTTACTTCAAGTCCCAGGTAAGCGGGGCTTCTGTCCTCCCAGGGCAGCTGAGCAGACAGCTGAGGACGCTCAGAGGGACAGGGCTGCTCTCAGAAGGGTGCTGTTCGTGGCCTTCAAACAATTGTATAGCTCTGTTCTTTGTGAAATAATATTATGACACTTCACACATAGGACATTTGGTAGTTTGGTAACTAACATATATGACCTTGCTTAAAAGAACATTTACGTTGGAATGTCATCCTTCGTGGGTTCTGGTGAAATTGCTGAAAAAAGAGGGGGAAAGCGTGTGAAAAACTATCACACACCTACATTTGAATTCAGACTTCTGTTGATCTTCATGAGGGTCTTGCTCTCCTTGATGCAGAAAAGCCAGAACACAGAAGAGGGAAGTTAAACATCAGAAAGAGTCTGCTATATGATTAAGCCCACAGAAAACCTTCTGTCTAACTTGGAGTGGGTTACCTGGCAGCTCCAAGTAAAATATAAATTAATCTATTAATCTATGATCTTCCCTGTACTAAAACCATCCCAGGCCTTACAGCTTAAAATAACAGACATTTCTTTAGCTCACTGTTCTGTGGGTTGACAGTACTTCTGGCTCTAAGCAGGCTCGCTCACATGTCCGCTGGGGGTCAGCAGGTTTCCTGGAAGGCTGGCCGCCCTCAGTGGTCTCATTTGCAAGTCTGCTGAGAGTTTGGCATTAGTGGGAGCTCCTACTACTCATCTGTGTGGCTGCTAAGCCTGGGCAGGCCAGCTCGGGCTGGTTCACACATGTGTTCTCAGGGTAGTAAACACAGCAGGAGAACAAGGCCCCGTGCACAAGATTTCCAAGCGTGTGTTTGCATTGTGCCAACCAAGACCCCTGAGCCAAATCAAGTCACAGCCCTCTCAGATCTAGAGAGTGAGAACAGATGTATGTCAGCTCTTGACAGGAAGATCGCAATAGATCCAGAGAGAGGAAGAATTATGGCTTTAAATAAAAATGCTGTAAATGCCGTAAAGGTTGGTGGTCTGGCCACGGCCACTATGGACAGGGAATGACTGTTTGGGATGTCCATACCCCTACTAGAGCCAGGCAGTATCAAAAGGCATAAAGCTGTGGCTTTTGAATTAAATGTGATGATCCTAAATGATAGCTTCATGCTCATAGAAAGTGTGTTACTGAATTCCTTCCTCCTCATATGACTTTGTTATTGTGCTTGTAAAATAAATTTCTGTAAGTTAAATTCCATCTCTTTGTTGACTTTCAGCATTGTTTCAAAGACTTATTAAAGATAAGAATAAAAAAATTAACAGAATAATATACTTTAGGTTCTTTAAGTATAAGTCAGCAGTTCTTAAAGTGTGATCTGTAGACTTCTAGGTGTTCCCAAGACTCAAGTCATCCAGGAGATTGAAACTATTTTCATAATAATATTAATTCATTATTTACCACTTTCATTCTCATTTTCTCAGGAGTATAAGTGAAGTGTTCTGTAAGCCAGGTGTGGTGGTGCACACCTGTAATTCTAGCACTTGGGAGGCGGAGGCAGGAGGAGTGCCGAGAGTTGAGGTCTACCTGGCCTACATGATGAGTTCAAGGCCAGTCTGAACTATATAATGAGAGCTTATCTCAAAAAACAACAACAAAAAAGTGGAATATCCTAGAAAATTTTTATGGCGTGATGATTTAGCTCTGGTGGCCAATGGAATGTTTGCTTGTCTGTTCTTATATGTAATTTTTCAGTCTTAATTTCTAGTCTGATAAGTATCAATAACTGTAGCTCACATAAACAAATGTTCTTTGGAGTTTTTAGTAACTTATGTGAATAATGAGATCCTGGACCTAGAGGGCTGGGGATTTAGCTCAGTGGCTTAAGTGCCTGCCTGGTAAATGCAAGGTCATGAGTTCAATCCCCAGTACCAAAAAAAAAAGGAGATCCTGGACCTAAAATTTTGAGAGTCTCTGTTATAAAGCATTCACCCTACTCCCTAACCCCCACTTCAGTGGGTGCTGGGTTTAATTCCAGGACAGTACCTGCCGAACAAAGTGACCAGACTGGGGGGGGGGGGCGGGGCAGGGCATCATCCCTGAGTCTTCTGAGGCCAAGCCAAAGGCAGGAACACTAGCTTTCCTGATAGTAGATAAATGTCATCTGCCCATCAGACAGTGAGGCATAGCTTAACAAAGCAGAAAGGTGTTTTTTTTTTTTCCAGTTTCTAAGGAAGAATAAATCAAAAACTCATCCTGTTGGCAAAAGTTCTAACACACTTTATATGATCTACAAACCTAGCCTTCTCCATAACTGTGTCTTTAAACAGCATATATTACTGAGAAATGGTTATGTAAATAAAGTTTATCTTTACAGAAAGTTAAAAAATATGGGAGACTAAGTTCATGGTATTTCATATGGTCTTTGTTATACACTCTGAAAGTTCCTTTAGAATTGTTAAAACTATTTTCTGTCTATTCAAATACATGTAGGAATGGAGTATTATATGAAACGTTTTAAATATCTTCTGTTTGTGTTTAGAAAAGACTTAGGCCTTTGACTGCTCTCCAGGAAATCTTTCAAACTTCAGGATACATTTCATTCACACCTCTTCTCTCTTTACAACAAAACTGTACATACCACAGTTTTGGAAAAGCAATTTGTGGTGAAGATACTAAGTCACAAGCCCTTGCGGCAGTCAGTTTAACTATGTATATTTGTAAAAATTCAAATTCTAAGTAGATTTTATTTAAATGCTCTCAAAGCATCACTTCTGAGGCCAGCACGGCTTTTCTGAGAACATACCTTGTGCAGTACCTTGTGTCGGGTGACAAAATACCCACACTCAGTATTTCTCCACCTGGACCTACCCACTTTTATTGTCAAGAGAGCCCTGGGATGAGGGTTAACTCATGAGAGTTAACTTTTGAGCTCAGAAAGGTTGTTCTGGAGCAAGACTGGAGAGGAGAAGGAGGAAGAAGGAAAGAGAAGGAAAGAAAGCAAAAGAGAAAATAGCACCTTGGGCATCTGTTTTAGGAAGGTCAGGCTGCCACAAAATGCCAGACCCCGAGTGGCTTATAAACAATGGATGTTTGTTTCTTACAAATCAGAGGCTGCGTAACCCAAGTTCAAGCCCAAGGCTGCAGCAGACTGGGAGCATGTAAGGGTGCAAGTTGTGGCTCCTAGGTGATACCTCTCCCTCAATCCTCACATGGTAGAGGGACAGATAAGCTCCAGGGCCTCGCTGTATACGGACACTTACACTGTCGACTGTCAAAGGCCTCACCACCTTTTGCTGCCACTTTGGGGCTTAAGGTTTCAGCATATAATTCAGACCTCAGCAGCACCTTCTAATATTCACTAACCCAGCCACACTCTTCACCCAACGTAAGATTATACTTATCCTTCACTATCTACAAATCTGCTGCTCTTGACAGTGTGTAGAATTTTGAAGGTATTTACAAGCTGATTCATCACTGACTCTGAAATCGAGTCTGTCTCTGGCTAATGATAATAAAGTATTTATGAACTAGCTAACAAGATACTTGGAAAAGCAGTGACCTTGAGTCCGAATCCCTGTCCTGTCACTTAATACTATGTCACTTAATACTACTTGAGTAAGTCACTTAATTTCTCCAAATACAAGCTTCCTCACTCAAACAGTGGAGATAATCACATCTCCCCTGTCTTAGGGAGTATCTATGAAAACTACAAAATGCACATGCATTGTAAATTATCGAGAATACTTTGATGGTGAAATGTCTTTTTTCACTTCTCACAAGGCTATGAAAGCAAGCTTCCTGTGGGTTGTTACCTGCTGGGTACTTTTTCTGATGAATTCTGAGCTAAAGCAGATAGCAGTTAGGGAACCTCTATTAATGTGCTTTGACTTGATCTTGCCCCGACAGGGTAGTGGCCGTTCTGCATACACCTGGCTTGCTCTTGCTATGGCAGTCTTGCGCCTGCGGCCAAGCCTCCTTTAGCCTGCTGATGAGATGCCCTCAGCCTCAGTCAGTGTCCCCAGTCCCTGCTCTCCACCTTCCACCCAGACTGCCTGTCAGTAGTGCCGCCAGAAGTCCAGCTCACCCTTCCTGGGAGAAAAAGCTTCCTCTGTTTCCCAGCAGCAACACGTGTAGAAAACACAGATGACAAAGCAAGCAATTTGAGTACAGTATTAGAGTCTGCCAAGGCTACTGGTCTCTCCCAGACACCGCCCAATTCCCCAAGGTGCCGATTATGGCTCCTGGTACTCAGTGACTTTCCCTTTGAGTCCCTAGAAAATGATTTAACCTTGTCCCATAGTCCAGCTGCTATGGGTCACAAACGCTGCTTTGAAGCCCTGCTAGGACCCTCTGCCTTTGACTAAGCCCCCAGCACCTTGCTTTTGTGTTTCTTAAACTGAGACTGCCTTGACTTAGTTTACTTTTTTAAAATTATGGAAAAATAAACATAGTATAAAAGTTGCTGTTTTAAGTAGGCAGAGTGTAGATGTTAGTGGCATAGGTTACATTCACTATGCTGTGAAACTGTTACTGTGACTTCCAAAAATTTTCATCGCCCCATGGAACAGCAGCTCTCTATCTCTCTCTCCTCTAGTGGCTGATAATCTCCATTCTGCCATCTATGAATCTGCCTGTTGTAGACATATCATTTAAGTGAAATCACACAATATTTGTTCTTTTATGTCTGACTTATTTCACTTAGCATGTTTTTGGGTTTCATTTATGTTGCAGCATGTGGAAGACTGTTTTATGGTTATATAATATTCTATCATGTGCACTATATTTTATCAGTTAATTCATCTCCATTTTGATTTCAGTATGATGGGAGATGAAAGAAACAGTGTTTGATAGAAAAGATCTAGGCTACTAATTGAGTAACCAGGAGTCTGGAAGCTTTGTGAATGGAAGGGGCTTCTCTAGGTCTCTGCTGGGACCCAAAGAAGTTATCAGTAATGGTAGTCATCCAACTTTCACTTGGTTTTCCCCTGCCTGCTCATGCAGGACTCAGGTACTTTTAAGCACTCCCTTCTCACTCCCTTCCCACAAACACACACACACACACACACACACACACACACACACACACGTACATGTACAGCACACACACACCTGTGCATTTTTGGGGGGGTGTCATCAACAGCCTCACACCAGCATCTGCGTTGCTTCCCCCGAGTCTGCCCAACACAGCCCCTTCCCACCCGGCACCATTGGAGCATCGCAGTACCAGTGAGCCCTCAGTGTTTTCTGCCAAAAACCGTTTCCCCAGCTGGTGTCCCCCATGGCTGCTGTTTCCCTGAGGTGCTGTCTTCACCCAGTGGAGTGGCCCTGTCTGCTGCAGCAGAAGCTCTGGAGTCCTCAGGAGCCGGGACTGCACGGTTCTGTCACATACAGGAGTCTTCCTTTCCCTGCTAGGTCACACTCAGGGCAAGGTGGCCACAGCCTGGGGTTCTCCAGGTGTCGGTGAAACCACAGGTGCTGCCCCTCCACTGCAACAGGGCAGCTTTTGTGAAGCTCAGGCAGACCCTTCTCTTGTAAGGTCCTCTCTCTCCTGGACGCTTTGGCCTCTGCCCATCGGCGTGTTTCTTCACATTTGCCTGGTTTGCCTGAATTGCAGGGCACACACACATCAGAGCTCTTACATAGATATTTTAAGTACGGCTAATGAAATTCAAAATGAGTGTCTACCAGAAAGATGAGACTTTGAGGAAAACACATTAGCTCCTGGTGTTTTCCCACACATCCCACTCCCTCTTCACAGGAGGAAACTCCTCATTTAAATCCCTAGCCCTAACCCTATAGTATTCCTAGGGCTCTCTCTGTTTCCCCTGATGGTAGGCTTGATTTCAGGAGGATTGCGTCCTATAGAATTTTGGGAAAATCTGACGTGTGGTATCAGATGCCTTTCTGCCAGAGGGAGATAGTCATTTTCTGGGTCCCTTTAAGTGTTGTCTAGGAGTCTGGCATGTGTTCACCTAAAAGAATGCTTAAGGCCCAAATCTGACCCCATCCCTTACCCTTGGGCTCTTGCTTATCACTCTTTGCTTCCTAAAGCTCAAGTATTCATTCTACTCCATCGCTTTGATCTTAGGATTTAGAGAACAACATTAACTAGTCTTAACCAAAGCTTCATCTGCTGCTCAGGTGCTGTTAGAGATTTACCGAATGCTAGGAAGCGGATTCTTGATCGTGCCCTTCTGATGATATTGAGGGGGTTTAGCACTTGACAGTCAAGCAACTGGCAGACTCCTCACTCTAACGAGCAACATATGTGTGAAAACCAAGAGTGTCACATAAATAAGCAGAACAATGATTTTCTAAAGAACTATCATTTCCTCTATAAATGTAGATGAGGAACAAGTGTGGTGGATCCCATAGGAACATAGGAGGATCCCATGTTCAAGCCCAGCCTGGGCAACTTAACAACTTGGTGAGACCCTGTCTCAGAATTTAAAAAATGAATAAAGAGACCTTGGGATATAACTTAGTGTAAAGACCTTTGGGCAAATCCCTGATATCCTCACCACCACCAAAAAGAAAAAAACAATAGAGAACCGGAGACAGAACTCAGTGGCAAAGCAATGGCCTTAAATGCATGCAGACCTGGAGGATTCAGTCACTGGTATTGCAAAAAAAAAAGTGTGGGGGGACCACTAATTTGGGAAAAGCCTGCCATACTTTTACAATTACTTAAATATAACTTGTTCTATGATTCAGAGACTTATTTTGTAAGTGGTAAGAACACTTGTTGTGAGATCTACCCTTTTAACATGTTATAGGTATATAGTACAAGATGGTTAACTATTAAATATTATTATTTAGCCTATCACTAGAACTCATTCATGTTGGATAACTGAAATTTTGTGTTCACTAATTAGCACTTTCCATGCTTCCCACAGCCACCATCATTCAACTGTACTGTTAAGTGTCTGACTATTCCGAATACCTCATACGTGAAACCATACAATATTTGCCCTCTTCTAACTGGCTTATTTCAGTTTGCAAAAGGTCCTCAAGGTTCATCCTTAGCATACATGTCAGAATTTCCTTGCTTTTTTAGCTTGAATAATAATATTCTGTTTTATGTATATGCCTCTTACTCTCCATTCATCCATGGCCAATTCAGTTATTTCCACCTTTTAGCTATCATGAATAGTGTGGTGAGCATAGGAGAGTACTAATATCTTTTCAAGGTCTTGATTTCAATTCTTCTGGGTAAATCCCAGAAGCAAAATTACCAAGAAACAATGCTATTATTAAGAAAACAAAAGACAATGTGTCGAGGTTGTGGAGACTGGAGCCCTTGTACGCTGTTGGTGGGAACGTGAAGTGGTACAGCTGATATAGAAATAGATAAAAACAGAACTATCGTGACAGATGTATTTTTCTAACGTGTACCTGGAAGTACTAGAGTACTTCTCAGGGAATATATATTTCAAGATACTACGTGTAGCCTTTCCTAGAAGTTATCTTGCTAGCTTCTTGAGATGGTGATCTATCTGTGGTGTAAGTATAAGCTCTTTTCAGGCCAGTGACATAGTTCAGCAGCATAGTGCCTGCCTGGCAAGTGCAAGGTCCTGAATTTGATTCCCAGTACCAAAAAAATAAAAAATAAAAAGTATTAGCTCTCTTCTAGAAACCACCTCGAGGTATACATCCCAGCAGAGGTCTTCCAGCTCCCTAAAATTTAGATTAAATTGGTTTGAAATTTCACATCCTATGGAAATTCCAGTATCTTCTCTCACATTTCTGTGACTTTCTGGCAGATTTGTAATTGCATGCCATACTGGCTCTGCCTTCCTGCAATTCTTGATCCCTATTTGTGCTCTCTTGTGGTTGTTCCTTTATCTTTGTCTTATCATTGATCCAGCTGTGAAATTCAGCACCTTTCATTGATTTAAAAAAAAAAACACTCAACCAAGATGATTGCCAGAGACTTTATTGATGGCTCAGGAAATGGAAGTAGTTTAAATTCTGAACACTTTGAATCACATCTTGGCTGTTGATCCTTTGTCCTAAAATTTTTGTCAGACTACTACATTGTTGAACCATATTCTCTCTTTGTTTTCTTCTCTCTTTTCTATCCTTTCCCTCAACTCCAAATTTCTGAGCAGTTTCCTATATGTTTATTCCCATCTCCTGCTATGCATGCCCCTGGGATCTTGTCCTCCAAATATTTTCTCAAGGTACAGTGGTGCCAGGGTTCACAAACTTTTAATTCATTATGCAAATCATACCACTGTATTTTCCTACTATGAAGAAAGTTATATTTCCACAGATTCATGTCAGCATCTTAAATTGAGCTCTTTTTTCCCAAAACAGATGGCCAGTGACACCAGAAATATTGGAGTAGAAATACAGAATATGGTAGGGTATGCAGACACAGTAGCATAAAATTCTCTTGTTATCAACTGACTGATATTTCTTGAACCTTTGTACTGACGAAGGCTCCTGCAGGAAGCAGACAAAGTGTATAGAGGTATACAGTGGAAAAAAAGCCTCGTATGTGATCCTAAGGCGATACCAGGAATGGGAACTCCTTACATATTAATGAAATCAAATGTTCCTTATCCAGGCTGAATGGAGAGAAGAAGTAAAGAAACACTTTGAGAAAATCAAAAGCGAAGGAACTTGCATCCACCGATTAGATGAGGAACTGATTCGAAGGCGCAGAGAAGAGCTCAGGTCAGCAGATGTCCCTCCTCTATTTCTTCTCACGCCCAGGTCTGCAGATATTGGCGGGGACACTATAAACCTTGAGCCCATGGCCATGAATAAGTACAAACGAATGATAATGGTGTTGTCGTATTTCCATTGACATATGTGGACAGTGTACTGTGTTCTTATTAAGATGGTACCAGTACTACACAAACAAAGGCTACCGATAGTGCTCCATTTTTATCTATGGTCCTCCTGAACCCTCCAGGTGGGCCTTTATGGATAAACCGAGTGGAAAGTTTACATATCCCATCTCTCTCTTCTTGTCTGAGTCTTTGTATCAGACAAGGAAACCTTACAATAAAAATAGTAGAGCCTCCCGTTTCTTACTTGGATAGCACCTGTCCCTGTGCTCCCCAAGGCAGGTGGACCTCGCTGACCCTGTGTGTTCATTGCTAGGCATGCTTTGGATATTCGTGAACACTACGAGAGAAAGCTGGAGCGGGCTAATAATTTATACATGGAGCTCAGTGCCATCATGCTGCAGCTGGAAATGCGGGAGAAGGAGCTTATTAAGTACGTATCCGGACCGATGAAGGTCCTCGTTGACGTGCGCCTGTCTGTCAGCTGGCAGAAATGTACCACTTCTCCCATGTTGTTGCTATACAGAACTGACAGGTGTTTTCTCAGTCACCCAGAATTCCCCAAGGGATGTGCTGTGCAAAAGTCCCTGCCCCCTGGGGGTACCCAGATCCCAGGGGGCCCCTGCAGGTCCTGTTACAAGGGAACACACACTGCTCTGGCGTTTGCAGTGTGCCCTGCTGCGTGGTGCAGAGACGGCCTTGATTTCCAGAAGAACTTAGTGTGCATAAGCGGGAGCTTATTGCTCTGGGGGAAGTAAAGTGGCTGCTAAAAATGGTTGAAGAAGCCCCTGATGGTGGCAAGAAACCCCGGAGACCTGACCAGAACAGCTGCTACTAAAAATAAGCAGGGTTCTGCCATCGTACTGTGTTGAGGAAGAGAAAGAAAGTGTCTAGGGGCTGGGGATTTAGCTCAGCGGCATAAGCACCTGCCTTGCAAGCAGTCAGTTGTGAGTTCAATCCCCGGTACCGATAAAAAGGAAAAAAAAAAAGTGTCTGAATCATGAACTGAAGATCAGGAGAAGTCAGGTTCATCTAAATTTAGTATCTTTATTTCTTTCACCTGAATAGCAGCAGCCTTGTCAATCAGATAGTCTGTGTCTATAGTGTGGCCAGACCTGTGGGTCCAATTAGTCCACAGAAGTGTTCTTCCCATCTCTTCTAACAACCGTGGCTGAGATGTGGCTTTTTCTTTCATTCCCTAGGCGAGAGCAAGCAGTGGAAAAGAAGTATCCGGGGACCTGCAAACGACACCCTGTCCGTCCAATAATTCACCCCAACGCCATGGAGAAAATCATGAAAAGGAAGGGCATGCCTCACAAACCTGGGGTGCAGACCAAGCGGTAAGACACTTTACCCACAGATAGCAGATAAATGGGAAGATAGTCCTTAAAACTGTGCTCTCCGACTAGGGTAGATAGCACATGGGTAGCACAGGGAGTTTATTTAAAACAGAATAGGAAGGCAAGGGGCACTGTGTCCTGAACGCTATAAATCTAGTTTTCCCTCTTGAGACCTACATATTTATCATCAACCCCAAACACTGGAAAGGGGAGTAGGGTCCAGGTAGACCTGGATTCAAATCCAAGCCCACTTTATAAGCTAAGGTTACTTGTGCCATGGACCCCAGAGTCCTCTTTCAACCCCAGTTCCTCTGGGATAAAATGATATAAGGATAGAGTCACCAGATGCGATCTGAGGAGGTCCATCTAAAGAGGAGATGGGAACCTCAACTTAGCCTGGGTAGATTCTTCATTTCACGATGCGTCAGTGAGAGGCATAGGCTGATTTATTAGGCAGAGTTGGTAAAAAAACAGGAAGAGACTTCAGCTCGAGGAGCTGAGGGGGCACTTCTGATGGAGAGGATCAGACGGACCCCTTCACAAAGGAATGAGACCAGCTTTTAGGGCTTGTTGGGATGGCAAGGGTCTTGTCAATCATTGTCTCAGCTCTGGTTTTACAGAGGCTCCGGGCAACCCTGTATTGCTCTGATTCAGTCCTGAGATGGCCATTTCTGCTTTGGGCGGTCTCAGTTGTACAGAGGCTCTGCTGGAATCCAAGGTTCAAGGAAATGGCTAGAAATTTCTAGGTGCTCTCTGCCAGTTGACTGAGCCTGTAAACCTCTTATCTTGGTGTCCTCAATGCTGAAGGGGTGAGCCAGGCTGTGCAACTCTAGGGCGAATCACCCTGTACAGCCAGTGTTTAGACAGATACTCCCTACCTGATTAACATGGCTACACGCAGAGCCGAACTGGAATCTGACCCAGTTTTAAGGTCATAAAGGAGACAGCTATAAATGCAAGTCAAGTTTGTTCTGTCTTTTCTTTCCCTTCCTTCCCTCTCCTGCTTCCCCTCTTCTCCCTCTTCGCACTGAGCTACATCTTAGGCCTTTTTAAATGACTTTATATTTTGAGACAAGGTCTCACTAAATTGTCCAGTCTGGGTTTCAACTTCCAGTCCTCCTGCCTCAGCCTTGAAGAGTGCTGGCATAACAGACTGTGCCGCCATGCATGACTGCTCTGCTTTATTAGACATCTGTAGGCCCAGGAGAACAGCCACTGGTTCTCTCATTGGTTTGTTTTAGCAAAAGCAGCTCTTCAAGTCCTTGACATGGAACCTCTGAAGAAAACACAAATGAGTAATAGGCTAAGGGCCCAGGAGTTAGTTTGTCCTCTGCCCCTATGGTGGTCTCTGTCTTAATAACACATGAGATGGACTGGAGATGTAGCTTAGTAGCACAAGTGCCTGCCTGGCAAGCACAAGGTCCTGAGTTCAATTCCCACTACCAGTAAATAAACAAATAAGTAAATAAAACAAAGTAGAGAAAAGCACAAGTTAACTCCATAAATTCAAAAGTTTGTATTGTACAAGAGATGCGTTTACACACATCAACTCAAACTGAATAACACATGAGATTTCTTTGTATTTCTATAACCCCTAGAGCACAGAACTGAATTCATCAAAACTATCAGACCATGAATGGCGTCCTTTTCTTTATACATTTAGTTACTACATTTTTCAGTGTTTGTTTGTTTTACAGTACTAGGCATTGAACCCAGGGAACACTGAGCTACATCCCCAACCCTTTTTTGAGACTTAAATTCACTAGCCTGGCCTCAAACTTGCATTCCTCCTTCAGCCTTCCACATAGCTGGGATTATAGGTGTGCACTCCCATGCTCTTAATGTGGTGGCTCCCAGCTGTTTTTGAGATAAAGTCTTGCTAAATTGCCCGGACTGGCTTTGAACTTGCAATTCGCCAGCCTCATTCTCCCACTTGGTTTTTTTTCAATAATGTAATAACACCACCAAAGATGAAAGCTGGGGCTTTGATAATTACCTATGTCTAACTGAATGGTTCCTTTCATTCTCTCTCTGCATGGAATTTTTGTGAACTTTTAAGGAACATGAAATCATCTTTCAGATCATAGGTATTCAAAAAAGTATCCTTCAAACTGAAATTTGACTTAAAAAAAACAAAAACAAAAACAAAAAAGTATCCTTCAGTTTTAGCCACAGAGTTTGAGTTCAAAATAAAACATCACCCTTTTCCCTTTTTTTATATTTGCCTTATATTTAGTTGAATCTTAACTTCGGGGGCGAGTGTTACCGGGTTTTGGGGTGCTACATTCGCCTGGAGGTGATTTCTAGCTTCTTTCTGTGCTGAGCAAAGAACTGGTCAAGATAAGCACAAATGATAGCAACGTTTTATTAAAGGTAGGAAAAGAAACAGGCTCTGCAGAGGGGCATTGGGCCAAGTAAAAGGAACGAAGTGCACCCTACAGCCTGAGGGCCATCACTGCGTAAGACAGAACACTCAGTGTGGACGCGTCCTCCTGTCCCCAGGCCTCCAGCTGACGTCAGGTCCAGGCCGTCCCATCACAAACCTGCTCGAGTTCTCGCGAGAAGTCCTCACGTAGGGCTTGGGGAACTTCTCTGATTGTTCCCCGCGTGCAGTCTTTCCCAGTCTTTAGCCACGTTGTACCTCCCTAGCGGTGTAGCTCAGTGATAGAGCAGTTGCTTAACATAACACAAGGCCCTGGGTTCAATTTCCAGCACCAAAACAAACTCAATAAAGTTTGGTATATGGCTTTATATTTTTCATTACCAATCTCTGTGGAGCCATATAATTCCCAAATAATACTGAGTTGATTCTGTCCTCGATAAATTTAAGGAAATAAATTTCCCTACACTATGGGTATAGGCTCAAGAGTGAAACTTGAACTAAACAGTACGAATAAAGATAATGAAAGAACCCAAACTAAGCACGTATTTTAAGGCTATCAGAATGGTAGCTATTTTACCGTAGTATGATTTAATGTAATCCTAAAATACTAAATGCTAAAGTAATGAGAATTTTGCTTTTATTTACTGCTTCTGACTGTCTTCTGGTCAAATTCTAAGAAACTGTTTTCAAAGGGTCCTGGCGTGATCGTAGGGGAAATCCCAAGACCCTGTTTCCTTACCTTGTACTAATTAGGTGCAGAGTCCACTGCTGACGCTCCCTGCATTCTGCCTAGGTTTTACAGCCAAGAGCACAAGGGCAGAAAATAATCGGAAGGACAACTTTTTAAAACAGGAGCTCATGTCTGCTTTCATTTTGGCTATAAGAAATGTTCGAGAGTCTGACAGCACCAGAAGCTGTTTTGTTGATAAGAGGTCTGCACACAAGGGGGCATCTGTTGGGCATTATGCCATTGTCCCTTGAAGGATTTCAGTTCCAGATTGTGTGGACAGTCCATTGATTGCCAAGCCAGAGGTTCAAAGACCACTGAGATCAGAGAAGAGAAATAGATACAGATTTCAGTCTGTGTCTGGTTAGAAACGAGATAAAATAGAATTGAATTCAGTTTTAGATCTTCCAAGCCTTGTATGTCCCTAATTAGTCACAAGTGAGTGAACGCCCAGAAGATGGTGTGCATGTGTCCTAATAAGGAGAATTTTGAGATGGGGAAAGATCTGTGCTATGAAATTAAAAGACTATGTTTCAGGTTACTGGTTCTGTTTTATGATGAATACAAACCAGCTAACCCTTTATCTATAAATGAGTATTGTAATCTTAGGAACCAGGTGCTTTGCAAACTGTGAAGTCACAAAGCAGGTTTATTCTGACTTTTGTACTGTTAGCTGCCGGGAAAGAAACCTCCCCTGGCTTAGAGCACTATTACCTCAGCTCTGTTTTAGGTATCACCACAGCCCCGTTACTTATAAGAAGATTTCTCTAAGGGGCCTTGGAGGGCTCTCCTATCTCAGTAGAAGACCTAGAACCTCTTCACTTAAAGAACTTTGTGCAGCACAGATTGACTGTAGGTTTCAAGGAATGTTTTTTCCAGAGCCCAGAACCTTGCCCACCTTCTAAACCTGTAGTATCTGGAATGTCTGTTAAGCAAGCCTTTGACCTTACTTTTCCTGGAATAGAAAAGATGCCCATTCTGGACTACCGATGCCTAGAAATATCCTATGAGCCCTGGAGAAGCCAAGCAAGGGCTTCAGCTCAGCAGCCTCTGACCTACCCCAGATCTGCCGAACCAAAGTCTTCATTTTAACAGTCTCCGTGGGTGACTCACCCCTACCTTCAGGTTTATATTCTGACTGTCCAGTAAGCCAGGCTGGAAACGGGGACAGACTGCTGTCAGGATGCCATCACTAGGCAGAGCCCAGCCACTCCAGATGGTCTTTGGTTTCTTCCTGACATGGAGGAAGGACCCTATCTGTGGCATCCATTCAACATCTGGGATATCCAAGGGCTTGACAGGGGTGTCTCAGAGGTTACTGTGGGGGTAGAAAGGACAAAGGGAAAGACCCCCTGCAGGAGGGGTTTCTGACCCCATCCCCTTAATTACATCCACTATTCTGAATTTTTCATAATAATTCAGTTGAGAGATAGAGTCAGTTGTTTAAGAAACAAAGTTTTGACCCTCCATTCTAAAATCTGCTGATTTGTATCTGTTTGGTCAAAAATAAGGGTATAGCTACTCCTTAGCAGGAAAGAATCAGCAGTGCTTCCAGTCACCCTACACTTCGCCCTGAATTATTAGCTGCTTGCTTCAGGAATTGTTTTTTGTTTAGCTGTGGACCTTGGAATCAATGTGGGCAAGGTTTACCTTCTGCCCTCTGGCTTCCTTGTGCACATGCGCATCACTGCTGTGGTGGGCAGTGGGGACAGGGCTGAGAGAGGACCTCCTCCCATTAGGGTCACAGCACAGTGCCTGTGTCACTTCTAATCAGCCCCCTTCTCATCGCCTCTGCTCAGCTTCCTAGGCTCTCTGATTCTTTCCTCTCCTCTGACCCATCTTGTCCCTGTCCTCCTTTAAAGACATATTGAAGACCTACTATAAGTAACAGTCCTTGTTAGGGTCCTTCACATGCAAAAATGGACAGGACTTAGTCTCTGCCCTCCAGGAACCAAGACTTAGTCAAACTCCTTAAACTTAGCCTCCCGCTCATCAACCCCGGTTCCCTTCCAGGTACCAGGCCTTGTTGCTTTTGATCTCCTTTGTGATCCATCAGGTTGCTAATGGTGAACAAATACATCCGTACCTTGACACGAAGCTGACAGGGTGATAAGAAAGGGAATGTAGAACGCTGTAGAGTAGAACTACAATTTAAAGAGGGTTGCGTACCCAGGCTGATGGGACACACAACAAAATCCAGAAGGAATAAAACACATCTCTGTAAGCGGACATGCGGGGTGTTTCCACGTTTTTGCTGTTTAACAAGATCACAGTCTGACTATGAGACACACATCTGTGTGCACATCTGTTCTCACCATTGATTAAATCCCCATATATGTGACTGCTGAGCGGAAGGATGTATGGGGCCGGGGATGTAGCTCAGCAGCAGAGCACTTGCCTTGTTTGTGATCAAAGCCCCTAGGTTTGATCTCCAGCACTGCAAAAAGTAAAATTAAAAAAAATCAAACTGGAGGTGGTAGTGCACGCCTGTAATCCCAGCACTCAGGAGGCTGAGGCAGGAGGATCGTTGCGAGTTTAAGACCAGCCTGGGCTCCAAAGTGAGCTCAAGGCCAGCCTGAACTGCAGAGCAAGACTCTGTCTCAAAAAGACACACACACACACACCAATTAAAAAGAGTGTGTATTTTTAAGACTAGGGATATATTGTCCTAAACCTTAAACTCATTTGCATGTGTTTAAAACTGAGCCTGCTCTTTTCTCCTAGGCCAGATCTGTTGAGGTCCGAAGGTATTCCTAGCACAGAGGTGGCTCCCACCACATCCCCTTTGTCTGGAAGTCCCAAAATATCCACCTCCAGTAGCAAGAGCAGATACCGCAGCAAACCGCGCCACCGCCGGGGGAACAGTAGAGGCAGCCACAGTGACTTCGCAGCTATATTGAAAACCCAGCCAGCCCCCGAAGACGCGCCCCAGTACCACAGTCCTCCGCAGCAGCAATACCAGCAGCCCCCTCCGGCCACGTCGCAGAATCACCACTCTCGACTCAGTGTGCACGGGCAGGACATTGCGACCTGTGCCAACAACCTGAGGTACTTCGGCCCCGCGGCAGCACTGCGGAGCCCACTCAGCAACCACGCGCAGAGACAGATGCCGGGCTCCAGCCCTGACCTCATCTCCACGGCCATGGCTGCGGACTGCTGGAAGAGCGCCCAGCCTGCTGAGGGCCAGGCTGGCCCCTGGGGCTGCTGTCAGGCTGACCCTTATGACCACTGCCACCAGTGCAGGCCGGAGCGGCGAGGGTCCTTAGACCACCCCTCCACTGAGCCAGCACCCGGGAGCCCCGACCTTTCCAAGCCACCAGCACACAATCCACTCTCGGAAAGCACCCGAGGTGCCCAAAAAACAGAGGAAGATGCATTCAATGGCTGCCGGTCCACCTCGTCCCTCGGAAACCCTCACCACATCACCCCACCACCGCTACCTCGAAAACCAAGGCCCCTTCAGAAGGTAAGGGGTGTCGGCGGGGGGAGACGGTGTCCCTGCCTTGGCAGAACGTAGGGCCCCAGCGTGCTGCGTGTATTATAACTATGCTTTACAAGTGCATTTTAGAGAAGGATGAATAACGGAAGCCATCCAAGTGACACACTAGGGAATAGGGTTTGGGAACTGCTGAAGCAGGGACTGATTCAAATGTAGACAGTTCATGGGTATGTGATCACATAGCTTGGAAACCACTAGCCTGGGACTCTGGTCTTGAGGGGTGTTTCGGGAAGGAAGCATCTCACTGTCTAATAGTTAGAGAAGCAACGTTCTCAGTCTCCTCTTGGAGGGCCCTCGTGGCATCAGCATAAATCATAACTTGTTTTGTTTTGGTTTTTGAGGCAGGGTCTCACTTTGTAGTTCAGGCTGCCTTGGACTCACAGCACTCCTCCTGCCTCAGCCTCCCAGCTGCTGAGGGATTAGAGGCATGCGTCCTCACACCCAGCTCCTAAATTACAGGTTTTAAGAAACTATGTGGTAAATAAGTGCTTCCTTCACCTAGTTGAGCTTTCTGGGTAGTATTTATTAATCCCTCCTGGGACTAGCTTTCTTCACAATATACTGTATAAAACGTTGCCTTAATTAATAACCACATCAGACTGCCTAGGTCTTAGTCTTTGGCTAAGAACTGGCTGCCTGGGGTTTACTGGCCTGGCAGCATCCACTGCAGTGGCCAAGATCTTTATTCAAAGCCAGGCTCTTCCCCTTGGTCCCTCTGTGAAACTCAGTTTCCCTGGTAAGAGTTTCCACTAATAGCGGACTCTGCCTTGTTGGCTGGCGAGAGGATCAATACCAGGAATTAAGACATCAAAAGCATTTAGAACCATGTCTAGAATACAGCAACCTTCCCAAAATGTTTAGCACATCTCGCTAATGAATTTTAAAAAATGATTAGATGTGAAGGGTTTCAAATATTGTAATTCCCCACTCAATTCTTAGTATTATTTCATCAAATCCTCACGTTCAGCTGGAATATCTGATGGGATGAAAGGGTCTAACACACAAATGCATTCTTGATCAGCGAGCATCTGGTAGAAAAAAAGCGAAGCTGGGATTCCAGTCTCAGCACTGTACAGTGGGACCTCGGTTCGTGAACTTGATTCATTTCACAGTTCTCGGGAAGAGAAGGACAAGGTAGTGTTCATCTCCCAAAGCAGAGCGCCAGAACAGAAGCAACTTTTTGCTGAAATGCTTCTGTTAGGGAACTGAATTATTCACAAACAGAGCCATTCATGAACCGAGGTATTCGCGTGTTTCTTTGTCTGTGGGCGTTGCTGCCACTGACTCAGCATTCCCAGGAGGAAGTGTGTTTCCGGCGGTGCAATCAATTTGAGCTCATCTGTTCACCACCTCCCCACCCCTGTAGCCAGCAACACATAGCTTTTGGTAACAACTTTATTAAGTATGATTCAGCTGGTCTTATAATCTCAGCACTTGGGAAGCTGAGGCAAGAGGATTGCACATTTGAGGCCAGCCTGGGCTACATATAAGACCCTATCTCATAAAAAGAAATCTAATTCCCATACCAGAAAACCTTTCCATTTAAAATGTATATTTTGCCAGGCATGATGGTGCGTGCCTGTAATCCTTGCTTCTTAGGGGGCTGAAGCAGGAGGATCACAACTTCAAGGTCAGGCTGGGCAATTTCAGAGGAAATTAAAAGGGCTGGGGATGTGGCTTAGTGCTCTCTGGGTTTAATTCCCAGTACTCTAATGTGTACAGTTCAATGATTTTTTATTTTTTCCACATAGTTCTGTAGCCATCACTATGACCAATTTTAAAACATTTTCATCATCCCAAAGTGGAACCCACAACTTTGAACCTCCCTGGGGGTCTGCAAGCCCCAGAACCCCATCTTTTAGGTTTGGCCTCATTAGCACTGCAGCTCCCTCCCCTTTGCTGAGACACAGCAGTATGAGGGGGGTGGCTGCCTGGTAACTGTCCTGCTCCCTCTGCAGAGCAGTGTGCCCTAACACACACACCACACATGCGCATGTTGTGGTATTTTTTAACTTTCAAAGAGGTAAACTGTCCTCAGCTTCTGATAGTTACTTGAACCTAATTAGCCAGCTTGCGAGATCTGCCTAATCCAGGCTTTGGAGTGCTGTGGTTAAGGACAGTTGACCCAAAGCATGGCAGTGCCTCCTGCTTCCCTTGTTCCTGTAAGGAAAGATGATCTCTTCAGCTGGGTCACTCACTCAGCCTTCCACGTCACCCGCAGGGCCTGGCAATCACAAGGCCTCAGGTGTCCCCAGCAGAGTGCCGTTGGCCCCCCCAACAGGCTGACGCAATAAAAATGCATGCTGCACCGCTTTTAAATCAGCAAATGGTAGCTGTGTGCACTGATGGTGCTACACACCTGCTCGTGTGCAGTGCCCACTGGAGTAAGGAATACAGTACAAACCAGATGTGTCCCAGTCCAACTGCAGCAGTAGTGAGTGTGACTCATCCAGAAGAGAGGAGAGTAGTTGTTGGGCTTTGAAGAACAGAAGCGTCATTTCTCCTGCAGTCTGTGAGGAAAAGCCTGGGACTGCTAGTGACAAGAATGCCGAGAGGGCCCTCAAATCCAAGACATCCTCTCCAACTTCCCCTCCATCTCTCCCCTCCCTGAGGGTAAATATTAAGTTCTAGTTTTGAGGGGTAAAGGGAAGTCCTGAAAAATTAGCCCAGGGGTGCTGTACCAGTCAGCTATACCCTCAGACCTTTCATTTATTTTGAGGAAGGGCCTCATCTTTCCCAGGCTGCTCTCGAGCCTGCAGCCCTCCTGCTTCAGCCTCGCAGTAGCTGGACTTGCCAGCCTGTGCCACCACACCTGCCTCTACGCACTGTGTGGCCTCCGGCACCCGTACAGGGCCGGTCATTTTGAGCACCAAGGACAAGTTGCTCAATGAATAAATTGGGGTACATACATCAGCGATGACATTCAGCAGGCTTCTGCCAAAGGCCTCTTGATGATAATTTAGTCTTTTACAGATAGTGGGTTGGGGTGTGGGGACAGAGAGATAAAAAGAAACACAAGCCGTTCCCCTCATTCTCCTCAGAGTGGAGATGACTCTTCGGAAGAAGAAGGGGAAGTGGACAGTGAAGTTGAATTTCCACGAAGACAAAGGTAAAACCAGCAGCCCACAATTGTTGTCAGTGTCATGGGCAGACCCTGGGTTTCCCACTCCCGCTGTCTAAGTACAGGTCACCCTAACAACCACCTCACTAGGCAACTGAACTCTACTGCCACAGTCAGAACCTGGCTCCTCAGGACTCATGCCCCAGGTGCCTCCTCAGTGACAGTGGCCAGCGCAGTGGGCGGTGGGGAGGGGGGGGCACACGGCTGGTGGAGGTGGGGCGGTGGGGCTTCCGGTGGACCTCCGGTGGCAACCAGCTCGGGCTGCCATCACAAAACACCACACCTGGGTTAAACAACAGGAACCGATTTCTCGCATCTCTGGAAGCTAGGAAGTCCAAGGTCCCAGCTAGGGCTGACCCCAGAGGTGGACAGCCACCTCCCTGCTGTGTCCTCACACGCTGGAGAGGGTGGAGAAGGGGGTGTAACTCAGTTGCTAGTGCTTCTCAGCTCCCAAGTTAAACAGTTTGTGCCCACTTAATGTTCTGCCTTCCCGGGGGGCAGGGAGAAAGAAAAGCAACTGTATCACCTCTGAGCAAGGCTGGGGGCGCAGAAGGGGAGGCAGGTGCTCGCCCCGGTTAAGTCTCTGTGTTCTCTGCACTTCCAGGCCCCACCGCTGCATCAGCAGCTGCCAGTCCTACTCGACCTTCAGCTCGGAGAACTTCTCTGTGTCCGACGGAGAGGAGGGGAACACGAGCGACCACTCCAACAGTCCCGACGAGCTGGCTGATAAACTTGAAGACCGCCTGGCGGAGAAGCTGGACGACCTGCTATCGCAGACGCCGGACATCCCCATCGACATATCGTCGCACTCCGACGGGCTCTCGGACAAGGAGTGCGCTGTGCGCCGCGTGAAGACGCAGATGTCCCTGGGCAAGCTGTGCGTGGAGGAGCGTGACTACGAGGTGGGCGGCCCTCTGGGAGCGACCCATACCGGGCTCTTTGGGGTTGGAATGTGCCTGGGTCCTTCGGGCCTTTCCAGTTTTCATGCGTTATATAAAATAGGGCAGCTGCCTCCGTGATGTCAGAAGACAGAGTTCAACAAGAGCTTTCTGGAAGGCAGCGCTGAGCTGCTGAGACTGAGGGCTCCCCTGCCCCCCACCCCCAGCCTGCTCAGGGAGCTGAGCTTTGCCTCTCTCTGTCCCCCACTGCCCCATGGCGCATTGGTCCATCTCATGCGCGCAGAGGGAGGGTGTCAGAGTGGTTGTCAGCTGTGCCCTGGTCCCCAGCCTCCAGCTGCAAATCTCAGCCTTTCCACCAGCCAGAGGACCCCTCCAGGGTCACTCAGCCAGTGGCTGGAGCAGAGCAAATGCTGCCTTAGAGGAGGTGCGGAGGAGGTAAGCGCCAGAGCCACGGCCATCTCGGTCGGTCGTGCGGGGCTCTTCCCTCGTGAGCCCCACAAGCCAGGGCTCCCCCAGGGCCCGTCATCTTTCAGCCCCCTTCCTCAGCATGGTGCCTGTCCCCAGCACGGGAAGTGACGTCCCTTCTGCGCGCTCACTGAGGGTTGGTGAAATAAATGAAGTCTAATTCTGTTTGACTTTGCAGAACCCTATGCAGTTTGAAGAATCGGACTGTGACTCTTCCGGTGGGGAGTGCTCTGATGCCACAGTGCGGACCAATAAACACTACAGCTCTGCCACCTGGTGAGGAAGGGGCACCTGTCCTGACTGGCTCACAGCGCGATGGCATTGCTGGCATTGCGGACTCCCCCGGCTCTTCCTACTCTGTCCCTTCTTTGTCTGGGAGGACAGCGGCCCCTCTCTCTACCCCTAGAAATGAGCTGCAATAACAGGAACAGGAAACTTCTCAAATCTCTGGGGAAAAAAATATCCAAATGAAATTGTCTCATGAACATTTCAATCAAGAATGGCAGGGATCTATTTTATTGAATATTCTAGCTACTGTAACATTGATATTTATTTTTCTTGGACATTTTAACACTTTGTACTGTAAAGAGTGAACTATATATGATAGAGTCACAATAATTTCTTGCAAAAAAAAAAGGAAAGGAAAGAAAGAAGTGGACTTTAGGAGCAACATGCTTGGGAATTTGTGGGGCGGGAGGTATTATTGCTGCTTGAACAGGGGACCAGGTCTTTTGGCCATAAGTGACTGAAGACGCATCAGAGCAAGACATATCGAGCATTTTAGAATACAAAGAACACAGAAGGGGAAAGCCAGTGTAGGTAACCTGTGAACACACACATTGTGTTCAGCCAGCTTGTCCAGGGTGATGGAAATTACCTAGAAAAGGCTGGTGACCATATGCTAAGGTCTCTGAAGGCATGTGTTTCCTCTAAGAGGAAAACCCAACCAAACCTTCCCTGCAAGAGCTGCTTCCGTGTCTTAACTCCCAGCAGCATTTGGTAGGGAGGCTTACAAGATAGTGTCATGCCTTGTCCCTGGCAAATCCTTCCCTTTTGAATGCTGTCGGTCCATCATTACCTTAACCAATGTGTTCCCTTGACCCATCTCTTGGTCTTTCAGATTCAAGCACCATTTTCCTGTAGCGGTTTGTTTGTTTTTGTTTTGTTTTTTTACATTCCAGCTGTTGACCACTTTCTTTAGGAAAGGGTTGGGGTGGGAGGGGTTGCCGAGGAAGAGAAAAGGAACATCTGTAATAATATTAGGAAAACAGATGTGGAAGGTGTGGAATTACAAGCTCAGCATGCTCAGTTCAGCCAAGTGGAGAAAATGGAACCATCCCTCTCCTCATCTGCTGGACTCACACTGATTCAAACAGAACAGAATTCGAAGGCAGGGGATGTACGTGTGCAATGTCCATTCCCAGACCTTCTCCTTTGCTTTCATTATTAACTCGTTCTATCCCTGAAGCTTCAGGGACAGGCTCTCCCCATCCGCATAAAGGCAAGACAGGCACCTCTCAAAAGGCGACCCCTTTCACACCGTAATAGCATTTCTGTTCATTGCTGCTTGCAAAATATATTTTACTTCACTCTGAATCAGTGCAGTTTTTGTTAAGTGACTTGGAAATTGGTGAAGAGAACATCTGATGCTAAGCAAGGAATTGGAAAGGTTTTACACCATCAAAGCCCTGAGCTCTTCCTGTCTCAAAGGTTACGTGGCTCTGAAGAGCATCCCACAAGAGTTTCTTGCGGCTTGGCTTTAAGGAGCATTTTTGTCTTGAACTTTATGGACAGATGTTGACCTCATTTCTGTCTCTGTCTCCAAGACAGGTTGACTAGCCAACAACCTCTCTCTGCTTGCTAGACTTTCCGACCTTGCTTCCTGGGCATTTCCGGCAAGCCTTGCAGTACAGGTATTAAATCATTTCCAGTGCAGATGAAACTGGTGCCCCGGCTCTGGGATGCACGGACTGCATCAGCCAAAAAGAGAGAAAGGCAAGAGGGAATTTAAGCCGTCCTTTTTGTTCATGTCATCCCTCCATTGTTTACACGTTTACATCAAGACATTGATTTAAAACGCAGTGTCTATAATTTGTAGCTTATAGGTAGGGTGAAGGAAATGTTTAACTTATACAGAGAACAGTATTGTTTGCATTAAATTATTCCATTTTGTATGACTTCTCGTAGCTGGACTACATTGAAAGATTTAAGTTATGGCATTATTATCGTTATTTTGTTTTATATTATCATTCTTATTTTCTGTCGATCGGAAGGTAGCACAATGATTGTGTTGATTGCTCACTATGGATGATGATGGATTTTATGATTTGAATGAAGGCGTGAAGATGGAACTGCCCTGGTGTCCGTCTTAGCTGTTATTCCCCAACTGTCTGTGTACCACATCAATCATCAGAGGGGGCGGCCTCTGCCCGGAAGCCCCAAAGGTTACACTGGGGATTTGACTTGACTGTGAAAGTGCCTGGGTGGATAGATGCCTGAGTGGATAGATAAATAATTTAGAAGCTGTCATTTCCCAAATTTCATGAGAAATAAAAATCATGGGAGAATATTAGAAACAAAGAGAATTATTGAATACCCTGAGAGGAACAGGCCTCGAGGGCTGTATGGACTAGTTTCAAAAATTGCCAACATAGATTACAATCTTCTTCCTGCCAGAAACCACAAAACCTTTTCCCTCTAGGTGGGAGTGGTAGGAAGACTTAAAAAGAAAGGAAGGAAGGGACAAGAAAGAAAGAGAGAAAGAAGAAAAAAGGGCATGACATCAAATGCCTCGCTGTGATGCCATCCTGTAACTAAACTAAAGATATTTAAGAAGGCAGGACACTCAAAACCTGAGTCACCTAGAGGATAGCAGGGCTGGGCCAGCGCCTTGAAAGGTGACCCCGCTCGCTCACACCTGACTGCTGGACAGCTCCTTAGCAGGGGCTGCGACTACGCTGAGTCCCGTTTGTAGTCAGCACAAAACACGGGCGCTTCAGTTTGCTCCTGTGCGGCCCACATGCAGTGGCAACAGAGAAACGAGGGGTCAGCACCCCACACACATGTCATGGTGGTCTTTCTGAAAACCCAGCCCCTACCTCCTCATTTTGATTGTTTTTAACTCCCATCTTGGCTGTCTGTCACGCTAACGCTTCATCCAGACTGACTCTTAAGAGCCCGGTTGGTGGTCGGGGAAGTAGACCATGTTGCGTCCTCAGACATTCCCTGTATTGTCAAGATTTAAATAAAGTCCACATTGAACACTTTTTTCAGTAGAATTGCCTAGAGGTTTCCAGGACCTGGTGTCCTGGTGTCTGGTGTCCTTTTTGCAGATTAAAAGGAAAATACTTTCTGTGTCCCCTGCCTTGCCCTTCATTGCTTGCCTCCTGAAAACCAGGAAAATCCCCAACTATGTGTTCCTCAGAGGATGCTGAATCGAGAGCTCGGGGGTTTCAGAGCCCATCCTTCAGTCCTGTCAGCCACAGCCGTGCTTCGAGGAACCTCACGGGGCTGTGACTGCAGCCTGGTCACAGCTTGAACTCCCCCGAACGAAGGTGCACGACCCTGGAACACCTGCTCTTCCCCGACTGCAGGATGTGTTTCCATTTGTGTTACACACGCACACCTGGGGGAGGGGTGATTTGATTTTTATCCTTTTCTAGATCACAGCCTCAAACAACAGTTCTTCAGGCTGCTCAGCAGGGGGATGGAGAAGGGTCGGCTTTGAAAGGGACCTCACACCTCTGAAGCTCAGCCCTGTTTGCAGGATTGTGGGGAGCTCTACCCTGAGAGCGCTGATTTGGGATGGCCTGCTTGAAGTTCAGATATTTTAAAGCATTAGTATCAACAAATTTATTGCCAGATGTGGTGACGCAGGCCTGTAATCCCAGCACTCAGGAGGGTGAGGCAGGAGGACCGTGGAGAGTTTGCGACCAGCCTGGGCTACATAGTGAGACCCTGTCTCCAAAATAATAATAATAATCTTTGTAGGAGTAAAGTCATTTTTGTAGGATTTAATAAACACTAGGCATTTATTTCAGGGACTCACTGTCCTGCTACTCTCTTGACCCACCCCAAGTCCTAGAAGCAATGGTTTCGGATTTTAACCAAGCCTGCTTAAAAAGCCCTTCCCTGCTGTGGAGCTCTGATGGCCTCTCAGTATGAACGCAGTCTTCTTGATTAGATGGCTTGCTCCTCTTTTCCATACCTTTGGGTGTCTTTTTTTTTTTTTTTTTTTTTTTCCTTTTCTTAAAACATTCCTACTTAAACTTAAAGCTGAGGTTTTCTAAGCAGGATATAATATTGCAAACTCAAGGTATTCACACCCTCCTTCCCAGGACAGCGTGGTATATTTTGAGTTTCTGCCAGGCCTAGGCCAGGAATGACAGCACCGCCATCTACCACCTTCTCCTCAACAGCCAGGACCATACTTAGCCAGCACTGCTTTCAGCATCAGACCCCCTCACAACACAGCACTAGCATCGTTACCACTTGAGTGGGATTAATGACAAAGGGAGAGCCTCAACTCACCTCAGAGGTCATCATCAGTTTCTAAAAGGCAGCCTGAGATCTTGAGTTTGTCCTGGTGGGAGAACCACAGGATCTTACAGACGTTCCCCTTGTGGGTCCCACCCAAAGCTGGCAGGGAAAAGGCCACTTGCCTCCGCTTGTGGCTCCTTTTGGGCCACAGTCCCAAATGAACAATTGCCAATCACTGATGGGTCAAATTCCAAAATGTGTCTTCATTCACATCCGCCATGTCGAATGAGCAGGTTCCTCCCAAGATGCTGTGAGACTCACCTGACATCCAAGACTCTGGCTAATCCTGTCAGGAGGAAATCATGCCTTTCCAGGCAGCAAGGTTTTCTTCACTGATTTCATAGAGTAAATGTCCCTGTGTACTCACACCAGCAGCGTCACAGCCTTATGCTGGCCTGAAGAATCCTCTTAGTCTGCTTGTTTATGTGTTACAGCAGACACTGCAAGTGCTGATCCAATGTGGAACGCACTGAGCTGCTAGGGGGTGACCCTGTGGAACCTGGAGCATTTCTCAGGGACAGGCGGTGGGAGAGAGGCACTCTAAAATTACTGCTCTTGAGAAACAGGAGGAGGTGCAGATTTGATTAGCTGTCATCAGTCAATGCTTGATGGCAGGATTCCCCAGATCCAGGCTTCTAGTGGATGGCAAGGCCACTACCAGGAAGCTTCCCACAGAATCCCAGGAGTACTGCAATCCGGGGCCACTTTGCAGCACTCGGGCTGCTGTCCAGTGACACGGTCCTCCTGCACCTGTGAGCCAGAGAAAACACAGCCATCCATATATTTGGGAAACTGCTTTGTTTACCTGTGAATTCATAACCAATAAGGCCCATTTTTGGAAAACCATGCTAGAGGAAGGAAAAGGACAAAGCTGAGGGTCCCGAAGAGGGACAAGAGAGACACACTTGCCAGAGTGTGGGGAGCTCCCTTTTTCCCTCCCTTCCCCCCACTCAGCACACTAATGCCGCCACTATCAAAGTCATATCCTCACCTCCACACAAGCCTTTTTCTAAAAACAAACACTGAACAATTACCAATCACTGATGGGTCAAAATAGTTTTTTGTTTTGTTTGTCTTTTTCCTTTTTATCGGTACCGGGGATCAAACTCACAACTGCCTGCTTGCAAGGCAGGCGCTTATGCCACTGAGCTAAATCCCCAGCCCCAAGTCAAAACAGTTTTAATGAAATCTTTGTTGTACAAGATTCTTATTTGTCCAAAAACCACTACCTGGGAGCCTACGCTTCCTGTGGCACATGGTTATTCCCAAGAATTCATATGGAATAAAAGACCTAGATTAGCACCTTGGCAAGATTGTTGGCCAAGTGAACTAACAAATCCAGCAGATGACCCCCAAGGACAACCATCAGGTATGTCATGATGAGGATGCGGGGTCACACAGCTGGTCAGTTCAGCCATCAAGTCCATCTGTCCTTAGAGGCCATGAGCCAGGTGTGGACCTTGATCCTACAGTTACAGAAAGCAATGATAGCTTCAAGTGATTACAATACAACACGATCAAGTAAGCAGCCCAACTCTGCCTCTTTGAATTTAAAAAAAAAAGACTAAGAAGAAAGAAACAGCTCTTCCTCATTCTCAGCAAATGGCAAAATGAAAAACACTGACAGGACACTGGCTGGTAGCCTAGTACCTGGTACACTCTCCTAGCAGGAAGAGGTACAAGGGACACATGCTTGTGGACTTTCCTTGTCAGGGCCCAGTCCTCTCTAGAACACATTCATAAGATACAAGAGTTTGTGCCAACATTTAATTACGTTTGCAATCAGCATAACTGTCATAGCATACAAGAGATGTGCCACACACGGACATCAGGTGACTGAACATAAGAGCATCACAAAAGTCACTGTGCCTTTAAGCTCCATGTGGAAGTCCTGGGGGTTCATCAACTTGATTCCCTTGGTTTATGGAAGAGGTAGATCACCAGCAAAAAAACACAGAAGAGGAAGGGCCACATGGGCGATGCGGGCTCACAGCCAGTACTGATGCTATGAACTTGAACATGGTCACACAGCCTGGCACTTTGCAGGAGGTGCTTTGGCCAAAGACAACCATCTTCTCCGAGCAGCGAGCATGGTCAAGAGGCAAACCCGACGGACCATCCTGAGTTCTTTGTGGAACAAGCCCCGATACAGTCCACCTTCCAGGGCACAGCGCCCCTCGTGACAGGATGAATGTTGTCGCAGGACAATGAGACTCTTCAAGCCACGTCCATTACACAAGTCAGCAAGGATCTTCAGGGAAGCAGCCAAGGGACCATGCAGGTCACGTGTCTTTTTTACTATCTGTGTGACCCGCAGGCCCCTTCTCATTCAACTGCAGGTGCTTCTGGCTGAATTTTTTAATGAGAGTTCCAGGGACTAAGGCCACCAGGGCAATGGCCAAGAGCTTTAGGACCGTTTCCCAGGAGAAAAGCGCATGCAGGGAGGTGAGGGTTGACAGGATGGAGCCTGTCTGCACGCAGATGAAATTGTACGGGATCAAACCTGGAAGGGAAGGGAAGGGAAGAGAAGGGAAGAGCCTGTTAATGGGAGCAGGGGAAGTCAGAGAAGGGCTGGCGGCAGGGAGCCAGAGGCACATGCAGAAAAGCCCAACTTTTGACCCATCGCCACCACCACTTTCTCCTCTCCTTTCTGTTCCTTTCCTTCCTTTCCTCATCTCCCGTCTACACCTGCCTAGCAACAAGAGAACTTGCTCTGCACACACACTTTAGCATCAGATACAAAAAGACAAATGAGCACTGAAGAGTTAAATCAGGAATAATTGGTACAAAAATGCACATGGTTCGTGCATTTACTAGAGATACCACACCTGGTTCTGAATGCCTGGCAGCCAAAGTAACACACAAAACACCATCATTATGAGATTTGCAGTATGCATATAGAAGAAGTAAATAGCTCAGTTCTAGATTATTGTCTGCCACACGTGGGAGTACTGCACTCAAGCTCTCAGCGCTACAAAATCAAACACGCTCTTAAGTAAATGCTGCTTTACATATTCTGCACTATCTCTAAAAAGTAATCAAAGCCACTGAAAGCCTGGCTGGTGGCCGAATAGGTTAGTCACACAGTGACACCTGGTGAAAGCCTGAAAAAATACACGGGTAGGCAAGGTTCTCTCCCAACGCCCACTCTGAGCTTCTCTGACTGGCCTGGAGCCCCCTGCCAGTCCTTTCCTCTTCTGTAACAGGAAATCTATGGGAGATGAAGGTCACAGGGTGCTCAAGGCCACAGAGCTTGCAGACAGGAAGGAGCCCTGGTCTCCAGCGTCTTCCCACACTCCACACCATCTAGGTAACAGAAGCTGTAACCCCATTAGCTGCGGTACAGAAGCACTGTCTGAAAGCCAATATGACCAGAGTCACCTGCGGCTGACCTTGCTTCCATTTAAGATCTGTTTCTCTCAGGTCTTCCCTATTAATAGCTGCCTGACCACAGACTTGTGTTAGCCCTGAAAGCCCTGGCTGGCAGTCCCTGCGCCCTCTCAGGGTGTATGCTTCCTTTAGGCTTACAAGGCAAGGCAAGGAACGGTTGTGACTTTCCAGGGTGTCAGTGCGCCACTGTCCCGCCAAAGGTGCACCAAGGCCCAGCCTCAGAGAAACACAGCTCCAGTCCTGGCCCTTTGAGGAGGGCAGCTCGCTGGAGGCTGTACAGTTGCCAAGCCAAGCAGAGACTTTAGCAATCATTTAATTCAGGTGATTTCAAAACTCAGGAGCCAACAGAATCCCTTCTAAGGACTAAAGTCCCAGATCCTTGCACCACCTAGAAAACTTCATCGAGTCCTGTGTCCTATTCCAGAGCTGATGACGTAGGGAGTGTTGAGAGCTCCCCAGGAGCAGGCTGTGATACAGCTCAGTGGTGGAGCCCTTGGCTGCCATGTGCAAGGCCCTGGGGCTCATTCCCAACACCATACACACACACACACACACACACACACACACACTCATGCACACTCACATGCCCCAGGTGACTTTGGCTTTTTATTTATATACGTATATGGGGGGGGGGGGCTAAACCAACTGAGAAACACTGCTTTATCCCAAGCCTTTCATCTAGCCAAATGGTCTCCTAAGAGCAAGTGGCTTGCAGAACGTTATGCAGTTATCATAAGCAAGAAGGCCCTCACTGAATGCCAGCTTTTCCTAAGGCACAGCTTAGAACAGGCCATAGCCAGACAGAAAGTCCCTTGCACTGTTCCACTTTACTGCCCATACCCAGAACTCAGGGCTACACACTCACCCAACGCTGCTGGCGTTTACTGAGCACTTCCTGTGGGTCAGGTACGTGCCTTATACGTAGCCCATCTCTGATCATGCAAAGGCCTGATGCCCATCACAGTGCTTGCTACCCAGTAAGCACTAAATACAGAAACAAAACACGCGATCCCACGGGTTCTGTAAGTACTTTTGTGGGTTTTCAAATTCAAGTCTGATTAGATCGAATATTGGGAGTATTAGGTCATAGGTTTAAAGCTGCTCTTTGTGAGCCTGTCCTCTGGGAAGGCAGGCACATGTGACCGCCGGGATGTCCCCTGACATGATAGCACCAAAGACTCGAACTTCCACTCCTGCACCTTACCGATAAGGACTGAGAAGAAGAACTGCAGGATGGGAATGTTCAGAATCGGGGCCGAGAGGTTCAAGAACCAGTTTGGTGTCATGGGGAAAAGCCTCAGGAACAGCAAGAAGAAGAACAAGCTGTCTCGGTTCTCCTCCACCTGCAGCAAGAGGTCGGGGCAGAAAGTCACAAAGGGGACAGTCCCAGACACTGTGTCTTCCACTGCCAATTCTTGCTACAACCCTCGAGGGTATGGACTGGTTTTCAGAAGAACCTAAGGATCTGAGAGGCCAGGAACTTTGCCCAAAGCCTCAGAGCTAGGAATCTTTTTGTTGCTTTTTAAGACAGGATCTCACTATGTACCATAAGCTGGCCAAGCTCTCAAGCTTGTGGGCAAGCTTATGGAAAAGGATTAGATAAAAGCCAAAATGTTATGTGGTTTGGGGGTCCAGGAAGGTAAGACCTTTCTTGGTTGTCTGTATTTATTGGGTCCTTAATGATTCAGGGGGGTGCAGAAGGTGGGGAACACATTTAAGGCAAAAGCCCAGAAAAATGAGGCGGCCTTGAAAAGTCAGAACATAGACACTCTAGTTGCACAGACACTCTTGCAAACCAAGAGAATTCGCTTATCTCTAAGGTTGGCAGTTATTGCCCTGGAATTGGAGTTGAGCCAAATGTCCTCAGCTGCAGTCTTATCTCACCCTCAGAGGCCATCAATATGAGCTTTTCCAGTACAGTCAGAAAGTGCTGTGTTCAGCAACTTAACCCCTACACAGCCCGGTCCCCAGCACTCCTGCCTGGGTCTCCGGGTACTGGGACTACAGGGTTACACCGGCTCCCATAGCTCAGAGCTGGGATCTGGTCCTAGGTCTGTGTCTCCTGATGACTCTAACAGAATCCCTAGCACCTGCAAGGAAGGGAGGAGGAGCCCATGGGAGGTCCCTACTCGTGGCTGCCCTGAGACCATGAGGTGACACTCAGGCTGGCAGCTGTGGCCCCTCCTTACCTTCTTCTGTAGCAGGGCCACTTTATCCGGGAAATAGGAGACCACCAGCTGCTTGCCAAAAACACTGGACAGCAGGTAGCAGCACGAGGCACCCACGGAGGTCAGCACGCAGCACAGCACAAGCCCCAGCCATGGCCCGAACAAGGCACCGGCTAAAACATTCTGTAAAGAAAGCAAACGCTCAGCCACCACAACACCTGGCGGCTCCCGTCCCTCACCCTGGAGCCCGAGACCCACTGCTGCTCGCCACCTCCTTTGATTTCCCAGCCAACATCCATCACTCACATTAAAGTGGAGAATGAAAAGGCTGGGAGCTACAGCCCTGACATTGTTTGTTGTTTGAGACAGGGTCTCACAATATAGTCCAGGCAATGCTCCCGCCTCAGCCTCCTGAGTGCTGGGATTATAGGTGTGGGTCATCATGGCTGGCTCAGTCCCTTCCTCTTTTAAAACAGGATCAGGATTAGCTCCTCTGAGGGCAGGAACAAATTCAGAGGCTAACACACATACACAGCACCTGGCCTGAGCTGCACGGGCTATGGCAGATCAGTGATGACTGATCAAGGGCTCCAAGAAAGCAGAAATTAAATTCACAGGTCATTTTTACCGTTTCAAAAGACAATACACACCATCAGTGTCCCTCTGATAACACCACATAGGTTAAAGAGATGTTTGGGGTTTGTTTTTTGTTTTATTTGCTGGAATTACGCCTAGGTAGTATGCTCATACTAGAGTTTCTGCATTCACCAAAATTCTAGCTGACACTGAGGTCCTAGGTTCATAGAAATGGAAAAGTAAACCAGTACTTCCTAAATGCAGTCTGGCTGATAAATATCATCCTGCCACAGCCTAGGACCCAACAGAGAAAGCAAGAGGAAACCTTGGCAGTAAGGCAGTGGGGCTGATGAACACCTTGAGTATGGATGTCTTCTGAGTCCTGCACCATCCTTACCCCATTCTACAGGTGACAGATTAAACCTTGTGGCAAGAGCAACCGAGGCAGAGGCAGGATGCACCCTCCCTGGGTCCAGGAGTGAGGCCCCCACCAAGTAGCAGCTGGCTCTCTACCCCGAAGAGGGATCAGTTCAATGGGGAAGATGGGACTTGGCACCCCCAAGGGGTCAGCCCCTGGCCTGAGCGTCACACACCTCCCTGCCTCCTCCAGACATGTCTGCTTATTTTCTGGTTTCCAATAAACAGCGTAGGGAGATCCAGGCTCAGCCAAGAATACAGAGAAGGTGCTGGGAGAGGAGAGGGGAGCAGCCACACAAAAGGAAGCATTCAGGACTTCCTGTTCAGTCACTCAATCACTTAGTAAGTGCTAAAAGCCACTGTGTGCCACCCACTATCTCATTTCTTATTCCCACATGACAACTGCTATGGAGGAGTGGCTGTATTTATGGAGGAGTAGCCTTATTTGACAGATAACGAGAACAGGACTGGGAGGCAGGCAGGATACTGACCAGGAAGCTGGAGCCAGGGATGGCAAAGCCCTGTTTGTAAAGGTAGGCGCTGCAGAAGAGCAGGAACACATAGGCCTGGTGCTCCTTCCGGTACTCTCGAAGGATGTCAGAGAGTTCCTGCAGCTCTGCTAGGTCAGAAGGGAACCACAGTGACCTGGGCATTTGGAAAATCAGATAAAAACAGTTCAGATCTATCCAGCACCCAAGCTAATCCGGGCTGTTGCTTTTTTCCCATTAGGTTTATAAACATGCCCATCCCTAGGTCTACTGGGAACAAATACATAACCTGAACACACGACAGGAGACTCAATACAACATGGTGGAGCCAGCCACAACAGCTGTGGTATGGAGGCAAGAGTCTTGGGGTGGCCCACTCTACTATTTCCCAGTTGTGTGAACTTGTGCCTCAGTTTCCTTATCTAAAAAAAGATACGTTGGTGCTGGGTAATCACTGAAGTTCTCGTAACTCCTAGATGTTACGAATGATTGATTTTTGGTGCTGGGAATTGATCCCAGGGCCTCTGCTATGCTAAGCTCACATGCTGTACCACTGACTACCCTATTCTTAAGAGGATTCATTCCCAAGCAAGCACTAGACACCTTCAACTGCCTTCTTCTTAAGGGTACTACCTCTCCCACCAGCCAAGAACAATTCAGACTTCATCTTGCTCCTGAGATACTGGGAAAATTAACCATTTCATCATTCACTAAAGGCCAATTAAAGGTTCTCTAGGGAAGCGTATCTACCCTATACACATAACTATCCCATTAACATAACTTTCTCAAGCTCTTAATTCCAGAGTTCTGTGGTAGATCTCTTGTCTAATATTAATGAGGCCCTGGTTCTACGCCTGGCACTGGGAGAAAAATAAAACAAAAAACCCATAACTTTCTTGATAGCACGGCAGACTTGAAATCAACCCTCTCAAAGAGACTGCTTTTTCACCCTGATCTTAATCTAGCGCTCTGTTCTCTCCGACTCCTGTCCAAGGGTCGCGGTGCAAAGGCTACCTCGCCTCTGCCACCTGAACAACCCCTGAACCCATCGCTGCTCAGGGATGAGCAGCCCTCCTGGTTCTCGTGAGGATGCGTCCTACGGTTGCCGCCTTCCCGGGAAGGGCACAGGTGACCGCATCTGGAAATGACCGTCCTCACGATCAGATCTCGGTACATCCCCGACGACGCACCGCCGCCCAGGCTCGTTCCGTGCACCTCACAGAAAGCAGGCGCGATCGATCGCGGGGAGCAGCGGCGAGCGAGGCCGGCGGCCAGGGGACTCCGCGCGGGCGGCCCGGGAGCCCTGCGGCCACTCTGCACGCGCAGACCTAGTCCCCGCACTCGAACCCCGATGCCTCCACGCCCGCCGCTCACCTGCCGCCGGGCTCCTCCGCGGAGCCGGGTCTCGGGCTCCGGGGCAGCTGCGTGGACAGCAAGTACAGGGCGAAGGTGCAGCCGGCGAAGACGAGGAGTAGACCGAGCAGCGGGCGCATGGCCGGGTCGCAGCTCTGCCCGCTGCCGGGCCACACGAGAACCGGTTAGGCTAGTTGCAGCGCCGACCCCTCGCCACCAGCGGACTGCGGGGGAGCGGAGCGCTTTTGCGGACGGACCGGGGCGGGGTGTTCTGCGCCAAGCCCCGCCCCTGTAAGGCCCCGCCTCCAGCAGAAACCTTGTCTGCGCCTGCGCCTCTTTTGACCTTAGGTCCTGTGCGTTCCTGTTGTTCCACGTTTGTTCTGTTTCTTTCTCCTGTTGCTCCGCAGGCGTCGAGGCCCACAGTGCAGCCGCGGTGCTGAGAGATTCAGGGCGAGCCCTGAACCGGTTTGCAGTCCGGGCCTCAGTCTCTGTCTCACAGTCGAGTCGCCCGCAAGTGCAGAGCCAGGGAGGGCTCGATCGCCGTCGGGGCGGTGACAGGGCCCGCGGAAGTAGCCGACCTTGCTCCACGACCACCCTGCAAGGGGTTATGTCTGTATTTAAAAGTCAGAGCTTGGGGCTAGGGGTGTGGCTTGGGTAGAGCGCTTGCCAGGCGCGCGCAGGGCTCTGGGCTTGACTCCCAGCGCCACACAGTAAGTAAGATCTGGGTTTTAGAGAGATGAAGTGGCATTGGGCCAGAGAAGCGGGGTAAGGACCCCATTCAGCGTGGCTCCAAAACTGGTGCTTCTCACCCCGTGCGAATTCCGGGGGGGGTGGGGTTTGAGTTCCCCAGTCCGAAAAGGGAGGGACCGCGCGAGCTTGCCTTAAGGCACCGGAGTCTGGTTACTGGGAAGCTTAAGAAGCATGAGGCGTCAGAGGGAGGTTGAGAACCAAATGGAAAGACCTGTGAGGCAAGCTGAGGATGTTTTGAGGCTTCTCCAGCAGAGGTGTTGAGTGTGACTCAGTTTCCCATTTTAGAGTTCTCACGTTGGGGTGATTAGCGAGCATGCTGAGTTCACAACTGCCGCTCTGAAAAGGATTGAAGATCACAGCAGTAGGAAGGAAGCGAGGAAGGTGGCCAGCTGGGGGAGGCTAACTGATAGGACATGTGTCTGATGAAATGAAGGAAGAGGCGAAGAGAGTCAACAACTTGGGCAAGAGAGAAGTGACCTTGTCATGTCACTTAGAGCACTTTTTGAGCAAAATAAGGAGCACTTGTCAATTCAACTGTACAAGATCCTGTACACTTCCAAAAGCAGAGCGTATGGGTACACAAAAGTATACGTTCACAGATGTTCGCTCAGCTTTGTTTTGATGTTAAGAGTTTGGGAACAACCAGCATACCCATCAATTGGTGTATTCACAAATGGAGCTCTACTGAATGTAGCCTCCTAAAACAGAGGCAAGAAGTGAATCCTAATATAGAACAGCTGCCGGATGCATGGCCAGGGTAAAAATCAGACAAGGTGCAGGATTAAGAGAAAACTGTGGGCTAAGTAGAGCAGTGCACACCTGTAATCCCAGCTACTTCAGAGGCTGAAACAGGATGAAAAGTTCAAGGTCAGCTGGGGCAGTTTAGCAAAAACTTGTCTCAATAAAATATTTGTAAAAGGGCTTGGAGATGCATATCGGTGGTAGAGCGCTTGTCTAGTCTGTGTGAGGCCCTGGGTTCAATCCCTAGTACTGAACAAAAAAAAAAAAAAAAAAAAAATGACACTATGACTCATTTTTAAGAGAAAAAAAGAGGATATATTTTCTTTTCAAGTTACTGAAGAATTACAGAGGAAATGATTCAATGAGTAGGATTTGTATCACAATAACACTACAGGGATTTGGTAGGTAGAGAAAGAAACAGAACAGGATTGACCAGGAGCTGATTACTGTGGAACCTGGATAATGGACATATGGAGGTAGATTTTGTACTACTATTTTCTCTCTACGTTAGAAATTTTCCATTTAAGAAATTGAGGAGAAGTAGTCTGAGCCCTCCATCCTGCTGAGTAGTCACTGAGTTATTTCCATCCCATGACAATACTCTTTCCCCCATCTGACAACCTCCCTCCAGCCTGGAAAATGCCTCTTTTTAGCAACACCCAGGACAACCATCACCTCCTCTCTGAGAAACCTTCTCCAGCTCTCCAAGGCGGAAAAGTTATTGTCTGTGCTTAGAGCTCCCTGAGAAATGTCATCACCTCTCTTCCCCACAAGACAGCAAACTGCGCCCTAAAAGAGATAATGTCTCCTCTATGTCTGGCTGCTCCAAGCCCTAACTAACTCTGTGCTTCTCTAACAGTTGGAACTTAAACATCTTTATTGAATTAATGTCTCAGGTTCTAGCAAAGACCTGGCTTGGTATATATTGACTTTTGAGATGCCAAAAGAATGCAGAAGGGAAAGTGAGTGAGGAGCTAACACTATTGAGCCGGTGCTGGAGTCAAATAGAGAACAAGACGATGAGGTTCCTGATATCAAGGACCTCACTGTCCCTTTGCCAGGGGAAGAGCACAGAGGGAGATGGGGTCTTACAGCATGACAGGTGCCTTGGAAGAAATCAACACGATGCAGCTCACTCCACTCAGCAGGGTCATCATCCTACTTATCGATGCATAGACAGGCGAATGTTCAAAGGCGCTTGTGAAGTCTGCAGCAGTGGGCACCACACAGAACACCAGGCCACCTGCTGCCTCCTGTCCTGTCCCACCGATACACAAGCTCGCAGAAACCTGGTTCTCGTTCTAAGACTGAACATTCAGATCTGCAGATTGTTTTGGTCAATATTGTGTTGCTGTAAAGAATTATGTGAGATGATTTAAAAAAGAAAAGGTTTACCCTGGCTATGATTTTGGAGGGTTCAGTCCATGGTCAACTGGCCCCTTACTTTGGGGCCTGTGGGGGCATAGTGAAGCCGCTCACCCCATAGCCAGATTCATCTGTGGATGAACTGGGAGTTCAGTGTGCTCTTAGGAGGTGGGGCCTAGCTGGAGGAGATCTGTCGCTGGGAGTGTGGCCTGGGAGGATGTATTTTTCTTCCTGTTCTCCTCTCTACTCTGGCCGGCCACCATGAGGCAAGCCTTGACTTTGCTTCATCATTCCCCTCCCCAACAATGTTTCTTCTTTGGAGCCCTGATGATGAATCCTGCCTCCTTTAGATTGTGTCAGGTATTTTGTCCCAGCAGCAGAAAGCTAATAAGCTACAGTGAGTGAAAGATCTGCTAGGTGCACTTCTTAAACTTCCACACCCTCCCCATAGTGCTGCGCTAGGGGTGACACCTTGGATTCATAGGCCTTTGGGGATATTTAGCAAACCATAGCAGAGCTCATCGTCTAGAGGACACAGCTGATGTGAGAGGGGAAGATCTCAGGACACAATGAAAGAGACAGTTACAGTGAATATTTTTCACTGACTGTGTTGTAGACCCCAAAGGGAGTGTTTTATAGGCATGAATTTCTTCCATAGAACAGCTCGCATGAAGTAGGGGGCTCTCAACTCACCTTCATCTGTTACAGTCCAGGAAACTGAAGTTTAGGACAAAGTAAAGGAATGAATCATATAATGGAGGCCACACACCCTGCACCACCAGGGCCTAATGTGTTACTGTGCACTACTGTCCTGAGAATTCTTTCTGAGTCAAACCAGAAGTCTGAAACCAGAAGAAACCAATGAAAGAAGATTGCTAGCTCAGGGATAAATGAGAAAGATAGAGACAGACACAGAGACAAGAGAAGAAAAGAAGGGAGGGGAGGGGAGAGGAGCAGAGGGGAGGAGAGAGTCCTGAGCATCCAAGAGACTTTGAAAAGGAACCCCAGGCAGTGCTGGCGTCCGTGGAATCTGAAGGTCATGGGATTTGGCCAACACAAGGATGTCTTCCCCAAGCGGAGACCCTTAGGACTCTCTCCTCTCCTTGGACCCTGAAGCAGGGCCTCCTGCTAAGTGAACAGCCAACACCCAGTGATGCTTCCCTGTGGGGGGGCCCAAGCTCAGTCAGAACCTCTTAGGAGAGCACAGATCTAACAAAGGCCCAGGCATTCTTGTTGCAGAAGGTTCCAAGGTGACCCCATCCCTCCCTTTTCTCAGGTCTACAGTTCAGGTCTTCCTGCATGTGTTAGATTTTCCTCATAAAATAGCTGAAGCATTAACTTATAAGAAGAGTGCTTTGCTCCGACTGATGGTTCTGGAGGGTCCCGTTGCTCTGGGCCTTAGTAAGCATCACATGTCTTCATGGGAGCTTATGGTGAATCAGCAGCACTTTATCGTCAGCCAGGAAATGGAGAAAGGAAGAGGAGACTGGACTCCCACAGTCCCCTTTGAGGCCACATCCCCAGTGACTTGTGGACCTCTCTGTAGTTCCCACCTTCTGAAGAATCTACCACCTCCAATATCACCAATCTGGTGACCAAGCCTTCAATGCATGCATCATTGGGGAAATTTAACATCTAAAGCATGGCACCAGAGTCCCCTCCCTTGTCTCTCCCTCTATAACATTTGGGCTGAGATGACTAATTTTCTATTCTTACCCTCGAAGGCCTCCTTGACTAAGGTGACAAGAGAACATGAAGTAAGGATCCAGGGGTAGGCAGCTGTAAGTTTTTTGAATAAACAGAGGAAAGTATATTGATGTCTGTAAGAGTTGGAATGATTCTGACTGTCCTAAGCATGAGTCCATTCCATTCTGCCCAGCTGACATTTATTGAGCACCTACTTCATGTCTGGGACCATGTTAGGCACTAGAAAGGCAAAAACAAATAAACAGTAACCACACTCCTGGAGCCCATCGTCTTGGAAGAGGTACCATCACAGAAGCATCACAGTGTGGCATCATAAAAAGCCAGTGTCATGGGCTAGGGATGTGGTTCAGTGGTAGAGCTCTTGCCTTGCATGCACAAGGCCCTGGGTTCAATCCCCAGCACCACAAAAAACAAACAAAAAAAGCTAGTGTCGAAGCAGGTAGTGGCAGGAAGAGCTGTAGGACAGCAAACAGGAAGACTCTGAGCCCCAGCTTGGGGTCATCCTGTACCACTGTAGGGTCCTGAAAGATTTTAGCAGTGGTGCTGAGATAGGGGTGGGGGCCCCCAGACTTCAGCACAGGCAGGCTTGCTGGGAAATGGCACAGGACCACTTGGAAGGTGCAAATAAGGAGTAAAGGGAAAAAGCCTACTTCTGTGGTCACCAGGGAGCCTGGGAAATGGACAGCGGCCTCCAAAGATGACAAAGATAATCGTATCAAAAATTTCTGGGAGACAAATGGAAAAAGCTGTGAAGGTTGGGTGTCCTCATGCCAGTGGGCTATTGCCAGGGCAGAGGGGAAGGTTTCACTGAGGATGGGTCCCCAGGGCTTGGAGATAATTCAGTGTTTATTTCGTAGATATTTCCTGAACGTAGAGTCCCACAGGCATGGAGTCCCTGCCTTGTAGAGCAGGCTGGTGCGAAAGACAGACATTAATAATCACAGAAATAAATCTTAAAAAAGACTTTAAATTTGCATTAGGGAGTAATTCCAGCATTTGGGAGGCTGCAACACGAGGACTGTCCTGAGTTCAAGGCCAGCTTGGATTACATTAGAGTTCAAGGCCAGCCTACACTACATAGCAGGACTCTGCCTCAAAAAGAAGGGGTGAGCTAAGGCCCCTATGCTGAGAATCATTGGAGAGGGGTGGGAATCGGTTGGCTGTGATGTAACTGAGCCACAGATTTGGATTTGGATGTGCTGACAGAGGGGAGAGCGAGCAGCAAGAAACAGTCAAAAGCGCCAGAGGCCAGAGAAGAAAGACTCTGAGAAGACAGTGGCCACTCCACTTCCCATCGCTGTTACCTGAAACTCGGAACCGCATCTCCACTCCAGTAAGCAAACTTCCCTCCTCCGCCCCTTGTCCTTCCGTCCGATCACCCACTACCCTGCCCTTTTCCACAGTGAGGCAGCAACAGGGCCAGGACCCATGAGCTCAACGAGTTCAGAAATGCATGGTAATTCTATTGCATTTCTTGCTGTTGTTTTGGTCCCCCTATTTAGGGACAAAAAGTGACTGTGTGGGACCTCCTGTGATTCAGTGCCATGCACAGGCTGACTGGGGGAGAGATAGATGCCAGCCCTCTCCTGTGAGTCTGTGCCATTCACAGGCAGCAGGGAAGGAGAGCAAGAAGCCAATGAGAAGCTAAGACCTCCTGTGAGTCGGCACCATATGCCAGCTGACGGGGAGAGCACAGGCTGCCATGGTAGCTAATGAGGTAAAACACAATTTAATGCTTGTACTGTTTAGCGTTTCACTGACTTTGCAGACCTAAAGCTTGTCTACTCTGAGTAACAATATACAATGTAGCATGTATAGGGGATCTCTCTCTCTGAAAGTAGCCATTGTTAATTCTCTATTATCTTGTTTGGAAATCCTGTATCATTCTCATTGTTTTGCTTGGTTGGGTTTTGTTCTGTTTTGTCTTATTTGATTTTTGTTATATCTGAGGCATAGGCAGCTGTTTCAAAGATAACGAGGTATATTATGGTAACCATTTTAAATTTACTATTATCTTGTTTTGAAGTCTTATATTGTGTTCATTGTCTTATTCTTATTGATGCCATTCTGTTTCTGTTTTGTTTGATTTTACTACATCTCAGAGTATGGGCAGCTATTTTAAAAACAAGAGGCCTTGTGGTAATAACCATTGTTGATTTCCTATTACCTTGTTTTGAAATCCTGTGTCACTTACACTGTCTTATTTTGATTGGCTTTATTTTGTTTTATTTTGCTTGGTTTTATTCTCTCAAAAATAAAATTTTAAGAAAAGAAAGTGACCGTGCTAATCAAAATATGGGAACAACAAAATTACATATAAAAAAAAAAGACATCAGGACCTCACAGCATGCTGATCTCTCTCTCCCCACAACTGCTGTGGAGACCTGGGAGCAGATGGCAGGGTGACAGGATGTCCATGCGCCTGCCACAGAGCTTTACTCCATTCAGGGCTCTGTCACCCCCTGGATTAGGCACATGTAGGAATCCGTGCCAACACGCACCACGCACAGATGCCTACTGTTTACTACATAATCTGTTCAGTTACGAGAAGGGCTGTTGTCACAGAAAGCAGTAGAAGTCCCTTGGACGAGGTGGACGGCACCGGGCCTGTAGCACTGCATGGTCCCCAGTCCTGGACATCTGGCCCCAGGGACTGTCCTCCCTTCGTTCCAGCCTCCTTGGCCTCGGCTTTCAGGGACCTCAGACTCAGCTGTCACTGTCATTCCTCATTCATGTCACACCTTCTTCCAGGGAAACCTCGGATGCCTCAAGAGCAAACCCTCTGTTCTGTGAATTCCATTAGCAGCAAAACAAGCTAACACCACCATCCCGGGATTCCTCGTCACAGGCAGATTATGTCTGGCACTTTTTCACTTTTCACCATGCATTTAAAAAACAATGTCTTTCGATAATCATGGACTACACTAGTAGTAGAGAAAAATAAATATGATTATTTGGGATTGCTTCAGGTGACTGGGGCAGGGTGGTGATCAGTGTTACAGTGACCGTCTAACATGCAGAGGCTCTGGGTTTCATTCCCAGGACCACATCAACATAATAATAATAATAATAATAATAATAATAATTAATAATAATAATCCACCGTCAGTCTCCTGTCTCTTCACCTCTTGCTCCACCCCTGTCCCCAAGCCAGAGGCTGTGTCCTGTTCCTCTGCCCTCTCCTGTCCCCCACTTGCCACCCTCGAGGCTGTCAGCCCTTCCCACCCCTCATAAGGGGGAAGTCAGGTGTGTGATGTTCTCAGAGCAAACAGCCCCAGAGAGAAGCAGGGAGAGGCTGCCCTGTCTGAGCAGGAGAGCTCAGCCGTATCAAAATAAATAAGAACACTTTCACATCCATCATGCATCTCCCAGATGCGGCACCTGTGGGATCCCAAGGAACCCTCCCCGAGTTCACCTTCCCAGTCCAGTCTGCAGCAGCCAAGCGAGGCGGGCGCTTGGGGAACTGGGCACAGGTCGTGGGAGTTCACAGCGGGTCTCCAGCTGTCCTTCCCTTTCAGATGCTCGACCTGCACCCTCGAGGGACAGCAGCGCTGGTGACATGCCACAGAAGTGACAGATCGGAACAAACCAGGCCCCAGGACGCACACAGGCACACAACGTGCAGGGCTGGCGGGAGCCTGGCTATTTCTGAATTGCCCCAGTTAGGGGCTGCTTTCCTGGGATTGTTTCATAACCACGAGGTCACTTGATGTTTGACAACGGGACATTCACAGGACACTGCTGGAAATAACCTTCATACTGCTGAAGCCTTGAAGAAAAGGTGAGATGAAGCTTCTACAGAGTCTATAGATGTCGCCCACTTGGCATCAGGTTGCCAACTGGTCCCCATGAGGTTACAATTGCAGCTTGGGGCAGGGAATAGGCCGGAAGATGGTTTCAACATTTTCCATCAGGACAAGGTCATAGCGGCAGAGCTGCGGCCTAGGGAAGCGGGAAAATGACAAAACAGCCTCATCAGTGAAACAGCAGGATCTAAGGTTATGGAGCAACTGTTTGACAGCCAAATGCCAGGCCAAGAAGAAACCCAGCAACAGCAGAGCTGGGGTGTGTGTGAACTTCAACCAGGCCTCAGGGCAGCACTAGGAAGATTAAGGAGAAACAACCAAGAACTTTAGCAGTGGTTGCTTCTGCATGCTGACACTCCCAAAGCAGGACTGAAGGGAAAACAAGCTTTCCCAGCCTTGGACAACCGCCCCTCAACCCTGCCCAGCCCTGCGGGGCTGTAACTCCTTGTTCTGGTACAGATAAGACTGGCAACTATGACCTGTGAACAAAGTCTATGACACTCTATTCTCACAAGAGTCATAAGCTCTGTGTCTTTCTGTGTGTGTGTGTGTGTGTGTGTGTGTGTGTGTGTGTGTGTGTTTATCTCTTTTTTGATACAGCATCTCACTGCACAATTCAGGTCGGCCTTAAACTCACTGTGTAGCCCAGACTGGCCTCAAACTCACAGACATTCTCCTGCCTCAGCCTCCTGAGTTCTAGGATCCCAGACATGCGCTGTCTTCTTTCAAGGCTAACTTATTAACTGCCTTGTCTTGCTTCTGAACCCTCATTCACACCCCTCCTTCTCTCTCCTGGAAAGACCAACCCCCTACACTAAATGTCTAAAAACTGGAGCCTTTCTGTTAGGGCAATTTTGGACATCATAAGGTTGAAAAGAGCCAGGTGTATATCTAATAAAACCCTCCTGTTTTTCCCCATTGGACTCTCTGATCTCTTAAAGTCTGCAACGTGATAAGTGACATTTTTCTCTATCAGTTTCTGTACTTCCCAAGTTTATATAAAGGGACCATGCATTCATTTGAAAATCAGCAGAGAAAATTATGTAAGAGTCCCAGTTTTGTTGTCGCTGTTCATTTGTTTGCTTTTTGTTTATGTGGGTTTTTTTTTTTCGTCTTTTTCCTTTTTATTGGTACCGGGGATTGAACTCACAACTGCCTGCTTGCAAGGCGCTTATGCCGCTGAGCTAAATCCCCAGCCCCATTATGTGGTTTTTTGAGACATGGTTTCACTATTGCATTCCAGGGTGGCCTTGAACTCTCTGTGGAACCCAAGCTGGTTTTGAGCCCATGATCCTGCTTCAGCCTCCTGAGTGCTGAGATTACAGATGTGTGCCGCCACACCCAGCAAGATTTAATATGACTGTCCTCTTAGAGGAAACTTTTACTGTTTTTCAAAACTTCTATTAAATATTTAGGGTTCCTTAAATCTTCAAGAAAAACATTTATAAACCTAAAGCCCACACTATTTTTTCTTTTTCCCTCCTTCTCCTTTTCTCCAAATTAAATCCTAGGAAAAGTGACATTTTCACAAACTATAAACACTGTTATGTATGTTTTAAAATCTGTCTTCCCTCGCACATAGTTATTTTTCTAAACCAGTTGAAAATACTTAAATATTAAATATACCATAATGCTTCAGTATGTTTAAAAAAACAGTCTATAGGGGCTGGGGATTTAGCTCAGCAGCATGAGCACCTCCCTTGCAAGCAAGCAGTCATGAGTTCGATCCCTGGTACCGATAAAAATGAAAAAGACAAAAAAAAAAAAGTATATATATTTTTTCTGTATGTAGTTCTTTTTTTTTTTTGTCTTTTTCATTTTTATCGGTATCGAGGATTGAACTCACGACCGCCTGCTTGCAAGGCAGGTGCTTATGCCGCTGAGCTAAATCCCCAGCCCCTAGTATGTAGTTCTTAAAAACAAGAACATTTTCAGAGCTGGCTGTGGTGATACAGGCCTCTAATCTTAGCACATGAGAGGCTGAGGCAAGAGGGTGGCTGAGTACAGGCCAGTCTGGCTACATAGTGAGTTTAAGGCCAGCCCGCACAACATAGCAAGACCAGTTCAAAAATAAACAAGTAAATAACAAAAATAAAAAAAGAACATTCACAGAGCAGTTGTAAAATTCAACAAATTTAGCCAAATTTAACTTAAGTCATCTTACACTGCCAATAGAAAAACAAATCCAATTTTTCTTTAACCTTTTTAAACATTAGCCTCTGTTTTATCTCTTGCAAAATGATACAAAACTTTCTTTTTCTACAACAAATTATCATTTGCCAACAGCATGAGTAGAGAGGAATTTATGTAACTCTCAGGCTCTAACAAATTACTTCCTGGGCCTGCTGACCCGTTCTCTTTAAACATATACCAGTAGAATTTTCTTGGATTACAGGGCTACTTCTTTTTGTTGCCTGTTGTTTTGTTTGCTTGGGTTTAGGGTTTTGGGGGGTTTGAGACTGGGTCTCATTATATAGCCAGCTGTATTTAAACTCACTACATGGCCCAAACTGGCCTTGAACTCACAGCAATCCTCCTGCCTCAGCCTCCCCACTGCAGGGATTGCAGGCATGTGCCCCTCAAGACTTATTTTTGCAAAACCCTTCACTTCCTCCACTGTGAATGCTGAACTCCTGTTAAAACATGAGGCCAAGCAAACTCACCAGGACCAGGATCCTGTAACCTCTTTGTCACGCCCGCCTTGGCTCACCTGTCAGGGTGTGTGAGGGGCCTCAACTTCATGCGGATGACCCTGAGCTTGTACCTGGGGCCGACCACAGAGCCTGTGGAGAACAGCAAGGAAACGGCAGCCACTTCACTCAGATCTCTGTGAAACCTCGCCAGCAGGCTCACTTGCTGGTATTTCTGAAATGTGGCCGGTTCACTAGGAAGCAATGACAACGCTGGGTGAGCACAGGTGGCCGCTGAGTAATAAGCAGGGGACAGCCTGGCCCCATCACCGCACCAACCGACTCAAGGACAGTCCAGCGATTTCCAAAGCACTGTCCTTGAAATGTCCGGACCTGCTACCCACCAGCAGTCTGTAGTCCCTGGATTCAGCCGCCCAACGCCCTGATGCTCCTCCAGGCGGGAGGGCTTCCTACTCCGCAGGCAGCCGGAGCAGAAGCCGCAGAACTGCACTCTGGGGATGGGTATTGTCTGTAGCACTGTGCGGAAAGGCGCTCAGCTCTGAGTTCAGAATCCCCGTCTTCCCTTCCAACTACACTGTTAGAGCCATGTGGGTATCTATCGCCAAACTCGGTTCTAACGGAGAACTTGGTCTTCACTCCTCTTTCCCTCACCAGGTGAACTGGAAATGGCTACACAGGCTCTAACACTTTTTCCAAAGGTGTGGAGACGTTTTCTACAGATGGAACCCCATGACCCTAAGGCACACGGGTCTTCCTGGAGAGGTTTAGCACGACCTGCCTCTCTGGGAGTGAGGAGAGGAGGCCGCAGAGAACCAGGGAGCCACCGGGAAGACCAGGCCCATACACGATGGAGTACCCTGTACCATAAAGGAGGCTGGGTCAGGGTCATCTGTAGGATGCACCATCTCAAGACCATAATTTTAAGTAAAACAACCAAGCACACAAGTTTAAACAGCGCGTAGTTTCTCTTATCTGAGAAACTCAACGTATAAATAAAGAGTGACAGCATGCTAGCAAGTACTCAGGAGGCTGAGGCAGGAAGATTGCTGCGAGTTGAAGCCAAGTCTGGGCTACATAATGAGTTTAAGGCCAATCTAAATTACATAGTGAGACCCTGTCTCAAACAAACAAAGACAAAACAAACAAACAAAAAGAGGGAACTAGGAGATAGATCTTTTGCAGGGAAGGAGACCAAAAGATGGAGGGAAAGAGAGGAAAAAGAAGGGAGGGGGAGAGGGGATGAGAAAAGAACTGGGATGCAGTACATACAAGTCCCCACTCGAACTCATTAAAAAAAATTTAAAAACAAACAGTAGCTCGCTCCACATGGGCCCCCTTCATTTTGGGGCGGGGTAGATGTGAGCAGGTATCTGTCACTTCGACCTGGTCCTGTGGGGAGCAGAAGTGCTACAGGTAACATCGATGGGGAGGGGGCCTGGATTTGGGTTTTAAGTACACCTCTGCTGAAACGAACCAGGGCTCCCCTAAGATTTGGTTGATTCCAGGACTGGAAACTGCAAAGTGATCCTGGCCTGTGCGCCAGACAGGAAGGAGGTGCTCAGAGAGCAACAGAAACATCCCAGCCACACTGAGCCACCTGGCACCCAGGAGTGCAGGGGGTGCTGGTGAGGATGTGAGCACCAGGAGGCCTTGGAAGAAGTCACTTTCAGGATGAGAGCGCAGCTCAGCAGTAAAGCACTTGCCTAGAGTGCGGGGTTACCATGAGCAAGGCCCTGGGCTCAAGCCCTGTACCAAAAAAAAAAAAAAAGAAGAAGAAGAAAAAGACCCCTCTCAGCCTCACACAGCCCCTGCTATTGACCCACTCAGGGTGCCCACGTTGTGGTTGGGAGTGTCAGGTGCCATCCTGCTATTCTGCAGATGCGGCCAAGGGACAATCCGAGTGCTGGTAGCCAGCCAACCCAGGAAACATTTCCTGAGCACAGGGACAAAATGAATGTCAAATCCCTTTGTTTCAAAAGTTCCCTTGCCCCTCTCCTTGGTGATAGAAGGATAAAGTGACGGACGGACGGACGGAAGGAAGGAAGGAAGGAAGGAAGGAAGGAAGGAAAAGAAAAAACAAAAGGAAAGGAGGCTGTTGCTTCACTGTGGCTGCCTCCTGCCTACCCTGCTGTGGACTGTTTCTACCCTGCCATTCCCCTGCCTTGGAACCACCAACCACACACTGAAACTTCCACAGACTGTGAGTCAAAATAAACCTTTTCTCCTTAACTTTCAGGGTCAGATATTTCGATTCAGCAATGAGAAAAGTAGCCCATACATACATATACAATTTGTTCTTCTATGTTTCAGTTGTATATTATAAGCTTGCATTTCATATGTGTCATAAAAACTTCAGTGTATGAATAATTCTCTACTACATGGAAATACTTAAATGAACCACTTTCCACTGTTGGATTTTGGGGGTATATTCCCCTCTCCCCCACTCCAATTTTTTTGTAATGCTCAGGATTGAACCCAAGGCTATATCTCTGAGCCATATCTCCAGCCCTTTTTATTTATTTTGAGACAGAGTCTTGTTAAGTTAGTAAATTGCTCATGCTGGGCTGGAACTTGAGGTCTTCATGCCTGCTGTGGTTTAGACCTAGAATATCTCCCAAAACTCTCAAGTGTTCAGAGGTGGGGCTTTTGGAAAGTGACCAGATCAGAGGGTGTTGTGTTCTTCAATGGGTTCGTCTATGAATGGGTTCAGCAGGTGAGTGTGTGGCTAGCAGCTGGGTCCCAGTTAGAGGTTGGTCACTGGGGATGTGTCCTTGTGTCCTGGAAGCATGCATCTCCCTCCTAGCCCCTCTACTCTCTGTCTGTCTCTGTCTCTGTCTCTCTCTGTCTCTCTGTCTCTCTCTCTCTCTCTCCCTGTCTTTCTCTCTCTCTCTCTCCCTGTCTTTCTCTCTCTCTCTCTCTCTCTCTCTCTCTCTCTCTCTCTCTCTCTATCACATTGATGTGACCCACTTTCCTCTGCCATGACCTTCTGCCATGCTGTTCTGCCTTGGAGCCACTGACCATAGGCTAAAACTGTGAGCCATGATAAACCTCTCTTTTAAGTTTTGGGTACCTGGTGTTCTCTCCCAGCAACAAGAAAGTGACCAAGACACTGCCTCAGCCTCCAGAATGCCAGGCTTAACTGGTATTTCCAATTTTTATTTCAATTTATATTTTCTGAGTTTCAGAAACATATCTACACACACACACACACACACACACACACACACATATGTATATGTTATATTTATGTTACCTGTGTATACTATGAGCTTATATAAGAATAGAAATATGGCCAGGCATGGTGGCACACACCTGTAATTTCAGCACTAGGGAGGCTGAGGCAGGAGGAAGATGAGTTCAAGGCCAGCCTGGGCTACCTAGAAATACACACGTAGTAGATGCCTTTTGCCTTGGAATGGAGGCTGTGGGGAGATGTGAGCCAAGGCTTGTACTTTTATGTGGAATGTTCTTTTAGATTTATAAGTTAATATTATTTTTGATCAACAAATCATAACCATACGCATTTGAAGTACTGATAGCCATATATAACGTGGAATGATTAAATTAGCATATTCCTTGATCCTTTAGAACTTTACAGTGCACAAGAATAACTTTGTAATTAAATGTTTAATCAAAGGAAGGAAGGAGGAAAAGAAAGAGGTAAAGGGATGGAGAGAAGGGAGAAAGGAAGAAGGAAAGAAAACCTTGGCACTAACCCCATTTATAGAAAGCCTGGGAAGCACAGACCCAAGGACAGTAACTAAGTAACATTCTCCCTCTGTCTTTTGCAGGATGAGGACAAGCATGAACATATAAATAAAGCAGTATGTGTACTTGGGGTGCAATTTCTCCAAACAAAAAGAGAAAAAGTGAACTACAAAGTATTGCAGCTCCACGTACTGATCGATTCTCGATTCTGTGGTGTTTCCATCTTTGTCACTCAACTTGATTGTGATGGAGCCTCTTCTTACGTTCTTGTTCCAAGGTATCACATCCACGAAGTAGTGATACACTGCCAAGCAAGGCGAGACCGCGTTAAAGATGCACGCACTCGGCCCACTACCGCCCCGGAGGAGCAATTCCCAAAAACCCAGCAACCCTAATAACTGAGGCTCCTGTTTTCTCCCTCTAGGGTTCCCCTGCAAGGATCCACGGCAGGCTTTCCCACCACCCCTTTCTCTTCTCTCTGCACGGATGGTGTGAGGGGGAGCAGAGCTCCACGGTGTCCCCACACCATGTCCAGGCGTGATGGGTTCACACCGTACGGGCTCAAGGCTCACAGCCTGCTGGTGAGTGTGATGTCAACTCCTGCTCTCCTCAGGATAAAATAGCCACTGGCCATCTGAAGATGCTTATACAGCTGGCGAGGCCTTCCGTCATGCAGGCCGTGGCCCCCAGCCCACCTGATCTCCTTCATCTCTTTCCCAGGCGTGTCAGCCATCTGCACTGCCAAGCTTTCTCTCTCACTCCCAGCCTTCCTGCTTTGCAGAGCCACCCTCCAGCTTTCAGCTTAATATCATTTCCTCCAAGAAATGCCATGTCCTCCTCTGGCCCTCAGACTCAGGCAGGCCCTCTTTCCTGAGTTCCCCAGTCTTGGTCTAAGTTCCTCCCTTCAGGGTCATTCAGCACCTTAATTATGCTTTACAAATTGCAAGAGAAGTGCTGAGTAAAGTGGTAAATATCTGAGCACTTCTGTATAGATATTACCTGAATAACTGGGTTTTATAAAAGTTAAAACTATACTACAAGGGGTGATTATTCCTCTTCCTAATCCCAGCAGGCACATGCATCTAGGCACCCAATAAATTCTCGCTGAATAAACGAGACAGGATGTGTCCAGAGAACTACCTCCCTCCTTATGGTTTGCTCCCCAAGGGCAAATGTATTTTTGGAAGATGGGAGTTCCCTCGTGATAGTCCGACCTACTGCTTCTTGGTCAGACGTGCAGGGAAACAGAAAAAAGGCTCAGGGAGATGATGGTTTCATGGAGGAACAAGGTCAGCCCTGGAGTCGCCAGTTCGTGGCTCATTTTTGCTCAGCAGGTCATCCTTCATGGACCAGGAAGATGCTAAATCCTGGGCTGCCATGTAGGTCTCCAAAGGAAGAAGGAAGCCCATGCCACCTTTTATAAAAGTTGTCCCAAGAAAAGGGAAAGGGAGTGCCAGATTGCAAGAAAGAAATACATTTGCCCAGGTGACTCTTAACTGTATCCTAGGACATTTAAACCTCTGCTACCCTAATTAGCTCCCATCTCAAATGCTCCACCCCTTGAGGCCTTCAGGTCATTAAGGTTGCTACACAGCAGGAGTGACCAGGAGCTGTGCTGCCACCTGAATCTTCCTGGCCCCAATTTCCTGTCTCTCAAATCAATTAATTTTTTAGAAACGACAGTGACCATTCAAAGATGCAACTAACTTATTGATTTAGGAGTCAATAAATTGTGCTGATTTATTGATATTTTAATCCTAATAACCTAGAAGATAGGCATTATTTTCTCCATGTTACCAATCAGGACTCTGACACTCCAAGTGCATCAGTGCCTTGGTGAAGGTCACACAGCTGTTATGTGACAGGATGAGGATTCGACTTCACCCCTTTCCAGCTCCAAACTCCGCTTGACTATCAGCCTTCATTTGCCAAGTAATAGCCAAGAAGCTAAGACTCAGCTATGCCCAAAAGACAGCCGGATACAAAAGACCACAAATCACCACTCACTGCAGAATGGCTCCCGCTCAGCGGTGTCAAAGAATGCCTTGGTGGCTGAGAGATCCTTCTCCCTTAAATAGGCTTCCCAGCGATCAGCATAGTAACCTTTAAAACAAGTTGCAAAAGCACATCATTACCATGTCCAGTATCATCATGAAAGCAAGCAAGGTAGTGAGAAAAGAAGCGTGTCATCAAGGACAACCTGTTCCCACCCCCGCCCCCCTACGGTGAGGACCTGTAGGTAGGTCACCAGACAGACAGGCCTTCCTGACGGCTGCCCCAACCCTAAGAGCTGGGGTGTAAAAAGGACCCTGCAGGGCCTGTGACCTCTTTACTGGCTCTCAGGAACACGGTACACACTGATGTGAACCAGAAGTAGCATTGCTATTTTTTGGTAATGCAATTGATTTCTACATTAAAACAGATTGAGGTTTTTCTCTAAAGTAGCATCATAATTGCAAAGTAGTGTACTTTTTGCTGAGGGCCAAACCCAGGACCTGGTGGCTGCTGGATACATGTTTTACCACCGAGTGACACCTCAGCCCCTGGGCATTCTTAAAGAGCTACAATTAGGCCACAAAATTGTACAGAAGTGGCCTTGCCATGTGACAACGTCACTGAGCCGGTCATGTCTTCCCTTCTCCTTGCAGGAGACAAACGAGAGTTGTCCAGTGCCTTTTTCCCTGGTCTGCCCTCACCGCTAGAGAATTCTGACTTACTCGATCTGGATAGCACTCAGGTGTCAGGATTTTTTTTTCCATCAGGATTTTAAGAATGCCCTGGCTGATTCTAATGCACAGTTAGATTGTGCTTGTCAGTAACCTGCTTTGTGCTGTCTTGCATTTTTCCCCCTTCGGGAAAAATGAAAAAATTCTCATGGCCACCAGTTTCAAAGTCCCGACTGCCTAGAACACCCCGCCCCCACAGGCCCCTAGCAAACATCCAAGCCGGCTCCCAGTACGTCTCCCCCGCACCCCAGCCCTGAGCTCACAGGGGCGCCAAGGTGCACGGTGTGGGCGTATGCAGAGCGGGGTGCGGGCAGAAATCATTGCGCAAGGGTTACGCGACCGAAAAGCCCCCGGCTCTGCTGTGCACCTCTCCCAGCAGCGACTCTGTGTGCACAGGGCCAGGCTGTTAAAGCAGTGGTACCCTGGGGCAGCTTGGGAACGCAGCGTGCGAACCCCCTTCTGCAGGTAGAAGAGCGCATCGGGGAGTCTGCGCTACACTGTGGATAGAAACGTGCGCGCATGGCTTTTGTAACACTGTTAAGGAGACCGGAATAATTCATAGGACAAATTGGCTACAGAAAGCGGACTAAATACATTGGGGGGCGAAGAGGAGGGTGGGGGAGCAGCATGTCTAGATACTCAGATGGCTCTGGGACTTGTACGAAAGATGGGCTCTAATTCATCAGAAAGGAACCCCGCTGTCGAACGTACCCACAAGGGGACAGGGTTCCGTGTGCGCCATGCCGCAGCTGATGCATTTGCCGTTCCTGTAATCCCGGTAAGAGTCGCAGGGGTACGCGACCACCGCGCAGTCCTCTCTCAGGGAAGCCAGGTACAGGTACACGGACCTCTGGTGGTCGCACTTGAAATACTGCATTCCTTGGTTGTTAAGGAGATGAAGCCACAGTAGAATAGTGGAAGCAGTTAATCCAAGCGCTTGGAACATTTTCCAGACACACACAATTTATGTCTCCTGCGCGCCCGGCACTGCACTAAACGTGTCAGTGTACTACTGTCCCGTTAATCCTTATAAAAACACTCAGATACAGATCCACGCCAGAAATGGCGGGAAAACAGATTAACCTAGAGGAGGTTATGGCAGGAAAGCAAATACACTTTTAATTAAAGACCTTGGGAGCCGGGCACATTGGTGCATGCTTGTAATCCCAGCTATGTGGGAGGCTGAGACAGGAAAATGATGCGTTCTAGGTCAGCCTGAGCAACTTAGCGAGACCTTGTCTTGAAACAAGTATAAAAGGCTTGGAGTATAGCTCAGTGACAGAGCATATGCCCAGCACACACAAAGCCCTGGGTTATGTCTTCAGCACCACCAAAATAAACAAACAAAAAGGTCTGGTTGTTTGTAGCAAATGAGATTACCCTCCAATGTTTCATTACCCTCCAATGTTTGCACCAAAGTTAAAATACTTCTTAAAATGCAGAGTTCAGGGCCAAGCAGATATTTCTAACTCAGAGGAGGCTCAGGAATTAGCTCTTTAGTAAACAGTGCTGCCCCTGCCCTTCTGACCCTGACACCTTTGAGTTCGAGAGCCCCTGATGTGATGCAAGGCCACTTCGCAGACTAAGTACTGTCCACTGTACACGCCGTGTCTGTCCATCAGCTGCGCGGCCACCTGCAGTGGTGGAGGCCAACTGAGCGCGGCCCTGTCTCAAGAGAAAACGGTAACATTTGGAGGAGGTCGGTGAGTGGCACAGCATTTTCCTAGGCTGGGCTCTATCCCCACGCTGGCGGGGAGAGCGGTTGGCACTGCTGTTTACCGCAACCGTTCTCATCCATGTAGGGAGCAACAGAGCTGGGAGCTGGGGAACCGGGGATCCAGCCTTGTGTGACCCGCGAAGGACAAGGAAGATAAATCAGGGCTGCAAGAGTCAGACCTGAAGGGGCTGGGAATTTAGCTCAACGGCATAAACACCTGCCTTGCAAGCAGGCGGTGGTGAGTTCAATCCCCCGTACCGATAAAAATGAAAAAGACAAAAAAAAAAAAAAGAGACCCGACAGGCCAACACTTAGTCATTCACAATTAAAGAGCTCTAGCAAAATGTAAAGAAAAAATGTATCATTTGGAGTAGCCAATAGTGAATGAATGACCCAACTCCCTTATGTCTTTGGAAAGAGTGGAATTCTTTGCAGGGACAATGACTTAATGACAATGGGGGAAGGGTCATTCCCAGTCGAGGCACAGCCTCTGTCACCCTTGACACAATTATACAGTCACCCTCGCTATGGCTCACTTTTAAGCACGTCATCATTCCAAAGGGCCATAGATAGCTCCCACTTTGTACCACGATCATCTGCTTTTCCTAGAATATTCCCGAGTTGTTTTACTTTTTCCAGCAGCAGGGAAAGTAGATTTATGGCACCGACAGTGGGATCTTTATATTCTGCCCAAATACACACTTTTACGTTTCCCTCCAGCTCCCCAGTTTTGTGCTGTAGGGTTTTTTCCCCCCTCATTGTAAAAGTAAACTATGCTTCTCTGGAAATCATAAATCAATACAAACAGTGATGCCAAAAGCACCTAAAAGTCTGGTACCAAAATTATACTATACACTGATAATTATTTGGAACTTTCAGTTCAGTTTGTACCTGCATATATACAAACGCATTTGCATTTGAAATGAAAACTAGGTAAACTGGGGGCTGGGCGGTAGCTCAGTGATACAGTGCTTGCCTAGTACACAGAGAGAGACAGAGACAGAGATAGCAATTGAGATCATGTTGGATGGTTTTATATTTTATCACTTAGAGTCATACAATTTTCATTAATTTCTGAAAAATTTTTTGTGTGTGTGGCTACCAGGAATCAAACCCAGGACCTAGCATTTGCCAGGCAAGCGCTGCACTATAACCCCAGACCCAAAATATGATTTTTTAGCAATTATATTTCTTGTGTGGGTGAACCACAATCCATTTAATAATTTTCCTGTACTGGACATTTATATTAACACTAACATGTTATTATAAATAATGCTATGTTGGATATCTGTGTGCTTTAATTTCTTATTTACATTTTCCAATTATTTCTCTATGACATTTACAGATATGGAATTTCTAGGTCAAAGACCTATTTCTAAAAGAGAGATGAAAAGAATAAGAAATAATGCAGAATAGCTTTTAATCATACATCTATTATTTTTAAAAGTAATATTTTGGAGTTACAATTTTTAATTTAAAGTTATTTATACCTCTTTCACCTTCTTAGGAAATGCATTTTCTGTCAAAAACTACTTTATGTAGAGTAATTTTTTAACTACCATTTTTAAACCATTATTTTACAAGACACAAAGCATCTGCACTTACCTCCAAATATTGTTTTGGGACAACCAGGCTGATCCAATCCTCCATTTGGGTAGAAATCTATGTTTCCCAGTGGTTGCTTGTATCCCAGTGCTAAAAGAAAACACACAGTACACTTTCACACAGCTTTAGACCTTTCACACCTCATCTGTCTGCAGGACAAGGGCAGGAACTGAATTATGACTACTCTTATTGCTGTTATCATTATTTTTATGCCCCTTTAAATGTTTTACCCTAAATCACCCAGCTAGTTAGTAAGAAAGCGGGCTCCGAATTCTACCACCCTCTGCCATAGTGTGGATCCTGAAAATCACCCAGAGGCCCAGTGTTAAAGGCCTGGTCCCTAGAACAGTGCTACTGGGAGGTGGTGGAACCACTGGGAGGGAAGTCCTAGCTCCCTCTCCCTCTGGGAGAGGACCCCATTCTTCCTCTTCCTGTTCAAGTCTTGGCCCTGAGGTGAGCAAATTTGCTCTTCTCCACCTTCCCACCATGATGTGCTTCTTTAGCCCAGGCTTAAAAGTACAGGCTCCACCCAGCCATGGGCTGGAGCCTCCAAAACTGTGAGTTGATGACATCAGGTGTTTGTTATAGTGATGGAAAGCTGCCCCACTATTAGGTGACTGAGAAAATGGTGATAAAATTGAATTCCACTCTTTCTAAAGACATAAGGGAGTTGGGTCATTCATTCACTATTGGCTACTCCAAACGATACATTTTTTCTTTACATTTTGCTAGAGCTCTTTAATTGTGGGATGCTCCCTCAACCTCCATTTGTATTTGCATAAATCTTTAACAAATAACAGGAAAACAGTGAATTTTTACTTAGTGGGTGAAATACTGAAGCATTTTTGGAGTCATAATAATAATTTTAAAAAGATAAATACTTCTAAAACCCTAAAAAATTATAGGGCCAGGGTTATGGCCGAGGTGTTAAGTGCTTGTCTAGCAGGTCTGAGGCCTTGGATTTGACCCCAGCACCACCAAAAGAACAGTCCAGCTAGGACACGAGGAGGGAGTGAGAGAAACAGACATTTTGGTCAGCTGAGGGTGTAGCTCCGTGTTAGAGGATGTGCCGAGCACTTGAGGCCCTGTGTTCCATCCCAGCCCTGCAAACACATAACTGAGCAGATCTCAGTATCTAGGCACAGCGGCCCATGCCGTAGCCACAGGAACTTGGGAGACTAAGGTGGGAGAATTACTTGAGCCTGGGAATTTGACACAAGCTTGGGAGCACAGTGAGGATCCATCCCAAGGAGAAAAAACCATAGCCAGATTTAATAATTGCCTATCTTCTAATAATTGCCTATCTTCTAATAATTGCTATGTAACCCAAAAGTAACCAGCAAAATTCTTGATTAAAGTACACCTGAAGTATATATACAGGTGTGCGCTCTCTCTCTCTCTCTCTCTCTCTCTCTCTATATATATATATATATATATATATATATATAGCATTGTACTAATAATTGTTACTGCATATTGAGATCCTACAAGTGTCCATGGGTATGTTACTAGGTGTCTCACATCTTTCTTATGATTTTTACAATTGTCTGCAAAGTATTCACTGGTAAATTCAGATGAAAATATGTAGGCTCAGAGACTTAAGAAATTAACATGACAGCACCAAAGAGCAAAGCTGGGACCTAAGTCCATGTCAGCTTGACTGCAAAACTTACACTCTTTCCTTCAAACTTCAATTTCCAGTGTTGGGTGTGGTGGCACAGGAGGCTGAGGCAGGAGGATCACTGTGAGTTTGAGGCCAGTCTGAACTGCATAGTGAAAACCTGTCTCAAAAAATACCCTCACTTTACTTTCCAAGAATAAAATGTAAATTGCTTGAGTCCATCGAGCATTCAAAAATAAGTAAGGTGACACTTTGCAAACTCCATAGTAGCAAGGATAATCAGCAAACAATTGCTGAGCTCCACATCAGAGTGCCTATGATAGTGTCAGAGTGTTTTCTTTTGTTTAGTTGCACTGCCTTACATTGTGTTGCATGATGATTAAACCCAGGACCTCATGTCTACGTGCTAAGCAAGTGTTCTACCACTGAGCTACACCCCAGTCCTGGGTCGGGGGTATTTGGGTCACAGTATAAAGAGGATGCACAGTTAATTGATCACTCTGCTTTGTCCCCTCTGTCCTTGCCAAGTTCCACTCCAGCTCCTCTCCTGGCATCTGGCTCCAGTGGTCACCCATCCTTGCCATCACTGCATGGCATGGACAGTGTCCCAGGTATGAAATCAGCTTCCTGAAAGGCAGAGTCAGGAGCTAAGGGAGGCCAGAACTTCCCCAGAGGGACAGATGTGACACCTCAATTTATCTCTCTGCTAAAGGAAATAATGAGAACCAGAACATCACCCAACAAATCCAGTTGCACATATGGAAATCCATCTACACTGGTGTGCAAACCAGCCTTCCTCGATTGGGGCAAGATGATGACTTTAAAAATAAGAAGGGATGATGGGAAAATCATGCCCACCCCAGTATACCATCCTGGGGGCCTGCATGGCACCAGCTTCCCTGCAGGATTTCCCCGGGTTTGGAACCCTGCCCCATGGGAGAGAGGGCCTATGGAGGAACCCACTCTGTCCCTGCATGACAGCTCCCCCAGGGGCGACTCTGGGAGTCTGGGGGCCTCTGACCCACAAAGACAGGAATGTTACCATCCATGTCAGAGTGGATGACGTCCACGAACTGGGCATCGCTGGGATCTAATCTGTCCTCGGGAGGTTTCTCGTTGAATAAAGGGCCCGCGGGGTCAAGACCTGGAAGGAAAGCAGAGTGCTCTGGCAGCCCCACGCTGTGACTCACCCCACCAAGCCTTTGATGGCTCCTGGGGAGGATGCCCACAGGCCACGGGCCCCCTCAGGTGGGCGCTCACCACATTCCCATCCCACTTCATCAGGGCTCCTCCCACGGCCCACAACTCTTTCCCACAGTGGAGACGCTGGCCTGGCAGTGCCCCCAGCAACACAGCCTGGCAAGCTCGGCAATGCACACAGGCATGCACAGCGCGGGCAGAGCTTAGCAGGCGAAGCACACGAGTGTGTGGGTCAGAGGACAAAATAAACAGTTACTGAACTCGCCAACAAAATTTTCAGACTCTTTCAGTATTTAATATGTAGTAGACAGGTACTAAATAAATCAATTCGTTTACCAAACATGCCACTAAACAATATCATTTTCAAACCTTTGGAAAGACTAATTTTAACACATTTGCAAAGCAAACTATTAACTTGACTTACTGTGAAACAGAAATTCTTTAATTTGACCAGTTACCACATTGTCAGCAATTTGACAGTAATGATATTATTTCCTCTCTAGTGACTCAGATTAGCAATATTAATTTGCTAAGTTAGTGCTTGTGTGGATATTACCGATAAATAATTGAATGAATGACTAGTTTTGATAAAAAGCAATTTTAACATCCAGTATATCAAAAAAATTTTAAAAACTGGTTCCCTCATTGGAAAATGGCGGCGAGCTAGGGGATCGAGCGAAGAATCTCTCCAGAGAATTCAAACTCAAAGATAAAAAAAGACAGCATGGAGAGGACCAGACAAATCGATAGCGATTCTTATTAACCAAGACAGTACAACTGGAGGATTTAAAGTCGTGCTGAGACCGGAGGCTACAAATCCCGCGCCCTTAAATCAACAAACAGACTCGTGGACCCAGCACGAAAAGCTGAGTTGCTTTTGGAGACCGCGGGAAACTGAGACCCAGATCGAGACTCCAAGTAGCAGCCAGTTCTGCACCGCTGCACCAGAGCGGATGTACAAAGCTCTGGCGATTCAAATCTAAACGGTGCACAGAAATCTGACCGGTCAGCGCTGAGCTGCGAGTGGGGGAAAAGTGGACAGCTTGGTGTGCGGCGGTCCCGGAACGAGGACTTGCACCGGACCCTGGTGAGTACAGAAAACCCCGCCGCTGCTGGGTTTGACCAGAGAACAGCTGGCCCGCCACCACGGGGAAATCAATAACACAGAATCTGGTGCAGACATATTAGCCTGGCGGCAGAAATCGCAGCTTAGTGATATCACCAGGTCCCCCTGGAGGGAGGGCTGGAGGAAGACATCTTAAGTCCTGGCAGAGCCTGATTACTTGTTGGCTTCAGCTCCACACAGAGAACTTAGTGGGAGCCATCTTTGTTTTGGGCAGATCTGCTTTTCTGGTGCACCTATCACAGAGAGGTTTGGAAGAGAACGGCTGGGACCTGGGCAGAATCCTGTGCCATTACCCAGCTGCTTCTGATTCAAAGAGAACTGGCAGGAGCTACTGGGGCTAAACCAAGCCTCTGCTTGGGGCCCAATAAGCAGATACAAAATAGTCACAACTCAGTGACAACCAGAAAGTACAGCCTAATTTATGAACTAACTGACACAGAGGCTAGAGTCTAGACTGTACTGCCCCTACATCCCAGCCTTCCCCAGATAACAGCAAATTGGGGAGGACAGCAAAAACTCAAGCCAGCACGCTTCTGAAAGGCCCTAAGCAATTCGGAGAGGGCCAGAGAACTCCAGGACACTCTGAAAGAAACCAGAAACATGACAAGAGATAAAAATAAAAAAAAACCTCCAGCTGTTCAACAGGAGAAATTAAACCCAAGAGAACTAAACACTGAAGAGAACAAGCACAGTAACCATCCTCTACTCGACACAGCATCAGCCGAAATTAAAAAGTACCTACATGATCTCATAGAGGAATTTAAAGATGTACTCCTGATCCAAGTGAGGCAAGATATAAAGAGATTAATTAAAGAAATGACAAGCCCCGCCCAAGAGAACTCAGATGGAAGAACTGAGGAAATCAGAAAAGAAAGAGAAGCATCTGAAGAAGAATTTAAGCATAACTTAGAATACATGAAACAGATCCAAAGAGAATATCAGGAAACTCAGAACTCCATTGAATATTGGCAAAATGCCTTGACAGAAACTAAAGACAACCTTCTGAAACTTGAAGAGAGATTTAGGGCTTATGAACGTGAAAGAAAAAGCCTCTTAAAAATAACAAGGAACCAGAAAGAAGCAATTCTAAAACTGGAAGATGATAAAAAGATACATAACCTAAGGATAAAGAATGTGAGTGAAGAAGCAGGAACATCCAAAAATGAAATACAAAAAATATTCACAGAGATATTAAAGCAAAATTTCCCACGTATAGCAAAAAGAAATGATATCCAGATAAAAGAAGCATACAGAACGCCAGCTACCTACAACCAAAACAGATCTACGCCTAGGCATATAATAATCGAGATCCCAGAAATCCACCAAAAAAACAGAATATTAAAAGCAGCCAGAGAAAGGATGCAGGTTACCTATAATGGGAAATCTATCAAAATAACAGCAGACTTATCATCACAAACTCTTAAGTCAAGAAGGGAGTGGAGAGAAATATTCCAAGTCCTGAAGGAAAAAAATATGCAACCTAAGTTCATATATCCGTCAAAACTCTCTCTAAAAATTAATGAAGAAATAAGGTACTTTCAAGACAAGGAGGAACTGTGGGAGTTCGTGGCCACCAATCCAACCCTACAGAGAGCGCTGAAGGACATTACAGAGAAAGAGAGGAAGAGATATCAGGATTACAGCTACAGTGGCAGAGAAGCCTCAGTGAACGGGGCAGACCATGGAATGAGGGAATAAGGTGGACAAATTATAGCAGAAAAGTGGAGTAGCAGACATGAGGCAGAGACAGTAAGCTAGTCTTTAGTAGAGACAGCTCTGAAACTATATTTAAAAAAAAAAAAAAAGCAGAGGTCATTGCTAATGGTGTATAACGATTTAAAAGACACAGTAGTCCTAGTGACATATTTAGATTGAATTAAATTTGTTCTGGTCTGTCCACTCATATCAGATTTGAGGACACAGACCTCTAGAACCAAAAATAGCAGGTTATACCACGGCAACTATCCTTACTTTCCTATTGATTTAGGCTGAAATTCTGTATTACTTACATTGTCTTACTATGACTGATCTTAATTGTATCTGAATCATAAGACTATTGGTTGGCCTTGACTGATCCTATTTGAAATCGGTATGCATGTTAGAATCAACCCTAAAAGTAGAGGAAACTACTCTGAGCATGACAAGATGTAAAGGATATCCATACTGGTATGAATCAGTAACAGCTCTCAAATACTACAATGCAGTCAAAGATAAGTTTTTATAAAAATAGGTGATAGTATGTTTAACTATAATAAGCCAGTGTTGTCGACAAATCTATTGAAAATAACAAGAGAAAACATAGTAGCTACGGAAGATCATTTATATTATAGTTTTATAAGTCCTATCCATTGCATGTTTATCTAGGAAATTGTTTCGTTGTCTTGTTATGACTTGGTTTTCCCTATAATACAGAGAGGATAGGAACAAATACTCTGAGGAAGAAACCTGAAAAACCCGAGGCTTATTTTGTAGCATTATAATATAAATTCTAGCAATCTATTGCTTGCTGATTAAAATGACTCTGGACTGGTTTCTTCAGCTCAACTTCAGCATATGCAGAGATGGGGACGGCTATCACAAAGAGAATGAGAGATGCGATGGTAGTTGGTATTGTCTTCCCTAATTTGGAACTTGAGGACCTAAAAAGACTCCATCATCCTGTAATGATTTGATTAGTTCTATAATATGCAATAAGTATAGAAAGTGGGTGAAGTTAGGGACAACTATTTGTAAGAAGCTAGAGACAGTTAGATAAGGTAGATCTCCAGTGGACTTGCTTTGAAATCTGTATTTCTTTAAATTGTTTTTTTAATTTTTTTTAAAATGTTCTGTTCTGTTTTGATATGGTTAACCTTATCCTCTTAGAGATGTAAAACAAATAGGTGGGACTGATAATCATATTACAGAGCTTTTGTTCGGCCATAGAGCAGAATGGTTTGTAGGGTCATTTTTTTTTGAATGTCATTCTATATACTTTAATTCTATAACCTGAACAGCCATTTCGAAGATGACAATTTGTAACTTATCAACTGGCAATTTCTTACCTTTTGTTTGTCTGTAATTTAGAATTATTTCTACCCTTTTTTTTTTTAATTTCCATGTATTTTTTTTCGTTTCCTTTTCTTTAAATAAAAAAAAAAAAAAAACTGGTTCCTTAAGAAAAAAAGCACCACAGAATACATAAAAGAGAAAAAGCTGGCATAATATACTTGTTATTCCATTGTAGGTGATTCTGTTCCCCACTCAGCCCATCCTTCTTGCTATTAATAAAACTCACTTGCAGTTTCCACTTTTATTCATATCTTATTTCAGTTGATCCACACTGCAAATGTAGGGGTGGAGAAGGGTAGCAACTGTGATTCCATTTTACAGATGAATCAACTGAGGTCCAGGGAGATCAAGCATGTAAAGCAGAAACTAGCCTTCCAGGGCAGCCTCCTCTATGTGTTGTTCTGTGGTTTCCCTGTGCTGACTTTAGCAAGCTCAGCAGAGAAGGACAAAACTCACTGGTCAGGCCAGGTATAGACATACCTCACCTGTAGGGCCTGAACTGGCCTGGCCCTTAGTCAGTGTTGACTGAGCATTATGCACTCTTGCTATGAAGCAGCTAGAAAAATAGGAGCGCAGCTCTTATGATATTGAAACTACAAAATAAAACTTAAAAAAAAGTCAGAGGGTTAAAAAGGCCCAACATACTAGAGCCCTATGTGGAATGAAAAAGATTTCTAGGAATATCTGCCTCGAAGCTTTAATCTATGAATGCCAGTCATTTCATTAATTTCTTATTTTATTTTATTACTGGTTTTGGTGCTGGGGATCAAACCCAGGACCTCACACATGCTAATCACATGGGCTACCACTGAGCTACACTTGTGGTCCCTACGATGGTCATTTTAGATGCTATCCCCTCCCTGAGGTTACATAAAAAATCTGAAAGATAGCATCTTCTCCTCAGCTCTTACGGTTCTAGCTTTTGGTGCTTCCATTTCTCCCCTCCAGTGTCCTTCTGCTTCCTGGAGACATTTATTTATTGATCTGCCTCCTTTTTCATCTCCTCTTTTCTCCCATTCCCCTCCCTCCTTTCTTCTCCTTCCATCCACTCCCAGCTGAAACTACCATGGCAGGGATGAGCCAACACCCAGGCGCCCAAGTCCTGAACCCAACAGGAAAAACTCTTGGTCTTGGAAAGATTTGGCCGTTTCCCCCCTCCCTGCCAGCACTGCTTCCTGTCTAAGAAAACGACCCTTGAGGGTCACAGTGGACAGAAGCCTTATGATGGGCGGAAGAGAAACCATCCACCCTGGGCAAGGCACAAACCAGACCCTCACAGGTGACCCTGGACTTGTGACATCCACGGTGAGTGATGGGCCAAAAGTTGGAGAAAAAGTGCCCCCAAACCTGAAGAGTCTGTCTGAGCAGGCAGACAGGAAGCCCCAAACCCACCGCGAAACAGCTGTGTCAGCAGTTTGCTTTATTTCTCTGGACCTGTTTCCTTATACTGTAAAATGGAGAGAGCTACGTCGCAAGATTCATCACAGCACTGCTGAATCTGAACCCAGAGCATTCGGACGTTATTGCACCAAAGAAAATGAATGGAGATGCGGAGATCATGCTTATTGCTGGCAGATCATCAGAATCGAGGCTCTCCGGCATCATCACGGTCTGGGTAGTGATCCCTGGCTTTCACTGCAGTATTAACTGGTTTGAGATCTGATGAAAGATCTGGATTCCTTCTCAGGAAGCCACCCAACATTCTGCCTGCAACTCTGGGGGCCTCTTATTCCTCTGGCTAAGGTCACCCTAAGGCACCACCAGCCCATAGGAATTTTAATGTGAGCCACATTTACAATGTAAAAAATTTTAATAGCCACCTAAAAATAGAAAATTAATTTTAAGAATATTTCATGTGTGTGTGTGTGTGTGTGTGTGTGTGGCACCGGGGATTGAACCCAAGGCCTTTGCACTGAACTACATCCCAGCACATTTTAAAATTTTTTTAAAATTTTGCGACAGGGTTTTGCTAAATTGCCCAAGCTAGGCTCAAACTTGCCATCCTGCTTTAGCCTCCCAGAGTGCCTCTGGGATGGCAGATAGGCACCACCACACTGGGCAAGAATATATTTTATGTACCCCAGGAGAGTATATCCGAAATGTTATTACATCAGTGCAGTCAGTGAAGAAATATCAGGCTTTCTATATGCTGACGTGCTGCTGTTGTTCTGGCCAGCCAGCCGTATTCCATACTTACAGCCCACCCCAGTGTGCAGCAGCTGCCTTGCAAGTGGTCAGAGATCACAGGTGGACAGTGGCTACTGCCCCATTTCTCATAGTGTGGGTGTTTGGACCACACGCATCTTGCACTAAAAATATGGCAGTGTGGTTCAGTGGCAGAGCACTTGCCTAATCATGCTTGAGGCCCTGGATACAAATTTAAACTTAGTACCCTAGGAAATAAACAAATAAGAAATTAATGAGAAGTAAAGGCAGATGTGCCTGGAAAGGAGGAACAGAAGAAACGGAAGGGAAGAAGCAACCATCAAGGCCCAGTGAAGCACCCAGCAGAGCCACCCAGAGTGTGGGAGTCCGGTAACAGACCACATTCTTACCCTGCAACCCAGGGAGCCCATCCCGGCAAAGCAGAGGGAAGGCAGTGGGGAAGGAAACCGCTGCTGCTGGGGATGCTCTTGGGGACGGCAAAGACTGACCGTCGGGCTCAGAGAGAGCGAGGATTTGGGAGAATGTGCAGAAGTCAGTGGAGAAAAAAGCTGAGCTGGGTCCATCAGCTGAGTCTGTGAGCCCAGCGTGGAAGGCAGGCTGCTTGGGGAATCTGCAGGGCCAGAGACCAAAATCGTATTCATATTCACAGCAGCTGTGAGGACAGGTTTTCTGGGAGATTCACTAGTGACCTTAGGGCGAAGGTAGGAAAAGGCTGTGGCGGGCTGGGAGCAGATTTACTTATCTCTTCCCAAAAGCTGCACCTAGAGATGTCAGGTTGGCAGCCTGAGATTAGGCACTGTGGGAGTTTTACACTGCAGAAATCAGCAACACCTACAAATCAGCCACCCAGCATCTGAGAAAATCTCTCCCACCAGGGAGGAATTCCTGACAGTCAAGGACACAGGCAAACGAGCTATCTGGCCTTCCTCCGTGAGGGAAATGTTGAAAAAGCAAAGACACGAAGCTTTCCCAAACATTGTTTTCGAAACTGAAGACAAGTAGGATACCAGGTAAATTAATAGGAGGCAGGATTGACCTTTGGATGAGAGTGAGCAAAAAACTGAGAACAAACCATGGAACCTCCAATAGCAGGGCTAGAAGAACTGCCAGCCAATGTGGGGTGTGTGTGTGTGTGTGTGTGTGTGTGTATAAGAGAGATGGACAGACAGACAGACAGAGACACAAGACTTACAGAGACAGGTATGACTTCCTCCAGGGCCCAGAGATGACTTGCAAACATCCCAAATCTAGCTGATATCCCAAATCTCGTCACTGAGCTTTCCCCTCCCTCCATCCACTTCTACCTTGCAAACATTCCCCAGGTGTGCAGGTGCATTCTGGGAAAGGCAAAAAGGAGACCCTTAGGTCTCTGCAGAGAAAGCTGCCCAGCCTTTTGAGTAGCTGTGGAAAGTTACTAAACTCCAGGTAAGAGATCCCAGCAAGGGAGTCTTTGTTTGGGGTCTGACTGCTGCATTGCTGAGTGTTTTCCTTTCTGTGTGGGCTGGAAAGCTGATATTTACAGAGTGAGCCCAGCCATCAACATTCCCATCTCGATTTCCAGCCAGGAGACTCCGGCTGTGCCTGGGGACTGCAGAGTGCCTGGTCTGCTTGGTCTGCAGTTCAGGCCACCTAGATTCAATACAAAGGACAAGGCTGGGGAGAGGCGGGGCAGGCAGGGTCACATTCCCAGGAGACACTGAGATTTCTTTTACCTATAGAAGAAATAATAAGGTCACTATCCATCTTTCCTGGGCGTATACAGCTTGCAGATTATCTTACTAGTCTATCTTTCACTAAATAATTGTCTGAGGTCAGTTGTATCATGGTCTTCGAGCCCAAGGACCAAGAATCCATCATGACACTGTACTGCACCCACCCCTCACAAAGCCTTACCTGTAATTCTTCCCAGCTGCCCGGCGTACATTTCTCCAACAAACCCAGATATGTGGGCGCCTAGGCTCACTCCAATCATATAAATGTTGCTCAGAGATGCTCCTTTGGCCTGAAATTTTAGGAAGACCATCATTATACATGGTAAGGGGCCAAGGAACTGACTACATTTGCAGAACTTTTTCCTACCTGTTGACTTTGGAGAAATATTTCTAAGCACCCTACATCTACTGTCTCACTGAAATATCACAATGCTCCTGAAACACAAATATCATTGTTTTGATTAGATGGGTGAAAAAAAAATTGAGAACCAAAACTGAAGTGACCTGTCCCTGGTGAGGCAGTTGGGAAGAGGCCAGAGCAGGACTCAGGTCAGCCTGTTCGGCCCCAGATTTGTGCCTTCACTTCTAACCTGTAGTGTCTCTATTCATGCTTCTGCTAGAAGCCAAGCTGACACATCTTGAAGAACATTCCTGACTGGACAGAGGGAAGAGGATTCTGTTTTTAGAGGGATGCTGGGCGGGGGGAGGGGGGGAGCCCAGGGCCACGCACATGCTGGGCAAGCGCTCTACCACTGAGCTACCCGCCCACCCCCAGTCCTTTTAGAAATTTTATTTGAGACAGGGCCTTGCTACACTGCCCAGGCTGGACTCCAACTTGCAATCCTCCTGCCTCGGCCTCCCAGAATGGTGGGATTACTGGTGGGCTGAGTCATCAGAGTCACCACAGAGAGGGAAGACATGAAGGGGCAAAATGGCAAAAGCAGACAGCACTAAAACAGCTTGTCCCAGCAGCTCCCACATTCTCTTTCCCAGGGCTCTGGCTTAGGTGCAGAATGCAAGTGGCACTCAAGGCACCCTGGCCACTGTGGTCACCAGGCCTGACACTCTGACATTGTCCTAATCTCACATCACTCTTTTTGTTATTGTTAAAAGGCAAAATTTAGCCGGGTGTGGTGGTGCACACCTGTAATCCCAGCACTCAGGAGGCTGAAGCAGGAGAATCATTGTGAGTTTGAGACCAGCCTGGGCTACAAAGTGAGCTCAAGGTCAGCCTGAGCTGAATAGTGGGACCCTGTCTCAGAGAGAGAGGAAAAAAAAAAAAAAAAAGGCAGGGTGGGGGGATCATGAGGCGTGTCACCAAATAAAATTTAAGGTCTCACTTTATCATCACACAGGACCATGTGTCTCAAGGTGGCTTTGGACAATCATTCAGTTGTTAAGCTTTTGGCCCTCCTTTATCAGAAGGCTTTAGAAATCAAAAAAGCTTGGGGACTATAAATTAAGGAACCCAAACAGAACCTTTCCTACCCATAGACATCTTTTTTTTTTTTGTACTGGGGATTGAACTTACAACCTTGCACCTGCCAGGCAGATGCTTTTGCCACTGAGCTAAACTCCCAGCCACCAAGACACCTTTTTATGAGTTAGAAAATGAAGCAGCTTTTTCAAGACATGACACTATCATCTGTGGGAATGCTGTCATAACAAATCTATAAATCAGTAACATCTGCAGTCGCAGTGCAGCTCCTTTAAATCAGTGTCTTATGCAGTACACAACCTGTCCAACCATACCTACAGGCCTCACATGCAATCCTTCCCCTTCCCTGGGGCTTATTCTGGTTTGCAAAATGTTACAGAATAGTCCCGCCCAGTCACTGAAACTATCTCTAAAACTCCAGATAGTCAGCCCATTTCCATGTGGCCCGACTCCTCTAAGTAAAGTCTCTCTTACCAACAGCTCGTCGATAAATTCCTTCAAGATCATGGCAACTTTTCTGGTCTTACTAGAGGCCTGGTTGTAAATGACAGTCGCAGCTCCTCGATTCCAATCCACCACCACCACATTCATGTCTTCCACAGACAGCAGAGCCTGTACTAAATCCTCCATCCACCTCGGAGCAGAGCCCGTGGGCCTGAAGCCATGGATGACGAAGGTGGTTTTCTTGGTTACACTGAGGTCCCCAAAGGCCGTGGAGTTGACGATTTGGGCGCAGGTCCGGTCTCTCCCTGTGTAGAGCAGCAGTCTCACATCGAGTCCGGTCCCAATCACCGCTTTGGAGAAGCTCAGCTTGGTGAAGGTAGCACATCTTTTATCTCCTTCTGGAAAGCAAATCGAGACAGCCTCACAGCGGTTCATTCCTCAGCAGCCAGCAGCAGGACAGCGCTGCCTTCTGCTCCCCATCTGAGCCTTCTCACCCGGCAAGACCTGGCTCTAGGTGAACAAAGTCACGAAGTGCTCCTAAGAAGCAGCCTCTGCTTTTGCACTGCATTCTTCCAAGTGCTACCCAGCTTCAAGCTCTGACCTGAAAGTCACCGAACGAGGACTTGGCCACTCTCCCAGCCATGCATACTAGGGGAGGCAGCTCACAGCGTGTGCTTATGAGTAAATTCTTCTGCTTCCAAATATTCCCGTGTGCCAACTGTTAGATGCTGCATCTGGAAACTAATCAAGGCTTTAATCTGTATTCTCCCTCCCTCCCTCTTTCTCCTTCTCCTCCTCTCTTTCTTTTCTCTCTTCTCCCATACCTCGCTTCACTGAGCTGGAGCAGCTAGGAAGGAAGTGAGCTGTCACACATATAAAAGAGGCTCCTACAGGACCCTTGTATGGGGCAGCAAGGCCCTAGGCATGGTGTTTCCTTGTGACAGGTCCCCGGAGACAAGCGTGTCCTAGGAGACACCCATCCTGCCTTCCTCTGCCCACATATCTGGATTTGTTGAGGAATATGTGCTGGGCGGCTGGGTGGCTGAGAATTACAGATAAGGCCCCGTTCCCTGTTATCAAGCCTCTGCACCTTCACGCCCAGAAACTGTCCTCCTTAACCAGGAGCCCTGGAGCAGCCTTCATCCCCACGCCTCTCTCTCTGCCTTTAATAACCTTTGTGGATTTATTTACTTGAGATTCACAAAGGCCTGGATTTCAGAAGTAAATGAAATTCAAAACCAAGGAGTGCACGAAGCTGGAGCCGATGGTTGAAAAGCCAAGGAGGCTGGGAAACTCCACACCCTAGAAAAGAGGTGCTTCACTTCAATCCCCCAAGCCACCTATTTCATTGCGCACTACATCCTCCAGCAGGGTACATAAACATATCCCTGCCCTGGCAGCCTCTCTCACTTCCACTTCCGGGAGGCTGTGTGCTCCTCCTGGGCCACGTGGACTGAAACTTGGCTGGCAGCTTGCTGAGCAAGTCCCAGAACAAATAACTGTTTCATTTATCACCTCATGGGACAGGAGTCGTCATAGGGCATGGCCGCACCTCTGGCCTGATCCATCAGTAAGCCGAGCCTTGTTCCTGTGTGCGCAAATGACTAACCAGGTGGACTGGGACATTGTGTCATCTTTCTCTGGTTCCTCTCTGCCAAGACAGAAATGCAGGGCAGATTAAGTCTGAATGAGATCATCTTGGGGAAGCCAGAGATCCCTTTCCCAGAAGGACTGTTGGATGTTCATTTCATGACAAATAAGCAACGTCAGGCCCCTGTGCCGGTTGTAGGTCATGTGTGTGAGTCCTTGGAAAGTCGGGAAAAAAGCTGTGAAGTCTGAGGCCAGAGTTATGTTTTGGCTCAGCTGCCAACTTTGGTATCTATGCATGGTTCAGCCAAGCTCCTGGATTTCCTAAATTGACGGTTACTGGAAGGTAAAGAAGAGTAAAACAAAAGGATTTTCTGTCCTCATCTGAAAGCATGATGGCACTGGGGGCTGAACCCAGAGCCTCCACACTGAGCGGCATTCCCAGCCTTTTTGACATTTTTTTTCTTTTACAACAAGGTCTCCTTGAGACACTAAGTTAGCCAGGCTGGTTTTAAACTTGTGATCCTTTTGCCCCAGCCTCCCAGAGTGCTGAGATAACAGATGTGTGTCATCACACCTGGCTTGATCATGTAACTTTTAATCTCTTAGCAATAGCCTTGGACCCTAGAGAAGAGCTTAGTAAACTGTGGGAGATAACTGCAGGGACTCCCCTTGAATGCAAAACAATTACTACGACTTTGATTATTTGGAGACTTATTTCTTTATACTGATGTGTACAGAGCTGGCTGTGATATTTCCTTCTCTCTTCAGTTGGCTCTAAGCATTACAAATAAAGCCAGCTGAGGTACTGGTATGTAATCTCCAAAGCCGTCAGATAGTCTCCTGTTTCCTGGAATAATGCTCCCTCTAAAAGATATGAGCACAGCGGGTTGTTAGAGCCAACAGCCCTGGGTATGTCAACTGGGTACAGCCGAGATAAAGAGGCTATAACTCCCTAAGGCACAAGAGTTCATATGTCAAAAACCAAAGCACAGCCTCCCAAAACAATTCAGTTGCTATTTTAATTAGATTGTATGAATTGATCCTTCTGCATATCTTTATCTCTGCAGTTTACAGAGGTGCCCTTCTCTCACCTGGCCAGCCAGCTCAAGTTACATAATTCCCGCCATCCTCACTGTCACTCATCCTCCAACCACCCTCCTCTTCACAAGATAATAAATTCTGGGAGGCCTAGGGTCAGGGCCTTTGTCTGCACATCCTCACGGGTGTTAGACTTAGGACCCCTTGGCTGCCCTTAACTTGGAACATGTCTTGGTGTTTTTACTCTCGCCGTGGATTGCGTTGGTGGTGGTAGATTGGAATCTACCACCTGGGATTCCAAAAATGTCTCAATGGGATTGTATAACTTTTAGGTTGTGAGAAAAACTCAAAAGATTATAATACTAGGATAACTGCACACAGTATTTGGGATTACAATAGTAAACACTAAGTGAAAATTAGATTTCCTTTCCCTCTCTCAGTCCAAAATGTTGTAAGAACTTAATGTGTATTTCCCCTCATATGTACTCGGTTCATTCAGTGAAAGTCTACTTTAGCTGGGCAGTGTGGTTCACACCTGTCTGTAATCCCAGCCACTTGCAAGGCTGAGGCAGGAGGATCACAAGCTCCAGGCTCACAAAATTTAGTGAGACCCTGTTTCAAAATAAAAACTAAGAGCTGTGAATGTAGCTCAGTAGCAAAACACTTGCCGTACCATGCACAAGGCCCTGGTTTAAATCCTCAGGGCTACAAAATAATAAAAAGAACCTTGGGATGTAGCTTAGCACTCCCTGGGTTCAAGCCCAGGATCCCGAAATAGCTAAATAAATATTTATGAACTGACGATGTAGCTCAGTAGTAGAAGGTTTGCCTAGCATGTGATCGTGGGACCAATCTCCACTACCACAGAAAAGAATGAAGTAAGTATTTAAATATCGGAGCCCCTGTGTTGATGTATCTTCCACTCAGGCAGTGGTGGCAAACCTGTGCCACGAGTGCCACAGCACGCACACACGGTCCCCCCTGAGTCACCCAGCAGCTGCACATTGGGCAAGGGTTGTTTTTTCTGAACGGATACCTAAGTACTCGGATTTAATTGCAGTGTCAGCGTTTTGCAATACATAAATAGGTTCTGGTTGCAGTTTGGGACTTCATCTCTAAGAGGTCTCTGTTCAATCACCATAGCTCTTCTATTTGCCTATTTTCTGAGAGGAACAATAAGAAACTTAATACAGATATAAGGCCCCTTATATACTCCGAGTACATTTACGCACACACACACATGCACACGCACGCACGCACGCATTTTCCCCACAGTTAAGAGCGATGAGTAATTGCGCATTCTTTGCAGCTTTCATAGTGCAGGTTTAGTTGTGATCCCACAGCCAACACTGAGGGCATCTTTGCAGGAACTCATGGGCAGGTCCTCAGCGGCGTCCACTCATCGTCAGACACTCATGCCTCGGCCCAAGGGCAGCGGACTAACGCACTGCCTCCTTGCTGTGTCAGCTCTCACGCTTCAAAAGAGCGTCCTTTACACAGTGACTTAGTGGCAATCATTTCGTGCCGTGTGCCCTCCTTCCTGTGTTTTTCTTTTGGGTAATTTCACTGTTTAAAATGGCCCTTTACAAGCTGGGAGTGGTGGTGCATGCCTGTTATCCCAGCACTCAGGAGGCTGAGGCAAGAAAATCGCCATGAGTTCAAAGCTAGCCTGGGTTACCTAAGTTGGTTCAGTACCAACATGCATGAATAGTGAGTCCCTGTCTCAAAAAATAAATTAATTAGTTAAATTAAGTAAATAAAGTAAAATGGCACTGCTTACAAAGTGTTGAAGTGCTGTGTTTGCAAGCATAAGAAGGCTGTGAGGTGGCTTCACACAGGGTAGACAAGCTCTGCTCAGTCCTGAGTTCCAGGGCCACTGGTCATAGTCCAGGGCCAATCAATCAAGGGGTCTTTGAGCCAGAACACACAGAAGGTTTTGTGTGTCAGTCAACAGAGGTATTATGAACAAAAAGAAACCTAACCCTGTATCTGTCCAGAATCAGTATTCGGAACTCCTGAACAGAGTGTCCTAAACTCAATGGTTGAGGCCACATTTTTAGAACACAAATGCCACAAATAATAAGAGTGAGTACATGAAAATCATCTTCTGTAGCTGAGTACAGTGACGGCTACTCAGGAGGCTGAGGCAGGAGGATCCTTTAAGCCCAGGAGCTCAAGTCCAGCCTGGGCAATACAGGAAGACCTCATCTCAAAAGAAACAGCATTCTGGAATCCTGTTTCCCCAGCGATGCTGTCTTAGTTCTATAAAGTTAGGAACTCCTCATTGCTCACGGGTCCTTTCTCCGGGTTCTCCCTAGTTGCTGACTCTTGCTGTCTTTCCAAGGAAGGCTTGTGGCTAAGCTCAAGCTCATTCCTGTGCTGGCGTCAACGTCTTAGCCTAAATGGTGCCCTGACTTTGCTCTTCACTGGTACACTTTAAACACGCACAGTGGTCACCTTCACCTCTGGGAATTTGTACCTGTGCATGGTGAATCTCGAGCTGCCTTCCCCCGCTCCCCTCCCCTCCCTTCACCCCTGTTCCTCTCCTTATTTACAAAAGCGTTGTTTCCATTTTTTCCCTTTATTCTCTCTTTCTTCTTCTCCTCCTCTTTCTCTTCCTCCTCCTTCTCCTCCCTCTTCTTGTCTCTGACTTCAAACAATATTCTTTTCCTCAGGAATTATTCTACTTCCTTCTGTTTTTTTGTCTACTTCCTCTTTATACTGAATTTTACTCCACAGAAATTTTACCTTATGGTTTACTTGCTTTTTTTCCAATCATGTGCCTGAAGCATTTTTACCCTTATATGCAATAACTTCTCCCTCCAGGATAATTAGTCTTTTTATCTGTTTTACCCGTTAAATTCACAGGGCCAGTACAGCAGCTGGTTGAGAGTTGACATTAATAAATATTTCCAGAATAAATACATAGCAACCTGCGAATACACTATTCGGCCACTTACAATGATCCATGTAAATTCTACACAGAAAATATAATTTATAAATTACACAGAATACAAGAGGCTGGGGTGTAGTGCAGAGGTAGAGTACGTGCTTAGCATGGTAAATGCCCTGAATTTAGTCCCAGGCACCACAAAACTAAATCAATCAATAAGCCAGGGATGTTGGTGCATGCGTATAATCACAACATTCCGGGAGCCTGAAGCAGGAAGATTGTGCAAACACCCTGGGGAACTTACTGACTTGGGGAGATCACGTCTCAAAGTTAAAAAATAAAAATAAAAGCACTGGGAATTGGTTCAGTGTAGAAAGGCCCTAGACTCTCTCCCCAGTACTACAAAAAATTGGAAAGCAGTATGTGAATAAATAATGAGGTGGCACATCATACACTATGATTCAAATTATGCAAACATATCTGCGGGTGTCAAGATCTGAAAAATACATGAAAATAAAAACCAGTTCTACTTTCCATGTCTTGTGTTCTTTGCTTAAAATTTCCCAACATAGCCGGTGTGGTTGCTCACACCTGTAATCCCAGCACTCAGGAGGCTGAGGCAGGAGGATCGTTGTGAGTTCCAGATCAGCCTGGGCTACAAGGTGAGCTCAAGGCCAGCCTGGACTGCATGCATAGAGAGACCCCGTCTCAAAAAGACAAAAAAAAAAAAAAAAAAAAAAAATCCTAACAGAACTAAACATTTTTAAAAGAAAACATTGCATTTACCTTACCTTGGACCATGTTATATATTAACTTAAACTCTCAGAGGGAAGATACTGTGGAGGTTTTAGGTTTCTGGGTTTTGGGGAGTTTTTTTGTTTGTGTTTTAGTTCAATATTGTGTCCCTAGCACCTAGCACTGACACTTGTTCTTTTATTGGGCCCCAGATTCTCAGGCAATTTGAAGAGCATATAAGCCCTAGATATTCATGAAGAACAAATTTGCTTAATGGTGTCACCCACAGGGAGTCAAATTGTAACTTACGTTGGTTCTTTGCTTCTTTCTTTGTCTCTTCCTTCCTTCCTTCCTTCCTTCTTGTAATCCAGATTATCCTTCAACTTTCTACATAG